GGATAAATTGATTCATTTATTTTTTTTCTGATTTTTATTATTAATATATTCATTTCGCATTAATATTGTAATAAATGAAATGTTCATACATATTCAATTATTATGGATGTTATTACATTCTATTTGTGTGAAAATTGCTCGATAACGTATGATATTACATAATATTGGACAGAGTTTATTTAGAACAATCTAAAATTTATTGATATATTCTAAAGTTTATTGAGACAAATCTAAAACTTATTGATAAACTTTAAAGTTTATTGAGACAAATCTAAAACTTATTGATAAACTTTAAAGTCTCACAATATTCATTGAAACTTATTGATAAATTCTAAAATCTTATGAGATTTCCTAAAGTTTATTGAGACAAATCTAAAATATTATAGAGACACGTTAGCCTCTCAACGAACCTCATAAGATTTTAGAATTGTCTCAAAATATTTTTTTTCATTTGCCTGAGCATATGAGTGCTTGAAATTCGATTTTGATAAATTTAATGCAGTTCAACAATACAATTTTGCTAAAGAATTTAGGAATAGTTATTATGAAAGTGTCAAAGATTATATATTTATGGAAGAAGATGTCTACTATTACTATTATCCACTATTAGTTTTCGATGTATCTAAACAGATTAATAGAATTATTGCATCTCGACCTGATGTTACAATAAAAGCTTCCTTTAATAAAAACATTGCTCAAAGTACTAAATGTTACTGTCTGATTCTTTCAGAAAATATTGTTGAAATCAAGGATAATAGAGTTAAGGTTGTTAGTATTTGATAAATCAAAATAGATTATTTAAATAATTGCATCTAAGATGCTCTTGATTATTTCTAATTATTGAGTCAGTGTATAAAATGCTTAGGTCTTTAAAGGATCTCCTTCGGATTCACTTGTGAAATTTAAATTCGTTTCCTTTATCCAAGAGTTGAATTTTTCCGGATATCCATACCACTTAACAAACACTTCTTTTACTCCTTTAGATTTTCTATGTTTTATCACTTTTTCAACTTTATACTCTTCATTGATATTATTGTAAAGTGTGAGTTCTTCTTCATAAAACTTTCCTTTGATTTCTTCATTTACTAGGTCTCTAATAGAATACATTGTAATCCCTTCTTCATTTGGGTGAACTTCAGAAATCTTAAATTCTTCAGTACTCCAATTTGGAAGATATCCTTTATCGAAAATAGCTTTATATTTTGTAATTCTGACAGTGTCTCCTATTTTGAATTTCGCTTTGATTGGAGTCTTTTCTTCCTCACTTGAAGGGAAGAGATTTTTGTAAACTATCGATTCATTTTCTATTTTTGAAGCCTGTGTTGGAGTCATTTTTATTGAAGAGTGATAATGATTGTTATAGCCCCAGAGTAAATCATCAAGAATATCAACCCATTTATGGTTTCCTTGATGAGTAAACATTTTCCACATTTTCTCTTTCAAAGTTCTATTGAATCTCTCAACTATTGAAGCTTTTTTATCTGAATAAGTTGAGAAATGATTAATTTCTAATTTTTTGAAGAGACTTTTTAAATTGGAATTGTAATACTCTTTTCCATTATCAGTTTGCATCTTCTTTGGTTGTCTACCACTCTGAATGAAAATTTTTCAAGAGCTTCTGTAGTTTCCTTACCACTTTTAGTCTTCAGAGGTACTACCCAAGCAAACTTTGAAAAGCAATCAATGATAGTTAAAAAATATTTAAAGTCTTTGTTTTCTTCTGAGTAGGGAGTCATTTCTACAAGATCTGATTGCCATTGATCATCTATACCATCAAAGTAAACTCTTTGACTCTTGAAGTTTTTCCTAGCTGGTTTGTGTAGAGTGTAAACATCTTGTTCATTCAGGAACTCTTTAACCTTTTTCTGTGACACCTTTGTTATTCTTGCTAACTCATTGATACCACAAAATCCTGTTTTAGGAGAATAATAAGCTTTTTCTAAAAGATCTCTTTCACCTTCAGCGAAAGGAAGCTTCCTAGAAGTGTTTGTGGATTGTCTAAGAATTTTAGATTTTTCACTAATTTCAACCTCCTTGACCTCTTCTAATCCATAACCTCCTGTGATTGTTGGAATTAGCTTACACTTCATTGTTTTACAATCTTGGCATAACCCTTTTATCATAGAACGTTTCGAGCTTGTTTCAACATTAAATATGTCAGTAGTATCAGTATATTTTTTACATTTGAAACAGTATACTAATTCCATAATTTAGAAGTTAAAATTTTTTGGCTACAAATATCTTATTTGATTTTGTGAAATGGTTGACGTTCAGTGAAAATGGATGTCTTCACTAGAAAGTGAATTCACTCCCACCTAGCCATGAACCCCAAACATGGCTACCTCTTCCGAGGTATTAACTTTTTCACTTGGCTTCAATCAAACAAGATATTTGTTTTTTTCAAAATAAAACAAGAAGATGAAATAACAACAAACATGAAATAACAAAGAATTAACAACAACAATCAAATGATTATTCACTTTCTCCCCATCCGGAAAAGATTCTTCAAGTCGTTACATAGACTGTTTTCTCAGAATTTCGAATGCTCATTCAACATTTCCTGCTGAAATATATCTTATTCATTTAAATTCTTTGTTGTTATTCTGGAGACGTTCATTACTCACCTTTAGTAGTTCGTTGAATCTTTCTTCTCATTAAACATAATAAAATCTCTTGTTATTGAACACATCTTTCACTGATCGAAGAGATTCATCAATTTCGTTAAATTGATGTTGTAGTAAAACATGCAAATAAAGAATAATCTCTTTCTGTTCACTTTTACGCTTTATGGAGAAGTAGAGATTTCATGACACGAAAAGCATCCTCCATCTTAGAAGAAAATATTGAACTTAGCTTGAAAAACATCTTCAAAATGAAATAACAACACAAAACTGAAGAAATTCTGCGATGTAAATCTTTCTCAAATGATACACTTCGTTCTTTCATACTTGTTTGCCAGTACCTTCGAGAAGTTTCAGAGTGTGACCAAACTCATCGAGTTCTCTCCCTTTCTCTTTGTGTGACCTTCTTTTCTCTTCCTCACTCTGACCCAGTATAGTCACACATTTGCCCCAGTTGAACTAGACACACGCGACGCAACACGCAAACGCGTTGGGCTAGAGTGAAAGGCAGAGACGCAGAGGAAAGCGAGAGACGCCATCATCACATTCTTCCTCTATTCACGCTTGTTGTATTTTAGGAAATATTTGTTGTTCTTTTATTTACATAATGCTGAAATAATTTGAATATTAATGCACTTTATACCACGATTTTTTCTCTATTCATTCTCAATTTTCAGCAGTCATCAAGCAATTAGTCGGTCAACATGAGTGAACACAACAAGGTAAGCATAAATTTATGTGTTTTCTAAATTGATTTGTCTTTTTAGAGTTCGTCGTCAGATGAGTCGTGGCAGAAGCTCGCTTTGCCATACGACGAATTTGATGTTTTTGTCTCGGACATTAACAATGAAGAACTTGTCGAGGTTTGTTAAATTTTTACTATTGTATTTAATATTTTTGTTTTCAGATTGGATTCGAGAAAGAAATCGAACACCTCAGCTCTGCAACTTTCTCGTCGCCACCTTTTCCAGTGAAAGGATGGATCTACGGACGAAACCTCCGGTGTATGATTCCTCTAATCTGCCAGCGAGGAGGTAATGTTTTATGACAACTTTGTTGAAATACTGAAAATTTGCAGGAAAACCTGGCTCGAAGGCTATCATAATTTGGTTTCTATGTGATACGGGCTCACCATTCACTTGCGTCAGTGAGAAATCGTTGGAAAGTCTGTATGGTGAAGGGAATATCACCCATTCACGTTATGATTTGGTCATCCAGGTTTGTTTTCTTTTAATTGAACTTTACTGATTAAATGTTTAGGATCAAACGTTGGAAATCGTTTGTCGAGTGTCAAAGGAACATTTTCGAGAAGTCAACATTTTGGGAATGGACGCAATGCAAATGATGCGGCTATCGATTGAGATGGACTGGACACGCGAAGAATTCAAGCTTATTAAAAAGTAATTTCTTTGTTGTAACGGCGTTTATGTTCAATAAATCTTTTCTTCTTTTATAATACCACTTTTTCAATAAAATCGACATCCATCAATTTTCTAAAAAGTGTGAAAATGACACATTTTCGAGTATTTAAGCATGAAAATAGAACATTAAAAATAAAATAAACATCCAAGCAAAAAATTGGTCGAAAATGTATGAAAATTATTGAAAATAAGCACTTTTTTAGTTCTCCAAAATTGACACATTTTCTTATTTTCCGAGAAAAATTGTTGTAAATGAGGTGATTCTCTGCTGTCAGAGAAAAAATGTGTTGAAATGACTGAATGTCGAAAACGGTATTATAATCCCTCTTTCCTATACTACTCATATAGTTCAGAATTTTGTGTCCGTTGGAGGTTGTCTTGGAGGTTGCGCGAAGGGTTCAATACTTGACGCCATTGAAGTCGCTACAACTATAATGATGAAATAATGAGCATTATAAATAAAAATAATATCAATACCCGTCTTGTTAACTTTAGTAGTTGTCAAAGTCCTTCGGCTCCTGTTCAATATGATTGTGTTTCCTAAAATGTACTAATAATTAGGAAACGGAAAATGATGAAGAATAAGTTTTAACAATGCCAAATTAATTAAAAAATGCCATAAAATATATAAAAATTTTAAACTATCAATCAGCGATTATAAAAATGTAAAATAAACAGCAAAAATAAAAGAAACTGGCTAATAAAAAAAGAGACACAGAAAAATACTCAAAAAATAACGCGCCCAAAAACACGCTGCAGAGTGTATGCCGCATACACTTCTCTTCGCCTCGAGAAATCTGGCAATTAGCCAATATTTTTTTTAAATTTCGTCAAGTCGTTTGACGCCGACAATACTTTTACTTTTTCAACTGGCACATCTGCGAAAAACACTGAACGCATGACGCTCCATCTGTCATAGAGCACGTAAACATACTCATCGTTTTGTTGAATGGGACCATTAGATTCCCAATTCGTTCTCCAATGTTGGCAGCTGATCCGCCATTCGGCATTGTCGAGATCCCACTAAACTGAAAAGTATAAGTTTTTGTAGCGATGTTTGCATCATAGCTTACCAATAATTTACGCTCGAACTCCTTATCTACATAAGAAATATGAGCACTATATACATGCAACCGGTTTCTATTATCACTGAATCCATCCGTGATTAAACAGGCGTGCTGTAAAAGAAATTATAGAGGTTTGTCAGTCATAGCCTAAACACTTACATTTATATCTTTCAGCTTTTCCTTTAGACAATTCTTATAATTTTTCTGAGGCACATTTAATCTTATTCTTTACTTGCTTTGCTGACGGAACATGAAAATCCTTATTTAGAGTTGAACAAAATCTTCTGAAATGAGGATTTTCAACAAATCTAAATGGCATGAATCCTGTCGCTACGCTCCTGAACTTAAGTCAATTAAGAAAAAATTAATCAATTGAAACTTACATGGCCAATTCCAATGCAGCATCTTCTAAAGTTGGAGCATTGTCAGCCTGATCGGATGAGAAGCTTCTTTCCTAAAAGAAGGATATAAACTAATGAATGTTAAAAAAAATTACCTTTTTCTTTTTGAGCTTTTTAGTTTTTTCCATCTCCTCACCATGCATATTATTGAGGTGGTACAAAATCGAAGTTGTCGATCCTTTATATGGCAGATGTTTCTCGAAAAATTTGCACTTAACCGTCGCATTATCATCTGATTTCGACGCATACTTCCAAACTTTAGAAGTGGAAGATAATTTTTTGCATCCTGTCATTTCTTACTATCTGAAAACGAAAAATATGTTATATGCATTGAAAAAAAAAAGATAAACCTATAAAAATCCGAAAAAAACCGTACTCAGCAAGCCGAGCGGGCGAAACCGTGGCAGAAACTAGCTGAAGGCAAAACTAGGGTGAAATTGTGGAACAATGGTGTCAGAAACACTGCTGGCACAACTGGGGAAGAAGCGTGGCACAACGGCGGCAGAAAACACGACATTTAAATCGATTTATGGTTAATCGAGGGCAATGTTACGAAAGTTTTTCAAGCAGCCGAGATGATTGTAAGGAACAACGTGAAAGTAAGAACTCATTTTGAGCTACACGCTGTCGATGGTTTCAACATTTGTAGGCTAGAGATGTTGAAGTTTTTACGAACGACCTATATAGGAATTGCTTTTCGCCGATAAAATCTATATTTTGCTCGGAATGCCTATCAAGTATCGACGAAACATTGCATTTCTGCACTAACAGCGATTGTGGATCAAACGGGTTAGCTTATTTTTTATTTAATTAATATTGTGAAGAGCCCCATAAGCGCCTACGCCTACGACAACGCAAGTCAAGGATAGGGCCCTTCCATTTCTACGAGAGGAAATCGTTTCGGCACTTCGGTCCTTCCCAAATGGGAAAACAGCAGGCAGTGATAAAATAAGCGCAGACTTCCTCAAATGCTGCCACGAAAACACTATCGCGCTGATATACCGATTTAACCGCTACCTAGAAACCGGATCAATACCGAGACTGTGGACCAAGTCAGAGACAACTATCATCTTCAAGAAAGGTGATAGATACTCCCTGGAGAACTACAGGCCAATCACGGTACTCCCTGTTCTATACAGGACTTTCACAAAATGCATTTTGAATAGAATCAGGAGTAAACTAGAAGCCAATCAACCTGTAGAACAAGCTGGGTTCCGCAAGGGCTTCTCAACAGTGGATCACATCCACTCTGTCCAAAGACTGCTAGAAGTGGGACGAGAATATCAAATCCCACTCACACTTGTCTTCGTTGATTTCAAGAAGGCGTTCGACAGTGTTGAGCATTCAGCAGTGTGGCAGAGCCTAAGAGACCAAGGTGTTGAAGAAGCGTATATCCAGCTACTCCAAAGTTGTTACTCTGACTGTTCCACAAGCATCACGCCATTCCATCGACAGGTAGAGATACCTGTTCGAAGAGGAGTAAGGCAAGGTGACCCAATCTCGCCGAACCTTTTCTCCGCGTGCCTGGAGCAAGTTTTCCGTGGATTGTCTTGGAGTCAATTCAAAAACGACTCAGAAGACAATACGAACACTCCAGGATTACGAGTGAATGGCCGCAACCTCACACACCTGCGGTTTGTAGACGACGTCGTGCTCATAGCGCACAGTCCGCAAGAGGCATCCGAGATGCTAAGTGAGATGGTTGCCAGATGCGAACAAGTAGGGCTCCAGATTAACGCTGGAAAGACCAAATTCCTACGTAACCCCTTCGCAGACTCCGCCAAGGTTACGCTAACGCACCAGAACTCGGTCAGTATCATTGACGATGTTGACGAATACGTGTACCTTGGAAGACTAATCACCCCCAAAAACGAGCTAGTCAAGGAGATCTTCCGAAGAAGAAGAGCAGCTTGGGCAGCGTTTAATGGAATCAAGAACACCACCGATTTGATTTCCTGTAACAAAACCCGCGAACAGCTCTTCGATTCCATCGTTCTCCCAGCGCTGACTTACGGATCAGAGAATTGGACCTTCACCAAAGCTCTTGCCGAACGAGTCCGAATTAGTCACGCTGCGCTTGAGCGATGATTGGTAGGCCTCACGTTATCACAACAACGTGAACAATTAAGATCTTCATCGAGAGGACATCCGCATCATGTCCAAAGTTCGGGACCCCCTACACCACGAAGAGGAAGATGACCTGGGCTGGACACGTTGCTAGAAGAACAGATAGAAGATGCACTACTCTTCTAACGGAGTGGCGGCCGTGGAATTGGACCCGGCCAAGAGGAAGGCCTCCCATGAGATGGTCTGACTCGCTTCGGAAGATGATCACTACAAGAACAGCTGAAGGAGCCGTTATCACCCCCTGGTCCACCCAAGCGAAGGATCGAAAAGCTTGGAAAGCTGTGGTTCGCGCCTCAACAGGCGAAGGACGCACCGACTAAGTGACTAAGTGTAAGTAAGAAGTGAACTATAAAGGAAAGCATGCGTGAAAGGAACGGCTACAGAAGAAACAATCGTTATAACGTTTTCCATAATGGCTCAGTTACGACGCATCCTTAGAAATTGCGGAGGCGAAATAGTTGAAACACACAAGTTTCTTCATAATGAAAGGGTTGGTTTAAAAAAACAATTAAAAAAGTGCTCTATTTTGGAAAAAAAAACTTCCAGAAAACCGGAAGATAGTACGATTCGAACTACTTAGTTACGACTTCGTTATCCAACATCACAACAAAACATTGCCATAAATATCTAACGAAAACCACAATATTGAGTGTAATTGAGCGAAAATTAAATATTTAAGACTTTATTAAAACGAAATATTTTCAACAAGTTTTGCAACATTCTTAAGATCCTCAATATCTCGCTCGACGGATCCTTCAACTGCGACGAATTTTGGAATCGCCGCATTTCGTACAACGATTCCTGCTTTTTCGAGGGAATCCAAATTTTTTCCGTGGATTTTGATTCGCGCTTTTGTTGGATCTTCAGGAATTGATTCTTCAACCTTAAACCTTGTAATTTAATGAAAAGAAATACGGAAAATTATTCTACTTGAATTTTTACATCGTATTTATCACAAATTGTTTTTACATTTTTTCCATATTTTCCAATAAAAATTCCAACAAATTCCTGATCGATGAGGAGTTCAACGGTTCTCACGGGTCCACGTGAGTGATCGATAATCTCAGCGACACGGAGTCGGACCATTTCGAACTAAACAAATTTATCTGAGAAATATCTACGCAAAAACCAATATTTACCTTTTTCTTATTATTCGTTCGAACAATTAAAAAATGGTATTTTCCATCTGCTGGCTTCTCTTCATTTTCAACCCATTCATCAATCCCCGGACTTTCGTCCCAGCCTTCTTGAATGATTTCCAAACTGAAAACCATATTTTAAGAAGATATCAATAATGAAAATAACACTTTGCTCGTTCTGCTTGGTCTTCTGATAATGAGCTGATTATACATTCAACCTAAAATTAAATAATTAAAGTAAAATTTGAAAATAAATAAAAATTACTTCTAATTCGCTTGAATTGATTAGGTTGATTAGGAAAAGAGGAATCTGATTGAGGTGTCAAAACATGCGCTCTAGGGCAATATAGCGTCGATCGGGAAAGCGCGTCGGGGAGCAGAGAGTGTGCTAACATGAGAGAATGTGCCAACACTTAGCGTCAATTTGAAGTTCTTGTCGTCAAATGCGCTCTGTCGCAGGTCTCGCACCGACGCCCAGTGGCACTATAAAAGGCTGGCGGAATGAGGAATTTGGTCATTCTCGCAGCTCTCCGAGTTGCGAGCAACCCGCCAGCGGGCACCTCGTGTCCCGCATAACCTGCGGGCTCCACGTGCCCCGCGCAACCTGCGGGCAGCCCGCATCTCCTGCGGGCTCGCTGTGGCCAAGGATCCACTAGGTAAGTCGCATTCATCGCCGTCGCTTTTCCTGATTTCCTCTTTTTGCAGATCCGATATGAGCCACAGTCGATTCTCCATCGACACCTTCGGATCGGAAGTGTTCAAGGTGTGAGGGATTCTCGCCTCGACCGGCTCCGTTAGTCAGGGCTCACCCTTCAATGGGCGTACTGCAGTGTCGGTTCGAGGTGACGTTAAACCTACACTGAGGCATCGAGGTGATGAAGGAAGAGATGGAGAGGCGACGAAAGGTCGACGCTGCCCGGGGCGTCGAGTAGAGCGAGGAAGCGGATTCAAATGGTAACGAAGAAGCAACAATCGATCGGAATAATTCGATTCATTGCAGGGTTTTCGATGAACGGATCGAGAGAAGACGACTGGAGGAAGCGACGAGGAATGACACCAGTGAGAAGTAATTGATCCGCGGATCATGGTAGTTTTAGGCCCGGGCCTTATTTTTATTTTTATTATTTATTAATTTTTTAATTTTTTAATTTTTATTATCACTCACTTGCACCAGCCGTACCACATACGGCTTCCCACTCTCTATCCCACCACTTGGGATTCCCCCTTCTCTCCGTACATTCGTACCACTTACGTCTGTACTTCCTCCTGGTCCTACCGTTTTGGACCATCCCTTCTTTCTGGGGAAAGCCGGCTTCCCCATCCTTTTCCTGCCGTACCACTTACGGCTTCTCACTTCCACCAGTCGTACCACTTACGACTGTCCTCTCTCTCTCTATCAGTCGACTGATTCCCCTCTGCCGTACCACTTGCGGCTTCTCACTCACTCTCTCTCTCTCTTATTTCCGTACATTCGTACCACTTACGTCTGTACATCCTTCCATTATTTTCACTTATTATTATTTTTGTTTTTAGACCCTTCGGGGTCGGGCAATGATCCACATCAGGCCTCTTCCTGATGCTGTGTGAGCCTCTCCTTCAAGTGTCGAGCCTCTACGTGGCGAAGGAGATCAACTGACTCGACTCTTCTTCATGGTGGGTCGAGTCAGGCTAATCGACACACACGCAGGTCGGGGATGTTCTTCCTTTCCGTTTGATTTTTTTCAACTAGTCTATTTTACCGTATCCAACATCACACACAACCAAACGTGGCTATAAATATCTAACGAAAACCACCATATTGAGCGTAATTGAGCGAAAATTAAATATTTAAGACTTTATTAAAACGAAATATTTTCAACAAGTCTTGCAACATTCTTAAGATCCTCAATATCTCGCTCGACGGATCCTTCAATTGCGACAAATTTCGGAATCGCCGCATTTCGTACAACGATTTCTGCTTTTTCGAGGGAATCCAAATTTTTTCCGTGGATTTTGATTCGCGCTTTTGTTGGATCTTCGGGAATTGATTCTTCAACCTTAAACCTTGTAATTTAATGAAAAGAAATACGGAAAATTATTCTACTTGAATTTTTACATCGTATTTATCACAAATTGTTTTTACATTTTTTCCATATTTTCCAATAAAAATTCCAACAAATTCCTGATCGATGAGGAGTTCAACGGTTCTCACGGGTCCACGTGAGTGATCGATAATCTCAGCGACACGGAGTCGGACCATTTCGAACTAAACAAATTTATCTGAGAAATATCTACGCAAAAACCAATACCTTTTTCTTATTATTCGTTCGAACAATTAAAAAATGGTATTTTCCATCTGCTGGCTTCTCTTCATTTTCAACCCATTCATCAATCCCCGGACTTTCGTCCCAGCCTTCTTGAATGATTTCCAAACTGAAAACCATATTTTAAGAAGATATCAATAATGAAAATAACACTTTGCTCGTTCTGCTTGGTCTTCTGATAATGAGCTGATTATACATTCAACCTAAAATTAAATAATTAAAGTAAAATTTGAAAATAAACAAAAATTACTTCTAATTCGCTTGAATTGATTAGGTTGATTAGGAAAAGAGGAATCTGATGATTTTCATCAATAATGAAAATTATCAATTCTATTTATTTTTTACGCATTTCTAAATCATTGTTAAGAAACATTTTTGTATATTTAAACTTTCAACCATTTGATCTTTTCTAACCGCGATTGGGCACCAATGAAGCAGTCCACCAATTAAAATCACCATTCTTCGTTGAAAAAAATGCGATTTATCTACATCATAACCGCGTTTCAATTCATTTTGCTATCATCGGCTGTACAAGATTCAACCACCGAATTATTACGAGCCTGGCTTCCGTGGTGGCCGAAGAATGACGAGAATTCATTGGCGGCAAGTGTCGATTCGCATTTTTAAAAGAAAATATCGATTTCAGACCACGAATCTTTTAAATTTAAGTTTTCCCGACGAGAATTCGAACGAAACGTACGTCGAGACTGAAAATGGAGATTCAAATCTGGTACTCAACCGAGCTCCAGAGTCTCCACTTGATGATACGTCACAAAGGTAATTCAAATTTGATCTAAAAATTTGATAATCGCAACATTTAGATCGAGTAAAACCGACCACAACAATTTTATAATGGACTTTGATGAGCTCGCCGAGTGTCCGAGAGATTGCTCAGTGGAGCTCAAAGATGCGCTCTCAATAGCTCTTCAGGATATGAGCCATATCGAGAGATATTCGAAAATTTGCGGGTAATTATTTATTAAATATTCATCGCGTTTGATTCGTTTTCAGAAAATACAAGTCAACATTGTCGTGTATTCATGAGGACGAGAAATGCCTTGAAGAGGATCGCGGAATGTTCGAGACGATGATGAGCGGCCTTCATTACATGTGTGTCGAGCAAGAATTAGGTTGGAAATTGAGTTTTTGGCGAATTTCGTAAATTTCACCATCGATTTCAGCATTCAATGCGACGATCAAATGCATCGACGATGAGGCCGGCGTTGTGCAGGCAGGTAATAATTGAATGGGACAGGGGCTCTCGAGACGAATCGGTATTCCTTTCAGAATGCGAACAACAATGCCAAACCAAAAATCTATTTATGAATTGGATTATGCGCTCCGCTTTCCAGGATACCATTCAGCAAGGTGTCAACGATATCGTCGGCGCTGCCACTGGCGCGAACGTCAATCCGCTGGCGTTCATGAAGTCCGGCGAACAGCAATGGGCGAATTTTCTGCAGTCGGCCGGCCAGCCGCCGAAAACGGACGCGGCTTCGATGCAGCAGGGAATGGAAAACTTCCGACAGTTCACTAACGATTTGTGTCGAGTTGGCGATTGCATGCTGGATTGTATTCGAAGCAAATTCAACACGAGGTGCGAAGGAAGCGCCGGAACACTGCTTTCAGTTTGATGAATTATTTGAAGTTGAGAAAAACACCAACTAAATTTTAGGAAGTCTTTGTGAGACCCATCGCGATGAGCCAGAACAAACTCACCGTTCTCCGACCGGTTTTGGGCATCTTCATGCCCGATCAATGCAATTATGTGTATAACAATGCAGCGTTGAAGAAGCATCGAATCGATTCACAAATGGATACTGAGCTTAAACGGATGTATAGGGAGAAATTCGACAAGGAGATCAAAGAGCGAGCCGCTCAGGATGAGCTTTTGGCCAACATGGTGCCTCTTGATCAAAACGGAGTTCCTCTTGCGAGAGCGATTCCGGAGATTTATGATGCCGCTGATTCTCCATTGGACGCCAGCGAGATGAGCCTTGAAAGGATGAGTAAGTCGAAACGCGTTGGATTTTCTACAAATTTCAATTTTTTTCAGTTTTAGATAAGAATGAGACGGAAACGCATAAGCAATCGAACGAAAACACTGAAGAAAAATCTGTAAATCTGATATCTCCAAGATTTTTGATTAATACTTGATTTTCAGAGTAAATATGACGTCAAAAAAGTACCTGCTAAAACGAAATATGAAAAGAAAATTGAGGCAAATAAGCCAACTGAAGAGCATTCTGAAGAATTAGAATCATCGGGAGTCGCATCAGTGGATGTTGAATACTCTGGGGAATCTTCTGGTGACACGGAATCATCAGGAGAAAGATTCAAAGAATCTTCTGGAGATGTGGAAGCATCAGGAGAAACTTCAGACGATTCATTTAGTGAAGCTTCGGGCGACTCATCCGGTGATGGAGAGGCTTCTGGATCTCTTGAAGACCGCGAATCCTCAGGGGAAGGATCGGGAGAATATGAATATCTGCCACTTTTGTAAAACTTCTTGTTGTTATAATTCCCACCACATTGCATGTAATTTTAACCATACTACATTCATGGAATCTTTCATAAAATGTTACTCATATACAGAAAATTTACAAGATATCAGATTTTCTCAGACATTTGGGCTAAATTGTGCATGGGCTCGAGGGCTTCAATATAATTATCGCAACATAGGTCCATTTCTAGAAGGAAGTTGATCAAGTCTTTGTCGTCAAGATTTGGGTCGATATTAAGTGGTTGGCAATTTTCCAGGATGCTGCCCAGCCTTTGAAGCTCTTCACAGAATTTTTGAACCAAATCACAAGTCTGAAATAAATGTTAATTTCGATAGTTTCTTTTTGAGTTTACCTCTTCAATATCGGCTACCGTAATTTTAGCCTTCTCTATAACAGCTTTACTATGACCTTGAACCTCGTCCACGATTTTTGAGCTCTGCATCACATCGTGTTCCAACCGTGACACTTTAGTGGTGAACTCGGTGACTTTTTCCGCTTCAGCGATTATTTGACCAACGAGATCGGTAGAAAAAAGCTCTTGTTTTTCTATTGATTTCTCGCTTTCATCGATTTGTTGAGAGAGTTTATCGTTTTGAAGAAATATCTTTTTTTTTTAATTTGTTATTTATTCTAAAATTTCAAATTTATTTACCTCGATCGAGTCGGAAAATTCGTCGGCTACTTTCGAGGACTTCTTCTTTCCTTCTTTTCCTATAGTCTTCGGCGCAATTGAGTTTTGATTCTGATCGGGAATAGCGAAACTGACCCGCTAAAAATCATTTCAAAAATTTGCGTGAAATAAGGTATCTTAATTAAAAAAATATATTATTAACCTTTTCATTCCGGTTTTGTAGCTGATGTTTATTTTTAATAGCAGACCTGGGTTGGTTCTTCATGGTGACAAAAGTTCGATGACACAAAAAATTTTAAACTCAAGCTGGCACAAATGAAAATACCGTAGCATTCGCTGTAAGACCGTATTAATGCAATTTAGTGTCTGCGTCGTTGGTTACTGTCAAATGTCGTTTTGTTTTTTCTCGCAATTTCGTAGTCCATTTTAGCAATTTTCGCAATACTATTAACGTTTTTCTCTATTTTAAACGTTTTTGTTGTTTTTTAAATAAATACTTAATTTAATTATGCAATTAATGTGAAGAATATGCGCATCGATTTTCCATTTTAGCACTATATATTTGCTTCAGATTTGTTTTCAGGTTTTCGCCAACTCTCCCGCCGTGACTAATGAATTCTGTTCAAACCACTCAGGTCCAATATTTTCTATATGTATTGCCGTTTTTGCCTTTTTTGCGTTCATATTTAAATTTATTGATTTTTGTCTTTTTCGAAAATGCAACACAAATTTTTCGTAAATTTTTTCCCATTAGAAATTTTGAAATATTTTATTTCGCTGAGTTGATTTAACAATTTTTACAGATTTTCAACGATTCCGTCAATACTGGCGTGACATTGAAGAGAGCTCTGGAATCACAGTCGCTTGATTGTAAGTATTTTTGTTATATTTCGAAAATACGCAAAATTTGAGGCAATCCAGTTCCAGCAAAAAGGGCCGCCGATATTCCGGATATGGCTAACAATGCCAGCATGCTTGCCGAAACGTTCCCTGTTCCCGAGAACGTTGTTGGACTTGGTACATGAATGCAAATAAAACGAACGATAAATATGTTTTTTCAGTGATCGGCAAAGGGGGCTCCGAAATTCGCAATATTCAGCAAATGTCGGGTTGCCGTGTACAAATGAATCCTGATAATAGCGCGGTCAATGGATTTCGTGGTTGTCAGCTGCAAGGGACGTTGGCATCGATTGAAGCTGCGAAAGCAATGATTAACGACATAATCCATAGGAATCAAGTGTCATCGTTGAAAACTGGAAACGGCTATGGAAACGAGCAGACGATAGAAATTGAAATTCCCGCTGAAAAGTGTGGACTGATTATTGGCAAAGCCGGTGAGACTATTCGTACGCTTCAAGAGCAGAGCGGATGCAAAATGGCGATGGTGCAGCAAACGCAGGCGGTCACAGGAGTTCCGAAGCCACTTAGAATCATTGGAACGCCAGAACAAGTGAATGAAAAACCATGATATGTCAATTGAAACTTGATTTTTAAAGGTCGAACTGGCTAAGCAACTGGTGCAGAATGTGCTCAACAATGATTCAAACATTCCTCGACATCACCCCTCTGGAGAAACAATAGCGAAAGGCGAAGTAATTGTGCCAAGAGCAAGTGTTGGCACAATCATTGGCAAGGGTGGAGAAATGATTAAAAGATTGGGTTTAGAAACCGGAACAAAGATTCAGTTCAAGCAAGATGGTTCTAGAATTATTTAAAATTCAAAACATTTCATTGATTTAAGATGATCCGACGTCACCTGAACGATGTGCCGTTATTATGGGAACTCGCGAGCAAATTTTCATGGCGACCGAGCGTATTACCGAACTGGTGAACAAATCTGAAAACCCTGGTGCGCAGGAGGTTTTGTTTTTCGCTTTCAACCGATTTTCTAATTTTTCTTTCAGGTTTACTTCATGCATATTCCGGCGAACAAGACTGGACTCGTTATCGGAAAAGGCGGTGAGACAATCAAGCAGATTAACAAAGAAACGGGAGCTCATTGTGAATTATCGCGCGATGAGCAGCCGAATCCTGATGAGAAGGTGTTCATAATCAGAGGAACGCCGTATCAGATCCATCATGCTACACATATAATTCGGATTAAGGTGCGCTTTTTAGTTCGTCAAACTGAAACCATCTAGCATCTAATTAGGTCGGTGATCTTCCACCAAACGCACCAATCCCACCATTTTACGGTAGTGCTCCGCAATCGCAAATGCACCAATCCATCAATCAAGCGATGCCGTATGGACAACAACAGACAACGCAATACAGTACTTCGTATAATTCCATGTATCAAAAGCCGCAGATGAACGGAAATGGTACAAATTCGCAATTGATGATTGTATTGTGGAATTTTGTAGTTTCTTGGCAAAGTCCGCAGCCAATAATCCAACAGCAGTGCTATCAAAATGGCAACAGTCAGGGAATTCCGCAACAGGCGCAACAACCGGCAGGACAGTCTCTTGATTCAACAGCGCCTGTCATCAATCCGGCCACTGGTCAGCCGGATTATTCGGCGCAGTGGGCTGCGTATTATAGGTGATCTCAATGAACGGTGTTCCAGCGAAATGCAAGATTACTTAGGTCTGTGGGACTTCATGAACAAGCGGCAATGGTGGAGAATCAGATGAAGCGCACCCAGCAACAGGTGCAGCAACAGCAGCCGCACCAAAATGGCGCCCAGCAGGTTTTAGCTGGCGCCGCGGATACTATTGGCATGATTCAGCAGCAAAATGGTCAGCAATACCAATTCAATCCAATTCAGCAACAATAGATTCCTTCACTCTTTATTTATTTGTTTATTATTGATTGTTTTTTTTTATTTGATATTTTGTTGTATGTTTATTTCGAGGGAATTTGTGAAAAAAAAAATTTTAATTCATTGGTTGGTTTTGAGTGATAGTGTGCGAATCTTACTCATCACCTTAATAAAGTTTAGTTTAAAGGGCCCACTGCTATCAACCCCCAAATTTCAACCCCTACCCTCGATTTTCCACCCCCATTTTTATGTTTCTACCATCTCTTTTTTAAAATTTTATCTTCCTTTCTCCTCCGATTTTCATACCGGGAAGATTTTCTGTTCGGGCCATTAAAATAAGAATAGTTCCAAAAATATATGATGTTGGTCCAATTGTACAGAGCGTTCAAACGAGCTTGCTATGAGGTTGCAATGAAGACGGACAAAAACAGATTACATTGTAAAATATTTATTGGAATATTATGAAACTGGCGATAAATTATTTTCAGTTTTTTAAAACATAGTAACTATAGCTATATTCTAAAAGGAATAAGAGAACCGATACAAAAATCGAAGCACACTAAGTAAACTAGAAATTGAATATTTTCTGAGCTGTAGAAAGCCGCAAAGAGCGATAAAAATTAGAAAAATAAGACAAAAATGAAATGAAAAATAAACAAACACTCAGTCCGTAAACACTGTATGTGTAATTGCACACATCTACCGTACTCTGCGTTTTTCATTTCTTATTTTACTGATGGCGTATAAATTCGTTTTTCAATGTTTTTACGTTTAAAAATTTTGATCTCAAATTCTGATTATCCAATAACTTTTTTTTTTGAAAAATTTGAAAAAAAAAACCGAGAATCATATAAACGGAAACGGGAGTTTTTCAAAGCTGAAGTAAAAAAATCACATTGAAAATTAAATTTTTTAAAGCTGCTATAGGAGAATATACTGACTATAGGAAAATAAACTTTAGAAACATATCAAATTCGACCATTTTCCACTTCGACGAGACGAATTTTTTTCGAAACGTAAAAACATTGAAAAACGAATTTATAAATAGGCCATCAGTAAAATAAGAAATGAAAAAGCAGAGTACGGTAGATGTGTGCAATTCTTTCTTGAAGAACTCAATGTTGTTTTCATTTTGAAAATTTCGATGTTGTTTCATCATTCTAGAAGGTAAATTTTTATAAGTATACTACATATTTTTAAACTTTTAACGCGTTCCATATACCAAAAAGTTAATTTTAAAAATCCAGTTAATCAATGTAATTTTTGCAGGTCGAAGGTGAACCGTCGAAAACCGAAACAGTGGACCTCATGAAGAATTTACAAATTCGCCAAGAAATGTAAACGGTTCGCGTGAAAATACCAAAATAAGCACGGTCGACATTTCGGTTTTGATGGTAGTAAGCCGTTTGCCATATTAAAGCGCGTTTTTTTAAGGAAAAATCGTGTTTGTGGATGAAATAGAGCAGCGGTTGTCATGGAGATGAAAAATCGATAGCTCTGCCTAACTCAAAATCGGCCCCCCCCCTCTCTCTCTCTCTCTACTGGCCACCCATCTTTGAATTCTCTCTTTTTTTGGATTCGGCGATTCGTTTTAAGAATCTGCCGCCGTCTAATACCATTTTACGAGCGTTCGACGCCCCACCAAGACCCCCCTCTCTACCCTATTGTCCATATATGGGTTTCTTTTCATCGCTATCGAGCCTTTTCGGTCTCGGCAAAAAGCAGGTCCATGTCGTCGTTGTGGGTCTTGACAATTCGGGAAAGGTTCGCGATTCGGTAATTCGCGTCTAAATCGATGTTTAGACGACGATATTGAATCAGCTGAAGACGCCGGAAACGCGCACGGCGCAAATCGTACCGACCGTCGGATTCAATGTTTCGAATGTGCAAACGGGCAATTTGGTGATTAACGCGTTCGATATGGCCGGACAAGGTATTTTGTCGGATGGTTTTTTGGAAACAAAATCAATTGAATTTTTAAAACACGAATGGAAAAACAATGATTTGGCAATGCTCGATATGTTGGAAAAAAAAATGAAATCGAGCATACAAAATTTATTTTGTGAATCTTCCAAATCCAATAATGAAAGAATGAGCATCATGATTTGCAGCCAAATACCGATCGATGTGGGAAAGCTACTATTCGACGGCGCAAGGCATCGTGTTCGTCGTCGACAGCTCCGACAAACTTCGAATGCCTTTGGCAAGAGACGAGCTGTGGATGATAATGGATCACAAGGACATTGCGCACAAACCGGTGAGTTGTAAATAAATCAATTGGGTGCCAACACAACACCCCCACCCAAGTTGTAAATTACATATAAAATAATGTTTGTGTAAATCGTCAGGTACCAATTTTGGTGTTGGCGAATAAAATGGACGAGCCGGAAGCGATGACGTCGGCGGAGATATCGGTATCGTTGGGGCTTGAGGTTATCCGAGGGCACCATTGGACGATTCAATCCACATGCGCGCTGAACGGCGTCGGACTTGACAAGGCGATGCAATGGCTGTCGAGCGAGATTCTCATCTACCTTGAAACGCGGAAATAATTGTTCAATAAAAGATTGTCTCAATGGTCCCGTTGATATTGTTATTGTTTTGCGATTAATGTTTTGTTTATGATCGGCGCGCGAGGGTGTGACCTTCTCGGCGCATTTGTCGGCTTGAAATCTGAGCTTGCTGATATGTGTCGGCGGAATGATACGGACACATGTTGAGACGGTCTTCTCAAGATGAGAATGCGTCGGCTTTTTGTGCGGAATCCACTAAATTATTCAGCGACGAATTGCGCCAGCGATTTTCCTTGTCGAAACCGCCGACCCGTTAATCCGGTATATGCTGATTGCGGGGAGACGCGCGCGAAAAAAAAACACACATGTGCTCAATGTTTTAGTCCAACAAGAAGCCATCTGAAGGCACTTAATCAAAAACAAACACACAGATTCCCAGGTAATATAATGGTGATTGACTGGTGGTAAAAGTTGAAGAGGGAGGGAGGCACACTGATAATCGGTAGGCTCCGCATTGGGCGGCTGCTCTTTCATCTGTCACGCAACCGCGACTAACCTTTTGCGGCAAAAAAAACGAACGAGTGAGTCAACGTCGGACAGGATGGAGGAGGAGTTCGAGGAAAGGAGCCCGACAACCAATTTATTGCCAGCATGGTTACTTCCCAGTATTATGCTGTCCTCTTATGTGAGTTCTTTTGGTTTCGCTTTTTTTGCAGCAGTTTTAAAAAATCGGAAAAATTCAAATAAATGGTAACGCGCGAAAATGCGTTCAAACACCGCGACGCAAATTATCACAGAAAACCCGATCCCATTTGACTATTTCGTTTTTAGTGGCAAGATTTTTTTTATTTTTTAAAATCTAATTTCGCGCTACTATTGCACCACTAATTTATTTTTTTAGATTTTTCATCTAAAAATCAAAATATAAATATTGTGATTTATAGTTTTATGCATATTTTTAGAAAAAAAAACTAAATTTATCCCAATATTGGCTATGTTTCTTCACGAATCAATTTGACTAGATTTTTTTTTCTTATAATCCCTCCTTGACAAGGGCTCTTATGCAGCTGGCATGGAACACGGAGACCTATAAACTAGGCAAAAAGGTAACGAAATGTATTGTATAGTTGAAATTGACAAAATTCTTCTCGCAAATTAATCAAACAATTTTTCAATTTGATAACGAGAATACCGTAATAGCGAAAATGTGCTCGTCTTGTGATCGAACACGGCATCGATTCGAAGCAGTGTTCGCTTTTGGCGAATTTTTATGATTTACAATCGTTTCGCGATTTCTCCATCTCTCTTTAGATGTCGGTGAAGACTGTTCGGGTATCATAAATCATTCGCGCCGCCTTTTTTTGCTTGCTTGAGCTGCCCGACCTTTCTGGGCTCTTTTACGATGTGATGGGCGTGGCTTGCCGGATCGCTACGCGCGCACTACGAACGTTCGCTCCGCCAACACTTCTCCATTTATTTATAGTCCTCTATTTATTGTTTTATTTAAAAAATCAATTTTCTTATTTGATCTACCCCGTTTCCGCTCAATTTTTACAGCAACTGTCTATCATTCGTTAATCATCAATGTTGATTATTTTGGAACTTCTTTTATGTTGGATGTTTTAGATGAGCTTGAGCTCAAAGTCGGAATTCTCGGAGAATGAATCGTCGCCGACAACAGCGTCGACGACGAACAGCGATGAGATTAAACACGAGTTGCTCGTCGAGCCTGAAGCGACGTGGAATGCCGCAGTGATGCCATTCTGGCCGGCCGCCGCCGCCGCCGCGCCTCAGTTCACGTGAGTTTCCCGTTGTATTTAGTTTGAGCGATGTATTTCTGAAGTTCTAAAATGTCACTCATTGGTCCTAACACGAAAATTTTGCAAATGGGCTACGTTTAAAAAATGTTCTCTCTTGCGGATATCGGTAATGGTCCGTTCTCGACAATATCTCATTTTTCTAGTAACAAAAATTTTCAACGTTTTTCGCTATATTTTGAAAATTCGAAAATGTTATCAAGTTCCAGCGTAATTTCTCGATATTTTTTTGGAATTATTTTCAAGGCGCATTGAACCCATATGGCCACGCCCACATCGAAATTTACAACATCTCCCAATATTTGCCAAAAACACATACATTTATATTGATGCATATTAATGCGAAAATTTGGCAAACAATCGTAACCCGAAAAAGGTCGTTTCGACCAGCTACGGTGTGTTTTGTGTGTGTTGTCTTGAAATTGACCACGCCCACACTCGACGCGCTGATTGGTCGCCGCGAAGCCACGCCTATTTTTGCAGTTGGAAATGAAGAAAGAATCGGTGGGACGGGGGTTGGTGCGAGAAGATAAATGACGTTATCCTCATGGATCACACGTTGAACTATTTGTTTTCCTGCAAAAAAAGCCCCAGCGAAATTTTGTTCATTGAAAATCGCCCCCGAAAAGAATTGCTAATTTTCAGCGAGAAGATGCTCCAATCATCGTTCGAAGCTCAACAATTCTACGGTAGATGGCCGCAGATGGGTGAAGCTGGATTTTATGTAAGCTTATAAATTTTTAAAAAAAGTGTATACTGTTTTGAATTTTAGGATGGCAAATGGCATCCCGATTCCATATATTTCCCATTCCAGCAACCACAACAGATGGCTGAGGTAGATTTTTTTGAAATTTATATCAAAAATGTTTTGATTTTTTCTGCAAATTGCATATTTAGGCCAAAGTGAACAGCAACGCGAACAGCTATCCGCCAGATCCGATCACATTCCCATCGACATCGAGCTCGTCGACGACTGATTATCAGCGGATGCAGGCGGCCGCTGCGTGCTATCCCAACACATTTTTCAACGCTTATATGGATTATCAGCCGGTAGCTATTACTATTATTACGTCGAACACTATTAAATTGTATTTTTAAGGGGATTCCTTGGAAAGCGTTGAGCACAAAACTCGACAAATCATCGGAAAACGGCGGCGGTGGCAAAACGGTGCCGACGGGTCCCGGAACGAATAGTAAGTTTTGTGTCAACAATTGACCTTTTTCGCAATGTTTTGGGTTTAAATTAAATTCCGCCGCCAAATGCATCAACAAAACGAAACAAAAATAGAAAATGAGGTTGATGATGAAGGGGGGGGGGGAGGGGGGCACATTATTTTGGAATAGATGAAAGACATTCCGACGAGTGCTATCAGAATCCAAGCCTGCTTCCGTTGAACCGTCGCACAGGAGCCAAACGGCGTGTTATCAATTGCGGGCAGTTATTGCGTTATCAGATGTAGTGCAATAGGTAGACACTCCATTAAAAAAAGAAATTGATGTATCGAAAGAATGGAAGGGAACATGACCATTTTTGTTCTTGCAGATGTGCGAGTTCGGACTGCTGAGAAATACCGAATGGTCTACTCTGATTATCAGCGACTTGAACTCGAAAAGGTTGGTGTTGGAAATTTCTAAAGATTTTTTTTTGTTGTTGATTAATCGCAAAATTTTAAAATGCAAGCATCTTTTTGGAAATTGCTCTGCATTTTTACGTATTTTCCGGGTTTGGTTCGATTTTTGTGAATGCGCCATTCGATGGGGGTTCCAGCGGAACTTTGTTATATTTGGAATTTTTTCGGTGTCAACTAAAAATGCAAACAACTCTGCGGACTTGCATTTTAACTTACTGCCAAATTATTAAAAATTTGCGTTGAAATGGTGAGTTCTTATTATTCCGAATTGGATGTTGAGACCTTGTTCAAGGCGCATCGCGTAAATCCAACCAAACTCGATAATTTTTTATTTCAATTGTTGTTCTTTCGCTCTTTTTTCAATTTATCATTATTATTATTCAGGAATTCCACACGAGCGCTTTCATCAACGCCGACCGCAAAACGCAATTGTCGACAATGCTGAATCTGACGGAGCGACAAATCAAAATCTGGTTCCAAAACAGGTAATCGATTTGGATTAGTAGTTTTCTTGGATGAAAACCACATTTAAAAAAAACACATCGCATCCGTGACACCCGCACTTGAGTGACAACACCCAACAAATTGACACCCAATCATCGGTTTGATTTTTTTTTGGCCGGGCGGTTTTCGAGATGCGCGTGCCTAATCCCATTAAAGGTCATTCAAGGGTACGCAACAATTTTTGTTGTGGAATGGTGCTGATGTTGCGCAACGCCTATCCCGAGTCGTAACTCACACGCGTCGGCGTCGTTTGATGTTGGCGACAAAAATCCGAGAAAAAGGAAAACTTTTGGCTATCCATTACCTGAATCGACTTTTGATTAGATTTATTGATTACTGTTGGCGTGTGGTTATCTCAAAAATAATTGTTTGCAAAACGAACCGAATGAGGGGAGGGGGATGTTGAGGAAGAGAAGGGGAAGATGGGTTACCGTAATCCGAGCCATAAAGTTGTGTAATTGTGGATGAGAAGTTTGGTTAATTGGTCCACTTTCTTTCGAATTTTTACGATCAGCTAATTGTTGTTCCATAGAAGACCTTGAGGAGTACGGTAGATGCGGAATGGATTTCTTTTCACGTTGGTTTTGAATTTTAATGATCATAGGGGTCCCAAATTCAATTTAAACAATTTTAGTGAAATTGAGATGCGATTATTGGCTCGAAATGGACATTTTTTGAATTTAGGTATTTCCAGAAGTTTTCATATAACTATTGCCTAGCTATGATTTATTTTTAAATGATTTCAGAAAATATTTTGAAGTTCCGTGATACTGAATATCTAGAATTAGGAAGTATCAAATTGCTCGTAATTTTTTAGAATTGATAATTTGATTTATTTGATTTCATTTGGCAAAGAATGCCATTTACGTATATCCAGCCGATGCGCAATTTTCGAACGTGTGCAGCCAGCCGACTCGAAATCAAAGCTCGCCGCCACACCTCTCCGTCTTTTGTACTGTGAAAAATCGCCAATCCATAATATTGTGTGTCTGTATGACCGCAACCGTATGTTGCGTCGTCTGTCGATCCCACGACCGGATTACGGTAGGTGGCCGGTCATCGGCGGCAGACGGAACACGATTTTATGGCACCTCGAGAGTTGAGTTTGGGCTATTTTTGTTTTTTTTTTTGCGCTCCCGCGCAGACAACTCGTAAATTCAATATTCATCACTCGGACGCGCCTGTCCGTCCGGAACGCATTGCGCAACATTGCACAATATATGAATGTGATATAAACGATGCGAGCAACTTTCAGACGGGCCAAAGAGCGACGCGACAAACAGAAAATGCCGATTATGTAAATTTGGTCGATGCCTCGATTCTTCCTAATACGGTTACTCGAATCACTTATAATTGTTTTTTTTTTATTTGCATTATTCTTGATATTCCATCTTTTCAAAAGAGTATAGCCATAATATTTTTGAAAAAATTAAATTTAGCATTTTTTTTTCCAACAAACTCATATATATTTTATAGAATATTTATTGTGATTCTGTTTTTTTTTTCTCTTTATCTCTACCACCTCTCTTGTACCATTGTCTCTAAATTAATAAGGCGAAATTGCACTTTTTTGTATGCAAAATTTCTATGTTTAAATGAATAGTAAATGGAAAATCTATAATAGCAAAATGTTTTATTCGTTCTGAAGCAATATTCATTATTATTATTATAGCTGTACATTTAAAGGGAGACTTTGGTTTAAAAGGATTTAACCCGTACTTTAACGTCGTCTTTGGGTGCTTCCCGCCGTCACCGATTTCTTTTTGTTGGCCGGATTCGGACCACCGCCAAATAAATTGGCCATCATTTCACTGACATCAGGCATGTCCATTTTTGGTAGCTGCATCTGCTCCATCTCTTTTTTGAGTTCCGGATCATTAGCAGTCATTCTGAAACAAAAAATATATTAATATGTATGATTAAATATATGGCTAAATATCACTTTGGTATAACGAGCATGACTAGAAGCGGCAGAACAAGCATCAACACCATCGGGCTGAAGAGCATATCAGTGATTCTCCATTCCTCACGCTTTCGGAAATAGCGAGTAGGACTCCGTGAGGTCATCTTCAATGGATAATCTTCAAGGGCAACAACCGAAGGCTTAAAAATTAGAAATTTTCGATATAACAAAAAAATGAAATTGATGACAAAAACCTGAAGAAGTGAGAGTCGTCGAGCTCTCATTTTTCCGCGAGCTGTGATATCGACGCGCAGAGGCTCGAAAACGAGTCCAGTGTTTTCGACTTGAACAATAAAACTGCCATTTGGAACATTGTCGACGCGAAATGAGCAATCTTCGCGAACGAAACCGATAATTTGATTTGGACTCAGAATTATTCGAGCGCCAGTTGACCATTCACGACAATTTCGATAGCCGGGAAGAACCAGCTGGAAAACGGAAGAGCGATTTAGAGAAATTCTGGCGACTTGGATTTTATTCGGTTTCGATATCATGGTGTCAATAAGTAAAATTGGTAGAGAGTCTTGGCCCGAAAATTAAGATTAGCATAAAGTCGCATATCACGAGCTATGAAACCTCTCTCAAAATATTTTGGCATCTAGCCAATACTATTTTGACAATATTATAAGCTTGTATGTCTTGAGATGTACGAGCCGTCGGCATAATCCGAAGCGCAAATGCTCACCTGGCCTTCAACAGCTACTCGGACTGTTTGCTCAGCGACCGGCGTCGCCTCCTCGGCCGCCAACAATTGGACCAACACCACAAATATTATCAAGAATTTCATCTGAAATTGCATAAATTTTTAAAAGACATATTGGCAAAAATATGTAAGAATCCGAAAAAATACGGATGCCATTAAAATTGATCGAGGAAAAAAGGCGAGATTCAATAAATTTATGATTGACAAAATGAGAAGGCGAATTGCTCAAAAAAAAAATGGAAAAACAAAAAGTGAAATGGAATAAATATTTACATAAATATTAAATCACACACATTAGTTAAAGCGTTTAAGGAACTCTTCGGCGGAGACACGAGCTCTGGCATTCAGCGACAATTTCATTTCACTAATCTCTTTGTCGATTTCCTGCATGAAGTGAAGCAAGAAGTCGACGAGCTTGTGCTTGAACATCGCCTCAGTGTGCGAAGCGGTGATCAGAAATGAGATATCATAGCCAGCAATTGGTTTTCGGCGAAGCACGAAGAAATTGTCGGCACGCTGACACATAAAGCGAGTGAATTTGTGGCACAAGATTTTCTCGATCTCGTCGGATTGCTTAATCGCAATTGAGATTCTGAAATTTTTTAAATTTAGAAAATTACCATAAATTTGCAAAAATACTAATATATACATCCTCCCAGTGATACTTTTAATTAACTAACTAATTACTTACCTCACTGAATTGACCGATGGCTCAATTAAAACGCGCTCTTGCTTATTTCTTGCAACGACAACCGGAGTCATAAGAAGTTCACGCGATGTTTGCACTTCAACCTATAAATAAAAATATACAAATTTTCTTTTTATTAAAACGTGCTCTTTTTGAGTTTCTTAAAAGTTAGCTTCAATTTGCTAATAATGCCAAAATATTGATTTTGGCGTTTTTATCAATTTCAATCGATATTTATTTCCTCATACCTCTGGCTTGTTATGCCGCTCAACAACTTGAGAACTGAACTGTTCCAGACATAGTGCGGCTTCTAACGTGTGCCGAACGGCGTCCAAATATGGTTGAAGTGTTGCGCTCATTGGATTTTACCTTAATTAAATCAATATTGATATTATACAACGTGTCGTAAATTTTGGCAACATCTGCGCATAATGAATAATCGGCAATGTTTACTCGATTATTTATTTATGCAAATTTCTAAAAAATTACGAGACGGAAATGCGAAAAATCACGAGGAACGAGAAAAGCCGAAAATTAGTCATTGAAAATACCCGATTGACCGCGTGCAGCAAGTGCGCTCTAATAGAGGCGCGCGGCCATTCAAATTTAAATTTGAATTTTTTGCCAAGTTCACATTTTCTCGCAAATTTTCGATAAATTTTGGATTATTTTATTGTTTTAAGGTTTCAAGATGCCTCTCGGATATGAATATGAAATGATTCCAATTCCTGGGCAAGAATTTATTCAAAAATACAATCCTAAAGTGCCTACGACAGTGTCAAAGTACAATAATCGGAAGATTACCTTAAATGAGCGGTTTTCTGTGATAGGCATGTAGAAAATTAAATTTTTTCCCCAAATTCACTGATTTTTCAGAGCGCGGATACTTTCTAAATCCGGTCACTTGTCCAGAGACAAAAAAAGCTCCTGTAAAGATAATACCATGCCCAAATCAACCCAATTTGAAAGAATTTCTTGAGGTAATATATTTTATTGGCTAATATTAATAATGAAAATGAGTATTTTTAGAATGTTCGCAAAATGGAGAAGAAAGCAAACGTCGAGAAAAATGAAAACGAAGAGGTTAAAACACTTAAATTGAGTAAAATTGATCCGGAAATGTTTTTTGTAGGTCGAAAACGACGATGATAAGGAAAACTGCCCAATGGATTCTTATTGCAATGATATCAAAAAGAAGCTTTCACCGTTGCACGGATAAACTTTGTTCATAATTAATTGCACGTATACGGGGACACCACGTCAGCGTATTATTTTGAGAACTTGGCTAAATTTGAAAACCATTTCCTTAAATTGTGATCTTCTAAGTTGCGTTCGATTAAATGTGAGTATCTGTATATCAATTTATTTATATATGTATTCTCCTCACGAATGAATTTTTATATTTAAGATTGAAATTCTAAGGACACAATATGATTAGTGTAATTATCGCATTGTCTTGTTTTCTCATTGTATCGCTTATCGGCAATGTGGTTCTCACGGGTTTTGTGATAAAAGCGAGAAATAAGTTTGTGTTTTTATTTTCTATTAAAAAAATAATTGGAAACTTTGCAATTTTCGGCGGTACACATCTTCTTTGGCAACTTCAACTGCGCACGAGCCGAGTACAAATTTGCTTGCTCATGCTCAAAAATCGCCGAATACGGCCCGTAGTGCCGAGATGGAGAATCCGCCGATGAAATCGGTGCCGAAAAAGGATGACTCGCCAAAAGTCGGAATGAGCCGAGAAGAAGTTCTTCGTTCTGAAATTGATGTAAATTGAATTTTTTTTTTGGTATTCCATTCAATTGCAAATTTTCAGCAAGTTGCCCCTGAAACGAAGGTGCGTAGTGATCGACAGAAGCTCGCTGAGCCTGTGGGAAGAATTGAATTCGATAAATACATGACGCAGATTGTTCAATTCATAAATGATTATTTCGACGAATCCCACAAACAATCGGTTATTCCAGGTAAGACGCGATTTTATGAAGTTTGCCGCACGTTTGCAAATTTGCAAACTCCGCCCAGTTTTGAAAGCCGCGATTATTTTTTAAATATTTTTTCCGCAACTTATTTTAATTTTGACGTATTATTTAATTTGCTTTGCTTTTTAAATAGATCTTACTCGGAAAAGAGCGAAACTGCTAAAATAAGCGAGTTATATGGTTTGGTTTTGTTTCTTAGATTTTTAAAAGTTCATTGTTTTCAGTTACATGAAAAGCTTCTGGAGCCAAAAATTGAGCAAGAGTAATTTATTGTTATTCCAAAGAAGGATCTCGATGAAATAGGTTTCAAAAAACTAAATGTGGCAATTAAACTTGAGTATTCAGTTCGAAAGTTCTGCGAGAATTCCGCGATTCAGGAACCACCGTTTTTCAACTGAAGCTATGATAGTGCGACGAGCCAAATGGTAAAAGATCGAAAGAAAACGAGCTCAATTAATTGTTTCAGCATCGTGAAACGTGTGAGAAACTGAGCGAAACAATTTTCAAGCTCAGAAATGAGTTGATTTAATCGTATCAATTGTTTATCAAATGACATTATACGATTAAATGAGAGAAACTTGCGGGTTTCAGAGAAGTTGGAAAAGATGAAGACGTTAGAGCTAATAAAATTGTGAGAGTAAATAATAATTATCAAAATTGAATATATTTTTATACTTACATAAAAATTTTTATGGGTTTGTTTTTTTTTTAATTTAAATGGATTTTGCGCGTTTCGATAGTTTTTAGATATGTAAGAAATTGTGTGATTTTCTAGAAGCCGATGCGAGCACGGCTCGATTGAAAACCCCAATTCCGGATAAATCAGATTCTTGCTTGTCAATTATTGAGGATTTGAAAAAGGCTGTCGTTCCAAATGTAACATTTACAACACATTTTTGGAACAACGGTTATTTGTGACTCAGATGTGCCACACGCAACACCCAAGATATCACGCCAAGTTTTCTGGAAGATGTCTAGCCGACACACTGGCGACGACACTGTCCGCAGCGCTCGGATGCGATTCGAATTGCTCTCCAATGGTCGATGTAATTGAACGAGTGTTGTGCAATTGGATGAGCCAAGCCATGCAATTACCCAAAATGAAGAGATGCATAACTGACGAGAAAGCTGAAAAAGAGCCGATTGGAACGGTTTTGTACACACCGACTGACGTCTATCTTTGTCTGATATTGAATTGGAAGGCGCGAAACGAGGTTCTCAATTTTGTTCTATTTTCGGTAGATCCAATTTTGCAGAATTATCAGGAAAGCACGAGCGATTTGAAGAGACACTACTATGACTACGTTGTTTATTGTAGCGATGATGTGAGTGTTTTTATTTTGTGGGGGAAATAATTGTACAATCGAATTAAAGGCGCATTACCCATTGGAGGAGGCGTGCGTTTTGGGAAAAGTCAAACTACGCAAAGTGATCACCGCGAAAGAGGATTGTCATGGGATGACGGGCTCGCGACTCGAAAAGCAGATTATAAAAGTGGGAATCGGGATTCACAAAAAATAAGCTTGATTTTAATTCGCTGCAGGACCTCGAACGCCAAATGACGCCATTATTGATTGTTTCGACGTTCGGCTCGGCGAATCTCGGCGCCAACGACAATTTGAAGGAGATTGTAAAAATCGCTGAGAAATTCAACATTCCTGTTCACTGCGACGCGAGCTATGCTGGTTTCGAGTGGATCGAGCCGACGAAACGAAGCGATGTTCAGTAGGATTTAAAAAAAAAACAATTTTTTTTGGTCTTGCCATTTAGAAAATTGTGTTTTCAGCAAATATTTGAGCAATGTTCAATCGGTTCATGTGAATTTTAACACGCTTCTCCCGTATTCGGGAAATTTGTCGATTCTATGGAGCGCGGAGAAGTTTGTTCTCGAACATGGTACGAATCAAATGTTGATTTATTATTGTATCGAATAATTACATAATTAAATACACGTCCACCCTTTGCACGTCCAGAAAAAGCCGTCCTGGTTTTTGAACACGGGCTCGGGCGGCGCGTAGACGACATTGGGGTATTGCCAAACGGGAAAATTGAATAGAAAGGTGTTGGCCGATTGGATAAGTAGAAGAAGAATCAGGAGAATTTGGCGCATGCTGACAATTCAAACCGTGATGAAAAGTGATAGCCATTTTATACTGCGCGGCGGGTTACACTACATTTGTTGGTTTATAAAATATTGGGTTGTACCCATAGAAGGTCAAACGTCTGTGTTTCAATGGACAGCGAGACGGTTTGCGAATTTTGCGAATATTTAAATTGTTGCAGTACGAGGAAGGATTAATCGAAATGGTGGTGACACGCTGAAACTCTGGATTCTCATAAGATTGTATGGAATGAAGGCGTTGAGAGAGGCTGTCCGACGGGTTTGACATTTTGCGAATTTCGAAAACGCAAAAAAAAAGAATTGTGACATTTCAGAAAGTGAATCTTGGCAATATTCTTAGTGATCGTCTCACACATCAATCGGAGTTTGCTGTGCTGCACCCGAATGAGCATGGAATTGTGCTCTTCCAGTATTACAATGTGAGTTCTTTTATGGTTTTGACGTTTATGAAATCATTTTAGACTTCGATTAAAGGCCGCACGACGGACGCCAACACGCTGACGTCGATGTTTTATAGTTATATGGTGGAATCGGCGCAAATGAAGTGCGGATTTGTGAAATTCAATGATAAAATAATGCTGCGCGCGTGCATCAATTATGAGAAGAGCAACGCGTCGATAATGGAAGAGTCTGTATCGACACTGTTGAATATTGTCGACGAGTTTGAGGAGAAAATGAGTTGCGATTTGATTTTTTTAACCACAAATTGTGTGTCGAAAATTTAAGAAACGAAAAATAATCTACTGAAAATGGCGTTGAAATCGGAATTTGTTGAGCAAATTGGCGGCTCGCCGAACCAATCGACAGAAGGAACACCGCCGACAAGTCAGATCGAGACTACTACGAACAATAACATTGTTAATCGCAAGGAGACCAACAAAAATATTAGTAATCTTAAAAAAACGCCGAGTAAAAATAATATACAAAATAAATAAATTTTAAATGTCTGAAAACAATGCTCATTGTTGTTTATTTATGAAATTCACATTTTTCTAAAATTGGAATGATCTGGTTTTTTGGTGGCGTAATTTTACCAGGTGGCAAGAAATAAATTTCTCACAATCAACTAGATCCAATGGAGAGAAAATGCGATTTTCGCATTAAAAAGATTTTATAGCTGAATGTCAGAAAGTTGGGCGATTTTAGTTAAATATCGAAGCATTTGGAATTGATTGACGAGAATCAAATTTGAACAGTTTGACCATTATTGATTTGTATATTTGTTGAGCTCGGAGGCAATTATTTATATTCAAAGAGCTTTAAAACTGATCGGAAGCCAAGAAATATACAATGGTCCCATTATGCTCTCTATATTTTGCCGCCAACTTCCGGTATCGTAGTCCTGAAAATTGAAGAGAAATTGTAATTTCAAAGAAACAAAGACGCTTATTAACTGATTCTCCTCTCGCTTCTTCAATGAGCGTCTGATTATGTAAAGCGTTGGGCAATTGCGTTTTCAGAAGGTACGACGCCGCGAATCCGACCATTACCGCATTCGACACGCCAATGCTCATAATGTGCTCTTCGAAAAGCATACGAGTACCGTTGAAGCTGCTCGCGAACAACTAAACATTATTGATTTGGGTCTATTATGAACCACCCCCACTTTTTATAGTCCACTCCTACTTTTTTTATTTCAATGTCATAAAAAATAATTTTAGTTTAAAAAATTGAATAAGAAACGTTTAAATTGATGCTATTAACGTACACCACTCACCTCCACCACCATACTTGGTACATACTGAATGGAGGTAAAGTTGAAAAATGTTATTTTTGAATGGGGTAAGATTATTTCGGAAAGGAAAAAGCCATTTTTCATTTCTGTAAGCGTAAAAACCACGAAATTGTATTTTTTTAAACTTCATCATTTTTCAATTTCAGAGAGAACATTTAATGGATTAAAACCAATTTCGAACATCTTACAAAACAAAAGAATTCGTGCAGATTTCACAAGAAGCATTGAGCTGCTTAGGAGTCCAGCTGAGCGGATCCACCCAAGGAGTCCAATGTAACGTTAATAGAATATCCGTAGTGGACCAAATGGTATGCATGATAAGATATTGTTAGAAGTTTCCTTTAGTTTAATGAATACAACTAAACACTGTTTTTATTAGGTAACAAATTTCTTTAAAATCTAATCATGCATAGTATGCAATGATTGCATACCATTTGGTCCACTACGGATATTCTATTAACGTTACATTGGACTCCTTGGGTGGATCCGCCCAGCATTGATTTCTGTTATTTTTTGAACGAACGAACTAAAATAAGATATTCGTAGCCATTGCAAATTGTGAATATCGCGAGAAAGATGGGCCAGATTAAGAAGAGAAGGTAGAATTTGTGATTGCCGCGATGAATGCACATCTAAAAAAGGGCATGCCTAAAATTTGAATATTGAAACGAACCTGAAGAATCGGGCAATGATGGTCCATTCGATCGACGCATATCTTGCAAATCCGGCAATGATGGAATCGAAGCGGCTTGATATAGTCGCATTTTTCGCAATAATTTCCCTAAATTGAAAATTTACCAAAAATGGTAATTTTGGATTTTATTGCGGTGCCTACTTTCCACGTGTCTCTATCAACATCCGGATACGATTGTCGCACTTCCACCGGCGGTGTCATGACGGCGGAGAAGAAAATGCAGACGATTAGAAGCCAGAGGAAATGGAAAATGTATAATTGGAGCTGGGAGAGAATGCCGCGAGACACGAAAAGAACCACAATGATTTGGAACCTGACGCGTTGTTAGTTGATGATTCGACACGCTTGCTATACCAGAAGCAAAACGCCGTCGGCCACGCAACGTTTGCCATCCACCAACCGATCCTCACATTTTTCATCGATTTCCACATGATTTTTAGTAGAAATAATTTATTTTTCAAAAAAAAATTGAAGATGTTTAAAAAAAACCGAAATTGAAAATAAATGAAAGAATTATTGAGGGGTTCACGTCATGTTATGTCACCGAGTTTTGCTCCGTTTGTCCGCTTTTTGGCAAGTGTTTCAGCTTTTCATCAATATACTGAAAATCGTGGAGCGTCTTATATGGTTGGGCGTTAATTGAAACAAACCGCTAGTGGAAGATTGAGTCGGACTTCAAGCCAGCACGGCGTCGACGTCACATCCTGTCGCGGGTAGTCGTCGCCCCAACCTTTGACAAAAGACATTCGAATGAAGCACATTTTGGACAGCTCGTTGAGCCCGTGCGCATCGTATCGAGACCTATCGAGCAACTGCAGAAAACGAAACTATCGTTGAGTGCCGCCATCGCTTCAAGACCCACCGTGTAAAATGTCTGGTAATCGAAAATCACGAGCGAGTTGTGCGGCGGTATCCGGAACACCTTGCGAACCGGCTGATTCGACTGCATATTGGTGTTGCGCGATTGCACGAAAACTGGTGTCTCCGAGTTGTTGGTGATCGTGACCTTATCATGATCAATGTTGTCGAAAGTCACCCCGCGGCCAATGTGCATCCGAGTGAGCTCGATGGTCGTGTTTCTGTTAACGTTGGTAATCTGACCTAGGCAAATGCGATCGTTTGAATTCGAGGGATCGGTGAAGCCGTCGATGATCACAGTTGGATTGACGAGCTGCAAAAAGCCGCCCGCGGGCCTTTTCAATTTCCAAACAAGCTTGTCGACTCACCTTGTACATATCCCCAACGCGGCTGTTCAATTCGAAATACGAGACTTGCGCCCAAGCTTTCGGCTTTCGTATCGGTGTCCGCGGCATTGCCGGCACATCGCCATCCTCGCTGAACGTGCTCGGACTTGGCGAGCTGGCGCACGACGTCGATGAGCACGACGGCCAATTCGCGCCGCTCGGCGACGCCGCGTCGATCGGCTGAGGCGACGAAATCGAGAAGCTTGCGAATAGCTCCTTTGTCGTCTGTTGGCGTGGAACGCGATTGTAATGGTAGGGATTGATGCAGATATGCTGGGTTTTGGTGCTCGAGTCGAACGGGTACATGCAATTGGGGACGGAGCGAAGCTCCTGCTGAGAGCTTAAATCCGGCCAACGCCAAACTCGACAATATATCACATGCGGAAGGCCTTTTTTATGAGATATCTGAAATTTTCAGCATTTCCAAATAATTCGAATCTTTTGAAACACCTGTAATCGTCCATCTAAACTTTTGGGTATTGTCACGCATTTTGAATTTTCCGTAGGATTCGCAAGAACATTCTCAAGGTCTTCAAGTGTGCCTATAAATATTTAATTTTGTGAAAATACATACGACCCGTCTTTTTTGATCTACCCGTTCCTCCCGATTTCTTCTTCAACTTCTTCACTAGTGCTTCAACGGCTTTCTCGCACCACTTCTCTTCATCGTCGCCGATTCGCCACCCAAGAAGCTTCTTCACAGCCGGACCATGCATATGGAGCAAGCCGTTCATGTTGAGAAGTCACTGAAACTCTCAATTTGCTAGAATAGTATTCTTTTGAAATGATTGTTCAATGCCAATTTTTGGACACTAATAATGTTGAGTGTTCAAGCCGCGAAGAAAAATCATTTTTTGATTGTTTCAGAAAAAATAAATAAATGATGGGAGAAGACAGTGTGTTGACACAAGAACACCACCAACACACAAAAATGAGATACTGTGCGTCCGGCGGAGTGCGTTTCATATCAACTGATATTTCTTATTGATTTTACCTAATCGAAGTTGTCACACCATTTTGCAATTGAAACGAAAACACACACAGGACGACACACACACGCAAAACCCCGCACAAAAATTCACTTATCATTTTGATTTGGCGTTTTCGAGAACAAAATTTTGGCGAGCGGAATGTTGGTGATGGGCACCATTCTTAAAAGGGGTCTGGGTGGGATGGGTTCAGTATAAATTAATATTATACAAATTTTTAATTATTTTTTTTATAGAAGCATTAACTATTATTATTAGATGAATATTTCAAATTTAGTGGCAAATTAAGACATTGACAAATTATTCAACGAAACAAAAAATAACATTGTTGAACTGAGTCGAAATCGCAGGCAAATGAGAGGACAGTGGCCGCAGACCGGGCGCCCGCGCCCTTACCTGCGCACATCTCTGCGTCTCTCGCTTCTGGGGGGGTCGAAGGAGTGGAGGTCGGCGTATCTGCAACGCGCGCGCTATCTATCCGCCATTAGAGGAAATTTATTCGAATCCGCCTTTTTTGTGTGTGCGTGTGAATGACAATAGGCGCGCGCGCCCGCCTTTTTTGCAGCTACTCATTTCGTATCATGACCTAACCCAATTATGTTGATTTATAGGCTGATTTGGGTCCGATTCGCGAGAACATCAAATGATCTATGAATGAAATATCATCAGTGGGATGCCATTTCCTCAAATCTTTTATATTTTCAATGAAACAAAAAAAAACAAACAAACAAATAACAAGAAAAATCAAACTAAAATCTACTTTGTCCGTATGTATCTTTGATTAGTCCTTCTTCTTCTTCTCCTCCTCGTCTTTTGGTGGATCATAGAGCGGGAATAGTTTTGCCAATTCTTTGAGATCGTCGAATTGCTTCTTGTCGTCGATTATTCGCCGAGCGACGTCCAACGATGGTCCGAAGACGTTCAACAGGAGAACACCAACAATCTGAAAAAAAATCTTTCTCGAAATTCAGAAGACCAATCAATTTTGACCTCTCCTTGTTTTCCTTTATAGAAAACCACCGCCTTCTCCAGTTCGGTTTCCTTACTCGGCTCGGCATAAACTGCTATCGTATCCAAATTGGCATCAACATTTCCGATCGCGTTGATATGCATGTGTGGTGCGAATTTGGTGAAGAACGATGGCTGATACCAAAATGCTTTTCCTTCTCCATCCACTGCCATATTCTCTCCAGCCAGTCGTCCGGTCACCTGCGCGTTTTCCCAAGTGCTGAGACGTCGTGTTCCCAGTACCGAATCTTCAAACGACGCCACCGAACCGGCGACCCACACATTCTCATCGACCTTCAGCGTCTTGTCCGCGCTAATCCCTTGAGTCTTCTCGTCGATTCTGATTCCCGACGCTTCGGCAATCTCATTATTCACTTCCTCACCGGTTGCAACAATGATGAGATCGCTTCGAAGATCGCTTCCGTCTTTCAGCGTCAGCACCACATTTTTGCAGCATTTTCGGATACCAGTGATTTTTTCTCGCGAGTGCACTTGAATTCCCATCGACTTTAACGCGTCTGTCGATTTTTTCGCCAAATGCGCCGGCAAAATATCATCGGCATTGAATTGTTGCTCGAAAACCTTTAAAATATTGATTACTGGGCAGTGAACAAATTTCAATACCTGATGCACTTCAGCCTCTTCGTATTTCCTCTTAATACTATAAGCAAGCTCAGAAGCGAGAAGTCCATTACCAACTATCGTGACCTTCTTCACTGACTTGTCGGACAGTCCTTTTTCAACCTTCTTAAAATCGGCTGGCTGCAAAATTTCAGCGAAAACGCTCATATTCTAATAGTTTCGAAACTCACATAGTGATAATATGTGATTTTCTCTTGTGCTTCAGGCTCGGCACTCTCAAATATTTTCTCCTTCTTTGGTCGGCTACCTAAAACGAAACAAAAATCCTTTGGGGGAAAATCGGGATTAAAAAACCTGTGGCAATCAAAAGCTTTCCATATCCTATGCAACTTCCATCATCAAGGTACACCTTGCGATCTTGGGTACAAATTTTCTGAACCTTCTTTCCGCGAATCAACGAGACACCACCGTGTTCAGCGCGCTCGATCTCTTCTGGCTTCACATAGAATCCTTCGACCTCATAGAAAATGTCGCGCTTTTTGCCCGACAATCCCGTGTAGTTCAATTTCTCGCCGCTGCCCTCGTCGCCGTACCAGAAGAGTTCTTTGGACAACGGCGGACGGTTATAGGGCAACTCGGTCTCCTCGCCGATCATCAACACTTTCGCGTCGCCGTGTTTCGCGCGAATCGCTAACGACGCATAATAAGCGGCGGTTCCCGAGCCGATAATCACATATTCGCATCGCAATTGCTCCTAAATTGATGACCAACTTTATTGTGGGGCAATCGCAAAAGAAAAAAAAATGAAACAAGGATGAATATAACAAATCACACAATGATAATAAGGCACTGGGGGTTTTTCTCTAATCTTCTAGCGAGTTTCGTCAAGCAATTATTGTACCTCTTTCGTTTCTCCAGACTCTTTCGCTTCGGATTTCTGCAATTCCGTTGGGAATCGAGAGATTTATCAAAAATATTTTACCTCATCGCTGCTTGTTGATGGAGTTTCCTCGTTGTTAGATGGCGCAGCCTTTAAAATTTCGTTGTTTAAATATTTAAAACTCATTTAAAATTACCGCTGGTATGGCAGTTTCTTCACTTGAGGTGGATTCGTGTTTAGCTGGTTCCTCAACAGGCTGAGCTTCAACTTCCTTCGACGATGACGCTTCCTCAGCGACTGGTTGAGAAGCCACTGGCTCCGACGGCTCTGCAACTGGTGCGGAATCTTCAGAGATCTGCAAAAGCAATTTTTTTGTTTAAATGATTTGAGAATGAAAAACTTACCACTTCTTCCAGTTTTGGCACGTCTTCAGCTTTCTTCTCTTCAAGATGACACTCCTCTACCTTATGCTCATGACGAGCCTCAACAGGCTCTTCTTGATGTTTAGCAGGTTTCGTGTGAGAATGAGAGTGAGCGTGTTTGTCACTGTTGAATGCGTCAGTTTTCACGGCCTAACATAAATTATTTTTCAATGGTCCTCATGATTTTTCATCTACCACAGCCAAAATGGTAAGTCCAACAAACACAAATGCTCCTATAAACGAGACGAAATCGTCGGCTGCTGGCTTATATTCGGTTTCCTCGGAAATTCGCTTCGCATTCTGCAAAAAAAAGAAAGAAAGTTTACTCGTCGAAAAAAATCGTACTGGATTTCCACAAAGCGACCATTCCAAAGATCCTGGTTTAGGAATATACACGGGAGTTGGCTCTAATAATAATGAATGATATTATAATCAATGTTTTCTGGAAAATACTACTACCATGATGATGGTGTCCGCCGCCGCATGCAATTCTCGACACCGCAATCGTTCTCACTGCTAACCGCTGCCTCGATGCCGCTACCAAGTGAGAAACACTTCGTCCAGCTGCTCTAAGTAACATTCTGTGCCTTAAAACGAAAAAAATTATTTTTAAAATTATGAAAATTAATATTGAAAAATTGCACAGCCCGTTGCAATACTTTCAACGAAGAGTGCAAACCTGCTCTGTTGTTCCACTGATAACGAAACCGAAAACGAGTGAAGAGATAGAAAGGGATACTGGGATGTTTCAAAAAATAACAAATCAAATGTTGAAAGAATTAAAAAAAATTCTCGTCGAAAATCACACCGATTTCGCAATAAATACATTATTATTATCAACAAATTAATCCAAAAAAATTTAAAAAAAAAAAGCAAGATTGAAAATTAAAAACATTTAAAAAAAAGGTTGGCAATGCACCATGACGTGCAGAAAATTTCACAAAAAAAACAAAATAAAATTTTCAAAAAGATATATTCGCTTTGATAATTTCTCACAATTTTTGACAATTGATGCTACAAAAAATCAACCATTCAAAAGTTTTATTCAAAACGAAAATAACAGCCGTAAATGAATAAAAACCTAGTAACCCATATTTATTTTTATAATTAGCTTGTGTCTGAAAGATTCTCGCAACGTTGATGATTGACCGTGTCAGTAACATAGAAAAATGAGGGCGGTATTTTCATTTTAGACATTTTCTGAAAAAAATTTTTTTTAAATTATTATTACAATTTTCTACGTTTAAAATCTCCTTCTTGCTCATTTTCGTTGTTCCAATCGCTCCGGCAAGCAACGAAACCCGACGTTTTGACCAGGGGAGGCTGTCATCCAGAATAACTTCTAAAATTCGACTATTAAATTTAAATTGTGTACCATAGTAATACCAATCACATCGATTTCCGTTTTCGTGCTCGAACTTCGTCCCTGCGCAATTGTGCTATTCCATCGTTGAAGAATATAGCAAATCGCATTGGTAAGTTGATCCAGCGTTCGCGATTCGTGCGTATTACTGATAACATGATGAACCATTTTGGGAAGTGTCTGAAATTTGATTTCAATGATTCTCTAGATTTTCAAATGTTTCATTTCTCACCTTTTCCGCAAAATTATCGCCGAGATACGGATTATCACGAAGATGCCTTAATACAAATTGCAGATTCTTGTTGAGGTAGCTCGCCAGAACGACACACATCGGATTGTTGATTGGAATTTGAAGCGGTGCCAATGCAATGAAAACTGCCGTGATTTCAGCGCATGAGTGTTCCAAAGGAATCAGAAATTCGTACTGAATTCATATTAATTAGTTTTCATAAAAATTAAGGCAACTTCAGTACCACTTTGTTTTTATTATCCGCTGACCGAACGAAATGCTCAGTGAGCACTTCAACAATCGTATCAGCAAACTTTTTAGCCTCGTCTTGATCGTTGATCTTTAAAAAAATGGAACACGTGAAAATTTTGCTGAAGTAAACACGCACCTTTCCCAAATAATTGACAACATGGTTGAATATTTGGAGAACAGGAAATTGAAGAGAGAATGATATTAATTGAAGCATTATTTCCATGCGGAACTCATGAAGCGCCGGATCATTCTCACGTCCAAGAAAAACCGCTTCAAAATACGTGTATTTGCTATGATCCTCGCCGCGCTCGAGGAAAAATTGGGCGAGAACGTGTAGAAGTTGAAATTGTTGAAGCGGTGTCAATTTTGTACGTCGATCGCTTTGAATTCCGAAAATTTCACTATCGATCATTGATTGGATCTCCATGTTTTTAATCAAGCCGCCTTGAGCGCGAGCACGAGCTTGCCTCGAGTATTTTACAATCTTCAAAATAACATTATGAGTCGATTATTGTAACAAATTACTTTTCCCAGCGCACTCTTTGCAGTCTGCATAAAAGGGCTTGACGAGACTGAAGTAGTTGGTATCGACGCTGGGTGTTGTGGTCTTGACATTCTATAAAAAATCGTTCTCACTGTATAATCGAACTCAGAAAATCGTCGCGTAAACCACAAACTTTCGGTGAAACGCCGGCGAGTATTTGAGAGATTTTGTGAATTGGAGTGACAGAGAAATTTGGTTTCACCGTCGTTTCACCGAAATTCTCGTTTCCTAGTCGTTTCTACGCCACAATTTGCCGAGGAATTGTGAATTTCTTCAAAATTCAAATCATTTCCGTAAAATGTGGCGCATTCGGTGTATTGCGGACTCAAATTGCTCACCGTATTTCAAAATAAATGCAATGGCACTCTTTCGCATCTTTTCACCCTCTTCCTATCTTGCCTTAGACAACCAGGGGCGCCATTTTGTCATTCAATTCAAATCGAACACCTCAAGCGATAACAAAACCAAAGTAATAGGTAAAAAAAAACCCTCCGATAATCAATTATTTATTTTTCATATATATATATACTTTATATTCTCCAGAAAACACGAAACGACACCTCGGTATGTATTTATCAATTTTGAAAATAATTATTTTTTAATTCTAGTTTTAATATCGATTTTCGGTGAATGATGTTTTCGAAATTAAATCACGAGGATATCAAAGAGGATAAGAGCATCAATTTCGAGAATGGGCTTATTAATTACCGACTGCGCACCACCGCCAATGTGATTCGTAGGATTGATGAAGGAGTATATGAGAAAATTGCGCCCATAGATGTGGGATATCAATGGCATCTCAAAGAAATTGACATGGCCTATGTAAGACCATTCATGACTGTAAATCACATGGCGATTCTAAAGCGAATGGTTTACATGCACTCGAAATTTACTGATGAAAACGATCAATTCGATGCGGAACTCTGCAAAGAAGAGAATTTGTTGAATGTAAACGCATTTCATTAGTTTGACATCATATGATTCATAAATTATAGATTTTGAAGCGAGGAATCTCATCGGAAATTTATCATCAAGTTCCGTTCGCTTTGAATCAGCGAAATGAGTATCAACACTTTGAAGAAACAAACAAATTGCAAAAGGCTATAATTAGTAAACTGCAAAATGAGGGAACTTCGATGGAAATTTATTATCTCACCGAATATGCATCAAAGGTGAGAGATGACAAAAAAAAAGAAGCAAAAAATGAAATCAATATTAATTTTCAGAAAGCGGCCGCTATTTTTCCGCTACCCGAGCCCGTTCCTTCACCGGAAGATCTATTGGTTCATAGAACGTCGGCAATTCCAACGATTGAAGAGGCCAATGAGCTCTTGAACGAGAATTTGAAGACAAGCCCATATCGAAGTGATATTGAGAAATTGACGCCGGAGCAGATGGAATCGCTTGTTAGAATTATTCTAAACGATCTCTTCTCGTTGCGACGATGCGTGCGAAACACGAAACTGTTGGTCTACATGTTCCGGGAGACATGCTGTCCGAGATTCAAGGCTTTATTTGAAAGTGGCAAATGCACAATGCGAGATGAGCAATTCCCAGAGAGGAGTGAAGAAAGCACGTCGCCACGCAATTTGTCGTATGGCGAATATTTGAAAATCGTCGACGAATCGTTGCAAGAGGAGGAAGAGCGACAGAAAAAAATGGAAGACACAAAGCCCGAGGTCAACCCGAATCCAAATCACCGATATCATTTGGAGCCGCTCTACGACTACGAAATGCGAGGAGCATTACTCAATCGGTTCCCCAATTACATGCGTTATCGACAACACCAGCTTCAGCCAAACTATCGTTATTTGAATCGCGGTGGAGACATAAATTTCTTTATTAATATATTACGAAGCATGGAAAATATGGCGCAGTTGCGGCCACCGGTGAATTTGCAACTTCCTTTTCCCGAGCTTGATGATGAAATACGGCCACAACTCCAGGAGCCGTCTCGGCCGATTGCTCGAGTCAGACCCACTAGAGTAGTACGTCAAAGAGAGGCGGTGAGTGAAAATAAAAACATTTAGATATCGAAAAAATTATTCTAGCCTGTTGTTCAGAATGATGGGCCAAGCACGCGTCTGAGAAAGCGAAAGCAAGCCGATCAACCAGCTCCGGTCAGAAGATCTAAGAGAATTCGAATTCTTCAAAAGTAATAATCAAGCAAGAAAATTGAAAAAATCAATGCATTTTTGAAAAACGGAACATTGTAAAAAAAAAAATTTTCGTTAAATTTAATGTATTCTGTGCAAAAAAACTTTTATAGGAAATTGCAGACATTTTTTTCAATATTTATAAAATGCATTTGCCGTGTTTTTGATTAAGTTTTTTACAGACGCCGTAAATTGGAATCAGCCCGGAAATAAAAATGTCAATATCTGAGACGGTCATCAAATATTTGTCTAATAACTTTTCTAAAACCCATTTAAATTATTTCGTTTTTCTTTCTCCAAATTAATAACCCCCCCCTCTTTGTTCCATTTGTTCGATTTTTCAACATTAAAGCTTGCCTATTTAGAAAAACTAATAGTCTATCTTTATTTAATCATGATAAATTTGTGTTTTTTTTTTGTGAATAAATAATACTTGTACAATATGCTATTTGTTTTTGCAGGTTGTTATCCAATTTATCCGTTCTTCCATTAAAAAATAACGATCTCTCATTAAAAAATGACAGATGAAAAAGTCTGTAAAAATTCCTGAAATGTTCTTAAAAGCGCAGGGTATTAAACGGTAGGTCATCTTTTCTTCAAACATCTTAATTGTTTTTTATTTTTCGGCGAATTTCGACTGCCGAAATCATCCAGGAAAATAAAGAAAATTGTGAAGATGTGATGAGAATAAAAGATGAAGCCGAGACGCCGCCTTTGAAAATTGAAGTAGGAATTCTTTTTAAAAAAATTAACGTCATTTTCTTTAATAAGGCGAAAATTCAAAGTAACGGAATGGCATATATTTTGTTATAAATATAAGAGAAAAAATTCCTTTAGCAATATTGTTTGCAATTTTTATTTAAATTCAGTATAGGGCCGGATCCGGTCAAATATTTTAAGAAACGAAAACAAGACGATATTCATTGTAGCCATCTTCCGACATTTTCCATAAACGCTTTTTTGTTGTTTTATATTGAAATTGGTGTTTGCGGCTATCAAGGCCCTGTGAAGTTTATAATTATTTTCTGATAATCCTGATTCTGGTTTCAATGTGTTTATAAAAATTCACTTTCTTTCATGTTTAGAAGAAGATGGAGACAACAAGCGAATTTTCAATTCGCAACCTTCTTCGCTCGGAATCCTGGTCGAAATTGCTTGAAAATGAGCTCAAAAAACCGTATATCGCGAAAATCGAGAAATTTTTGAACAACGAATACGCAAAGGTATATTTCGGAGCATCTCATACGTGATAATTGCATTTCAGGGCAAGCAAATTTTTCCTCCCAAGAGCGAAATTTTCACCGTGTTCAATTTGGTGCCATTTGATCAGATTAGTGTCGTCGTTATCGGCCAAGATCCGTACCATGATGATAATCAAGTAAATATTAACCATTTTTTTTTTGGATAAATTCTTACCATTTGATTCAGGCCCATGGATTATCGTTTTCTGTTAAAAAGGGAGTCAAACCGCCGCCATCTTTGAAGAATATTTATAAGGTTTGTTTTGGCGTGGCCTAGGAAAGTGATATTGACGGCCACGGCCATCTCGCTTTCATGGAAACGCTGTTTGCATTTCTCTGCATGTTTTTCGTCAATATCAGAATTTTGACGATTTTCAGGAGCTTGAAGCTGATATTGAAGGATTCAAGCGGCCGGATCATGGCTATTTGGTTGGATGGGCGAAACAGGGTGTTTTTATGCTCAATGCGACGCTGACTGTCAGGTCCATTTTTTTTAATCGATTTTCTGATTCGTTGACGAGTTTGACGATTTTTTTTTCAGTGCTCACGAAGCGAATTCGCATGCGAAAATTGGATGGCAGACATTCACTGATGCCGTGATTTCGTTGATTTCAAAACAGTCGCAAAAACCAATCGTTTTCCTTTTATGGGGAGGATTTGCACACAAGAAAGAAGAATTGATTGATACGAAGAAGCATGTTGTGATCAAGGTGAGATCAAAATTTGCGAATTAGAAAAATGGAAGAAATTTAAATAATTTATTGACATATTTGTAAAAATAATGCTAAATTTTTTTTCAAATGCAATGTACACCGTAAATTACGAGGAAAATCGCGAGATCCATGAAAAAATTCGTTTTCCTTGCGTAATGAATTTTTTTTTTGCAAAATTTTCTGATTTTTTCTAGTATTTTTTGAGTACGATGAAATATTTATTATCCAATTTTGGTTATTGTTTTCACATATTCATGAAAAATTGAGTCAAATAAAACAATAATTCAGTTTTTAAGCTTCACGCGAAATTGTTCATATTTTAAAGCAATCGTTTTGTTTTTTTCACCGAAAAAAGTTTATGTTCAACAGATTAATTGATGAATTTTATAATATCCACAAAAAACAAACTCTGTAATTTCAAATTTCTTATTTTCAGACTGCTCATCCGTCTCCACTAAGTGCTCGCAAATGGCATGGTTGCAAATGTTTTTCGAAATGCAACGAAGAGCTCGAAAACAATGGACGAAATCCAATTGATTGGACGGATTTGTAAATTTTCTTGTTCGATATTCCCCAATTATCGTTTTTTAAATGCAATGCACTCATCTTCTAACTGGTATTTTAATGATTCTCGTGTAATTTGAATGAAATTTGGATCTCTTTTATCTATTCGTATAGGTTTTTTTTATGAGTACCTATCTCATATTCAGTACCTTTCACAAAATGATAATTGTGCGGAAATTAAAGCCAATTGTTAGATGATGGGTGGCCGTGGCGCGGATCGAGGAGGAGATTACGCGTCGTCATCAGATGACCAGAAATGGTTTTCGTCGTCACGACATTTTATGTGCGCTGAATGTCATAAATATTTTAGGAATAAGGTATTTATTTGAGAATTTAAGAAAAAAAAACAATTTTTTTTTGTTTCCAGAAAGAATATTATTATCATGCCGAAGATTGCCTTCTTGAGGCGTTTGAACACGAAATCGAGGTGAATCGCGCGTCGACGTCTCAGGAAATTGATTCGCAAATAGCGGAACTTGAAGCTTTAGATGTCAGCGAGAGTAACCATTATGATTGGCCGGACATCAGAAAAGGCCAAAAAAATCAGTATTTGCAATTGCCTGGAATGACAATTAAAGTATTTTTTTCTCGAAAAGAAAACATTTTGCTTTCTTTTTTTTTAGACTAGCGGTCCAACCGAAAAAGGCGATTTCGCCCGTATTGATGTAAATAAGCAACTTGAGCAGAAAGGTTGGGACGACATGAAGGTGGTGCTAACGACGAAACGAAGTGAGCTCGACGAGCCGCCTCCGGCGGAGCTCGACGAGATGCGAATGATCGACGCGCCGCCGAAACGCGATCGACATGATGTCGACGAGGTGATCGTTGGACCACGCGGCACCAAAATAATGGTGTCGGTGGAAAGCGAGCGAAGCAGCGCTGAGAATGCGCACGAGGACGAGCCGCCGCAGCTCGTCTCGGAAGTGTTGGACAAAAATCGCGTGACGCTCGAAGCCGTTGATGATTTTGATGACGATAATGATAATGGCGGTGGCGGCGGCGGCGGCGACGATGATGATGGCGATGAAGCGCCCGGTGTGAGCTTCATTCCCAACGAGAACGGCAAAATTGTTGGCGCGTTGGCGAATGGTTCCGACGACGCGTGGAAGCCGAAAATGGAATGTCCCACTTGTGGTTTGGTGTTGTATCGCCACAATTTTGCGACGCATTATCGCATTCACACCGGCGAGTTGCCGTATTTGTGCGAGTTTTGCGGTCGACGATTCAGGTTGGATTTTTTTGTTAAAACTTGCTTAATGTTTATAAGACATTACTTTTCTGGGAATAATTTTTTATAAATTTAAAGTGTTTCGGTTATTACCAAAAAGTGTCAAATGACGGAAAATAAGCATATTTTATTTTCACCTACTACTAATTAATCGGTGTCGTGCAAAATTCAAAAATTTTCAATTTCGTTGTGTGAGTACAGTACGCGAATGCCCAAATATTTGAATTATGCAAATAACTTCTCATATTGTTGTCCGCAGTTATTATTTGATTTATAGGACCTCGTCGTCGCTGAAAGTGCATATTCGTGCTCATACTGGCGAGCGGCCGTATCAATGTCCTTCTTGCGCTTATGGAACAGTAACCAAAAGGAATCTTGACCGGCACATCATAAATCACCACGTGAGAAGCGACACCGTCAAGGGACCATTAATGCGTAAAAGCAGGTTTTTGGATGAGGAGTTCTATTCGGAAGATTCACCCATATAGTTTCAAGGTACCGCACGGACATCATTGGCGCCAAATTTGAGTCGTATTCGAAACGAGTGCGAAACATGCGGCGAAACTCGAATAATTCGTATGTCGTCGTTCCCCAACAGAATTCTGTCGAATATGAAGAAGTCGTCGAAATGGAAGAAGAGGAGACGAGGGATGAAGTAAACTCGATATTTGTGATTTTCAAAATTAAAAAGAAAATGTTTTCCAGATGACCGAAGGAATGATATTGGAGGCGGAAGAAGTGGATTTAGTTTAAATATGCTATGTATATTTTGTTTTACCTTTATCCATTACGCTGTGCGTGCTTAACAACTTGATAAAAGATTTTTCGATTATGTGGTTTTTGTAGGAAATTTGAAAAAAATTGGTTTTCTAGCCATTTTATTCAAAAAAAAAAATAGAAGATTTAGAGGGAAACTCTTTTTTTGGGTTGTAATATGAGGAGAGCACTATTCGTCGCTGAGAAAAATGATGTTGCAAAAGGTGTCGCCGCGATTTTATCAAATGGTGAAAATTGGTGCAAATGGTGGCGAAATATCCGATCGTTTCAGGATCCTCAAATCGGCGTGAGGGGCGTTCGAAATTTAATAAGATTTATACGTTACAATCAGAGATTATGGGACAGGTTTCGTTGATTGCCGCCGTCCTTCGATGAAGCCATTTGTCGAATTTTTCAGCGGACCGCGATTTCGGTGACGAGTGTTTCGGGACATCTTATGAATTGGCAGTTTCATGAAAATATGGCTAATTGGCAGGTAGTGCATTTGAATTGCCGCCATCACGGAAATTTTGTTGGAAGCAAATTTTTCTTTTGCTAAATGAATTGAAAAAGTTTAAAAATCTAAAGTAAATTTTTGTTTGCAGCTTGTGCCGATCGCTGAGCTCTTTGAGGCGCCGGTTCGGCAAATTGTCACCACTGATATGAAGTTGATCGAGCAGACGTTGAGGTATTCTAGATTCCTAGAAATTGTGAAATGAATTAAAGGCGCATGGGCAAATTCAAGTGGCGGTTCGAATTCATATGGGACAAATTTCAAATACACTGCAACTGCGCTAACAGACGAAAAATAGTTAAAAAATAGTTGAAAAATAGTGCAGACTTTGGATGAAAGAGGGATCTGTAACAGATCTATTTTCAAGTCTATTTTTCATCAGCGCTTCATCTATTTCTCAGCCATTCTCTATCTATTTAGCATCTTGGATTCATCTATTTTTCATCCATTTTATGTCTTGTCTCTGTCCCTCGTTCTTGCATTTTTCATCAGTTTTCTATCTATTTCTCATCCATGATTCATCCTTTTTTTAACCCATTTTTGTCTACTTCTTGTCTCTTATTCATCTATTTTGCGTCTATTTTTCTTCTGGATGGTTTTTATGAAAAAACAACAGTAAACGGAAAACAACAAAATAAAAAAAAAGAAAAATACAATAAATTGTTTAACATTAGAAATATCAAATTTCAATTAAATAGAAAAATGCTGATTGAAATATTCAGCGGCATCGGGCTTCAGTTTTTTGAGTTGGTGCTCTTTTCCAATTTTGATAGCCAAACTATGCGCCATAACATTGCTAGCGTGGTGAGATCCTTTCTGATCGTTATAATTTGAACGAAGGCGATCGCTAAAAGTACATGGTGTTATTTAGTGAAACATTCGCATAACTACATGAAAGTAATCGCAGACTCTTTGATTTGCACAGCAACTGAAGTAGCTTGATCCGTCGTTGGAGCAATATCTAATCCAATGAACAATGCTTCTTAATTTTTTTTTAACATTGTTCACATATGTATGTATTAAACTTGAATTGCAGATAGCAAACAAGAAAATTTGAAGTCTGAATAACTATAAGAAAAATCTAAAACATTATATCTGAAACATACATCTAGTTTTTGCCTTCCGTTAGTGAGCAATCGAGTCAAATCGGCTCCTTCAATTGGCAATTGTAGATGTTTGTCGAAGTTTTCGAGCATGGTTTCATCGCATTCGAACATTGCAGATTTTTTCTTTGAACATCTAAACTTTTTAGGCATGAGCTCTGGAATTTCTGCCGTTTTTTTGGTCACACTTAATTTTGATACCTTTTAGTATCAACATTACAATTCCATCTGAACAAGTGTGAAGAACATCCAAGATTGTATTGTACGGCTTGACATATTGCACCATTTTCGCCGCAACAGGACCAAATCCATTAACACCGCGAATACTATCTTCTAGAGTCTTATCCCCAAATCTGTCCAATCGTCGATCTTAAATCAATATAAGCGATGAATAAGAGGGTTTAAAATTATTATTGATTATTACCGTTTCCAAGTAGTGGTTTGTGCAGAGTTCCGTGAGAGTCGCAATAAAAACAAGCTTGTGGACTTGAAAAACCGCTCATTCCAAGAATTTTTCTTTTTGCCTTAAACTGAAATCTATAGAAATTTTTATCACTTAATCCTTACTGGTTGGTCAGAAACGAGTGACACGAGGTATGGAGAAAATAAAATATTGTTTACAACAAATGTTGACCCTTCGCCTTCCAATCGATTCATTATAATTTCCGTGACGGTATTCAAAACAAGGGTTGTTGGATTATTAGCTTTTAATTGCAGCATTCCACAGACTACAAGATTAATTGAAAGTTGCGACTTCATTGTAGGCAAATCCACTAACTGTAAAGTAATTGGCCACAAACTTCCTCTAAATGGCACATCTTTAATAAACAAATAATAATAATACCTGAAATGTCCTCGGGGATTGACGCCGTCCAGACTTAGCACCATGCTCAGATCACAATGATTTTCATCCTCGTAATTCCATGAACTGGAAAAAGAACTTCCTTGAAGATTGTGTGTGAAGTTTGGTGCTTTTTCCTTCAATTTCTTTCGAATTTCCATTATATCGTCAAAGGACGACTCCACAATCCCGCGAATTTGTTCGGTGAGAGGCAGCATAAGAAAAGTCGCCAAATCGCCGCAACTGAAATTGATCATAATAATGTTTGAAATGTGGTATATGTGTTTACCATTCTTTCTCTCTTCGACATCCACACTTTTCGCATATTGAACGCTTCATAATATTCTTCTTGAAATCATACCACAATGAGCGGGCTCTTTCAATCGGGATGAAGTTTTTAATTGTTGCCAGTCGTCTCAAAAAGCCTGCAACCATTTTTTGTCTTTGGAAAAGTATTAGTTTTACCATTTTCTGTATCTTTTCCGAGTACCGAACTATACATGCACAATAATAGTTCATCGGCCAATTCCGATACACGATCATGTGCGGGGTAATTCGGTACGCATGACGGCACGACTACTTCGGAGAATTCTTCAATTTCGCTTTCAGATCGTTCTCTCATGAGAAAGGATGTTGTTGATGCATCATTTTCATTATTTTCGTTGTTCGACGATTTGTTTCGAAGTGAAAGCCGGGCGTTTTTTCGAGCAAAGACCACACGTTTGGTCGGCATGCATCGCGAACCAGCAATTTGATCTTAAAATAATAAACAATCAGCAATATTAATATACGAAACAAACCTACCTTTCCTCAATTTGAGACCTTCTTTGGGTAATCGATGGCGAAGAGTTTTAGGCATTTCCAAAATTGATTTTTAAAAAAATTGTGATTAACATGGCGCCATCTGCATTCACATTACGATCAACTGCACAATTCCATCTATTTTTCACCCTTTCAGTGTCTATTTCTTATCATTATCTTCTATCTATTTTTTCCCAATTTTTCATCTATTTGTCATCCATTTATCGTATATTTTTCACCAATTTTTGAGATAATCTATTTTTCGCCCATTTTTCTCCTAGTTTTTATCTACTTTTCCGAGTAATCTATTTTTCATCCACCTTTTCACCATTTTTCGTCTGTAGCACAGTTGCAGTGTACATCGACACAAAATTTGGGTATTTTCAGGGAAGAAGCCCGAAAACATGATATTCTTGTGATCTGGACGGATTGCGATCGCGAAGGCGAGGCGATCGGCGCGGAAATTGTCAAAGTGTGCCGCGACAGCAATCGTCGGCTCGACGTGTTTCGCGCGAAATTCTCCGAAATCACATCAACGGCGATTCATCGAGCCGCCCGGAATCTTGTCCGACTCGATGATCGCATAATTGACGCGGTTGACTGTCGCAGTGAGTTGGATCTCCGAATCGGTTCGGCGTTCACGCGCCTTCAAACATTGCATCTGAAAGCGAGTTTTCGAGAACTTTTTGGTGGACAAGGTTATTTTTTTCCGTCATGGCGGTGTTTTGTAAGAAACCATGAAATTGTCGATGATTTTAGACAATAAGCAAGTAATCAGCTATGGTAGTTGTCAATTTCCGACGTTGGGATTCGTCACAGATCGCTACAAACTAATCCAGAATTTTGTTTCGGAACAATTTTGGAAGCTTAACGTTTCGCATACAAGAGACAATTTAAAAGTCGACTTTTTATGGGATCGAAATCGTCTTTTCGATAGAGACGTGGTGAATGTACGAGAAATTTTCGAAGAGCATCTATGAGCCGATTTCGTTTTTAGATTCTCTATGATAATTGCGCAGAATCGAAAGAGGCTATCGTTGAGAAGGTGACCAAGAAGGCGAAATCGAAATGGCGACCGCAGGCGATGGATACCGTTGAGCTTGAGAAGTTGGGCATCGCGAAATTGAAGATGTCGGCGAAGCAGACGATGCAGATTGCTGAGAAATTGTACAGCAAGGGATTTATTTCGTATCCAAGGTTTTAAATTAATTGAGATGAGAAAATGATTTTCCTTTTTTTTTTGTAGAACCGAAACGAACAAATTTCCGAATGGTCTTGATTTGAAGCCTCTTGTTCAAATGCAAACTGCATCGACGATTTGGGGAGATTTCGCACAGCAGGTTTGTTAGAACAAATCGTCTCTAATCATAAAATAATAATTGCAGATTATTGAGAACGGTGTGAATCCGAGGAATGGCAAAAAAAGCGACGAAGCGCATCCGCCGATTCATCCGTTGATTTTCGCTGACAAGTATTCGTCATGTTTTTTTTTCTTGGGCATGCACCTTTAAAATTTTCCAATTTTACAGGAGCACACTTCAAGGTGATGATTGGCGGGTGTATGAGCTGGTGGTTCGCCATTTTTTGGCGTGCGTTTCCCAGGATGCTCAGGGCGAGGAAACCACTGTTAATGTGGGAACAATGTTTTTTTTTAATCAAATTTTAATTTTTTTTTTAAAGATTCGGGTAGGATGCGAGGGATTCCATTCAAGTGGTCTCAGAATTCGCGATATGGGTTTGACAATCGAATTTATGAATTCCCATGAGTTCTCATGTTCTAGGTTACTTGAAAGTTTACGTCTATGAAAAATGGGGAAATAAACTTTTGCCATCGTATGAGCAAAACGAGAAGCTGACAAATTTCGAGCTCAAAATTGGCGATGGCAACACTCAGCCACCGGATTATTTAACAGAAGGTATTGTCGGCGTCCGGCGACTGATCTACGCGGGTAGATTTACGAATGCGCCTTTCGTCATGGTCTCGCCACGTGCGAACACTTATTTAGCTGTTTTCTCGTAAACTCATTATTATTTTTTCTTTAAGGGCTTGGCATTTTCTTGAATTTCTAACGTCATTTCAAATTAAAAATGATCGAACCGACTCCTGAAATACGAAATAACCCCGAAAAATCTACCCGCGTACAGCAATCGTCAGACCCTTAATACATATGCACAGAAAAATCTGACACGTTTTATCATTCAGCGGACCTCATCGCTTTGATGGACAAATATGGCATTGGAACGGATGCGACTCACGCTGAGCACATTGAAAAGATCAAGGTTTGAAATTGAAATTGTCTGAGAGAGATTTCGATTTTTTTTAATTAGACGCGCGAATACATTGGCGTGAAAAGCGATGGCAAGGTGGTACCGTCTTTACTTGGCCTCTCATTAGTTGATGGCTATGATGATATGGGATTCGCCATGAGCAAGCCGGACCTTCGCGCGAATCTTGAAATCGGGCTTAAAGACATTTGTGAGGGTAGAAGGTCAAAGCAAGACGTGCTGCGCGAACAAATTGGCAAATACAAGGCGATTTTCATAGAAGCCGAGAAGAACATTGATTTTCTGTCGCAGTCGCTTCAACGATATCTGGCGAATCGCGATAATGTCGCCGGTGGGCCTCCGAGAGGCGGACTCGGTGGTCCGAGAGGCGGCGGACGAGGAGGCGGAAGGAAGAGCAATCCGAGGCCAACTCCGCCGACGTCTGCGACCTCATCGGGAGGCGAGGTATCTTTTTTTTTAGTTTCACGCGCGTGTCGAAACCATTATTATTATTATTTTTTTATTCAGATGGTCACCTTGAGCGAAGAATTTGGGGACATAATGGGAAATCGGGGAACTCGAAGAAGTCGAGGTGGAACGACGAGAAAAAGTGCCGCAAGAAGATCAAGTAAGTTCTTTTTTTTAAATTAATTTTAATATTTCAACTAAAACATGGATTGCAGCTGACGCTCCGCCAGCTGAAGAGCAAATAATGTGCAATTGCGTTCCTCCGAGCGCCGCCGTCGTCAAAACCGTGCTGAAAGAGGGGCCGAATAAGGGCAAAAAATTCTGGTCGTGCTCGCTGCCGTTCACATCCGCCGACAAGTGCAATTTCTTCAAATGGGTCTCATGATGGTTGTCAATATATTGTAAACTCAATAATACGATCTCTACTGTCTCGCCATGCAATTATTCAAAAACAATCTTTAGCGCAAATATTTGAAATAACAAACAAAGCAATAGTGAGCTATCCAAACTTCTTCCTCTCCTTATCAATTCAGTTTGGTGATAGTATCATTTTAATGATTCTTATTTGCAAACGTACAACGCTATTGCTTTATGAGGTGCTCGATTTGGTATAGTTTTCGCCGCACGCGTTCATCCTCACAGCAATTAAACAATTGAAAACCTGGTTTCTGGTGTACTCGTTTTGACTATTTGCCTCCAGAATACTAATACGTTCGACACATATATATAGAAATGTGTGTATCGAAAGAAAAGAAGAGACGGACTGTAGTCAGAGCAGTACTGCGCTCTTGTGTGTCTCGCGCACTCCGCTTACCGTGTTGTTCATCGCCGACTTGTGTGTTGCCTCCGTACAAGGTCGATTGAAATTGAAGTTTGCATATCGAACACCGCCGAGTGATTTTTTGCTTGACTCATTTATGTGCTATTATTGTTGGTGGAGTTTTGTCGACGTTTCGCAATTCTTGAACGAGCTCGAATTTTGTGCGTTGTTAGATTTCCAACATTATTCTATTTCTCGTTCAATGTTTTCCCCGCATCCCTACTCTTTAAATTCAGAAATTGCCAGAAGCGCAAAGATGAGCAACGACGAGGTTCCCGATTATCCGCCGCCACCGGTGCCGAGCTCATCGCCGCCGCCGCCGGAAATCGGCGGCATGGTGCCCCCGCCAATTCCAGTACCAAAAACAGAACGACCACCGAATGTTCCAGATGATAATTTGGTAAGATAGCGTGTTTTATTAAAGAAACTACAAATTTATCCACAATTTTCAACATTTGCTCGTCTTTTCACAAAAAGGAACTTAAAAAGGCAAATAATCAGATGTGTGCAATTGTGCGTGAGTGTGTATGCACATCGTTTACTTTGTTTTTTTTACTATGCTAGAACGTTTTTTTTTTTCAACTTTTAAAATGATTTTTAAATAAATATTTTTGTAGATCACAAGGCGCAAAAATATTACAAAAGGAATTGAAGAGATTCGCACGAAGAAGGCCGAGATATCGAAAGCGTTGAAGGAAGTGAGCTCAAAAAAAGATGAGGTTAAAAGAATCAGTTTTTATTTACCACCAATTTTGTTTATTCTAGCCTGAAGGAAAAGTGATGATGAAGCAACTTATTGATGCTTTTGACGTTCTTTCAACCCAAGAAACACAATATTTGGATATTTTGAAAACGATTGTGGTAATAAAAGAAATGGGCGTCGTCGATTTTTCAAAATTTCACCTAATTTGCAGAATATTCATGAGCAGGCGACATTGGACGTCGCCAATGAATATGACGAGAAGATCAAAATCGATGAGCAGGCTTTGAAGAATATCAAAAGCAAAATTGATCAGAAGAAGGATGAAGCGAATGCCGAGCCGGCGAATGATGAAGGTTCATTTTTTTGCGCATGCAATCGTTTGAGAGCTTCTAATTTTCATTTCTAGATATGGATGAGCTTCATCAAGCACTTTCGGAGCTCAAAAAAGTGTCGGAAGCGGCGATTGCTGCTAGCGAATTGAATGAGAAGCTCGTCGAGCGCCTTCAAATGCAGAAAAAGAAGGTGTCCTTTACCCATTCTTTAGACATTACAAATATTATTTCGGTTTGCAGAAAAATGCCATGATGGAACTTCGCCAGAAAAAAACCAAAGAGCTTGAAGAGGAAGCTTCAAGAGTTCGAAAAGAAGTCATGGAACGCATTAATAAATGTTGGTGATGCCATTGGCATATTTTTTTTTGTTTAGTAAAAATCATATTTATTCGCGATTTTTATTCAGTGTCTGCTATGAAGAAAACCACTGTTCAACAAGAGCGCGAGCTCGAGAATCTCAGGAGGCAATGCTTGCACCTTGGTCTTCAAGTTGGAGCCACAAACGATCAACAGGTAACTCGATTTTTGTTTTTGAGATTTTTTGACATTCAAAAATTGTCAGATTGATGAAAGCGCAATTCGAGCGGTTTCGGACGATTCGCAACGCGTGCCGGAAGTCGCCCAATCGCATAAAGCCAAAGAATTGACGGAAGAGGAGAAGGAAAAACGACGAAACGAGATTCGCGAGAATATTCGCAAAGAAATGGAAGAGTAAGCGATTTTACACAATGCAAATAGCACTCATTTGAATTATGGATTGTCTTTTTTTTTTTCTTTTCGCGCGAGCTGTGTAATATCGATCCATCGTTGTTTGATTGTAGGAAAGAGCGAGTGAACGCGAAAATCCGAGAGAAGCTTGCTGGTATGGCCGCACGCAAGAAGAGATTGCAAGAGATACGAGAGATGCTCGAGCGAAACGCAAGTAAGCTTTTTTGATTTATTTTTTCTCATTGTAATGCAAATTTTGTCACAAAACATTTTCAAAAGGTTTCTTTTGAAATAATCACCGCACCCAAATTTGAACCGCTTTTTTGTCCCCTCGGGGACGGGGCCGATCCCGACGGCAGTGCATTGCCGGGTCGACCCATGGAAGGCCGGTGCAAGCGCCGAATCCCTCCAAGGTTCCAAAAATCAATCAACCTAATCAGCGATCTTTCGACCGCATATCGTAGGTTAATACGATAAGAACTGTTACTAAATAATGATCTTAGCCATAAGGCCGAGAAGCGATAGCGACTCATTAAATGCCTAAGGCCTTATTAAATAATTGCTGCGGACAAATGAGCGGGTCACGTCACACTCTATTAATTGCAGATGAAAAAGAGGCAATTGACGCGTTGGTGCCACCAGAAGCTCGAGAAGAGCCAGTCGAAGAAGCTCAAAGCATTGATGATATTTTTGAGAATGCCAGAAATAATTTGAAGTCAGTGAAATCTTGATTCGGCCTCACAATTTGAATCGTTTTCAGTAGCATTACTGCGATGCGGGAACGCCTTGAAGAAATCCAAAAGAACGGCGGTGCCGATTTGACCGAGAATGATATGGCACTTCTGAGCAATCTTGATGCCCAATTGAAGCAGGAAGACGCGGAAAATGTCGAGGTTAGACCAATGGTTGAAAAGTTGTGCTATTAATCAGTAATGCATGGATGGATGGATTGAAGTGTGAACGCAAAATTGCGGATGTTTTTTGTTTTCTTTTTTTTCACAATTTTTCTTTTTTTCTTATTTTTTTCAATTGTTTGCCGTGAATTTTGCTGTGCTTTTTTTAAAAATCCAAATATTCAAAATTTCTCATTTGTCCAGCCATTGGAACATGCGATTCGCGAGTCGTTCAATTCGGTGTTCGCGTCGAGACCCGTGCCGATCGGTGTGGAAGCGCGTTTGATCTCAATCGAGTCGGCCGTTCTTCGAAGCAACCAAATGCTCGAGCAATTACTAAAGGTAATGGAGCTGGAGCAGGTCGGGTGTGCCAGCGGCGGCGGACCCATCAAATTCCCATACATTGTAATGAAGAGGAGCAGCAGCGATGGCGGCATCATCATCATCATCATCTCCTCTTCGTCTCATGTCCTCTTGCTCATCCTCGTGGCAGCGAGCTCGAGCTCCGCAAGCTCTCCATCTTTTTCGTTCGCGTCGTCGCTCCCCCCCCCCCTCTTCTTCTTTTTTTCCCGACGAAATGTTTTTTGTGCCGCCGGTCGTCGCAAGAAAAAAAATGGGGAATTGAGGAGGGGCGTGGCGCAAAGGACCCCCCCCCACACACACACACACACACATACACACACAGCTCGCTGCCGTTTTTCCCCCCATTCGTCTTCATTCTTCGATTCCTAGACTAGTTGGTTTTGCTGGCGCCTAATTCGCGTCCGACCGAAAAAAATTGTGGTGATGAGATGATTCGAAATTGCACTTTTGCGTACCCTCGAACCCTTTCGAAAATTTTTTTGCGGTTTGCGCTTTTCTCTTCCCACCCACGAACACTCAAAAAAAAAACATTAAATTCCATCTGCTGACATTCTAGGAGGCCCAACTTTCTCATTAAATTCTAGATCAAGAATGTTGCGATGTGTCGCGGTCGATGCGCTGCGGTTCGTATTGCTCATTTTATAAAAACCGCGCGATATCTGCCGCGAAGTGTCTCAATCAAATTTTTTCGATCATTTTCCCACCAAAACGCGTTTCGATGGACTTTTATTTTTGTGGGAACACCAAAAAAAAATCATCGATGTCCGCCAGCAGATTCGTTTTTACGATGGCCCATTAAAATTTGACCGCGTCGCGCAAAAATTTTTTTTGCGGCAATGTGCTTCGCGTGCTGCGGACAATTTTGATAGGAAATTTCGAAAAAAAAAAACGAACAAGAGAGAAAGTGCCGTCGAACATCTCCGAACCCATGCCGCTCGCCTGCTCCGCCCACTCATATCATCTCGAAGCCACGCCCACCGCTCAACTACTAGTTGCAGCAGAAGCAAGAGCCAGAGCAGCCTCAGCAGCAATGCGAGCCGGCGGACCGCATTTGTTCACTATCACCTGTTGGGCTCCGCGAATTCGCCGCCCGCCTGCTTCGGCTCGCCGAGCACAAAGAGAGCCGCGTTGGGCAGCCGGCCGACGACATCACCGCCCAAATTCGCGATATTCTTAATAATTCGCAGGTATCGTTGGTATAATTTGCTGGATATTCGACGAGTGATACTCACAGGCTAAGTGAATGCTTTGCCACAGTCTTCGAACAATAAATTGTGAAGCTGGGCTAAGATTCGCTTAGGCCGGTGATTATCTATAATATTCTATTTTCAAAACAGTTGATGCGTGGTTATCATGGGCTCATCGATTTTTTTTGTTGAATTTCGCACGCCGAAGCGAAAATCGCGCGTGTGAATTTGTTGATAATCCGCCGCCTCGAGGCGTGAATTTTGGCGGCAACGTGCTGCGGACAAATTCGGTCGCTCCGGCCGGCGCTGTTTATTGCTATCAATCTTTTCGAACGATTTTAAAGCGATCTGTGTGTGTGTGTGTGTGTGTGTGTGTCGCCCTCTCCGTTCTGTTGTAATATCTGAACAAAAAGTCGGCGTTGATATTTTTACACCGAAATTTTCGGCACGTCGTCGCCCTTCGTATCATTTTGTGCTCGCATCGAGTCGGGAGAGCCTCTGCGCTTCTTACACACACGCACACACACACACACACATACGCATAGATGTGTGGTGGCACGTTTTCTCTAAATGCTGAGACCCCCCCACTCCCGGTGGTTGCCAATGGTGATTTGAGGTGGGCTGGGGAGCCGAGAGGCAACCGAGGATTATTATTATTATTAGCGTATTATAATCATCACCCTTGGAAAGCGCACCGAGAATGGGCATATCTCGAAAGGTCGCCAAATAACAAAAATTGGAAGGTTCACGTTGGTCGCAATGATCTTGTTTGGTTCTTTTGAGGGAATCGAACAAGTTGGATTTGGAGAAGAATATTCATATTTGGCATTTAAAAAAATGTATTTAAATTAACGACGAAAAAAAATGAAAAAATAATTGCGTGCATTTGTTCGTCGCGGTGAACACACGCGCATCATTAACAACTTTTTTTAAATTTTTTTTGAAAAAGAATTATCCGCCAGAATTTTGCGAAACGCTGCTTTTCAAAGAAAACAGTCATCCATCCAGCGTGGGTAATTGAATTTCCAATAAGAAATCCATCATTTTTCAGCAAAATGCCGCCGCCGAACCAAGCAATGAAACGGAAGCAAAGGAAGCCGCTTAAATTCTAGTCGTTTCCTCTTCATTTTTTTTTCAAATGTGATGATCCATTTTTTGTGCCTTTCGATAAAATATGACATTTCCCAAAAATTATCGCAGGATTTTCTAAATTGTTTGCTCAATTTTGAGTATTTTATGAATTCTAAAGTTATTAGTTGACGAAAAAAAACTGCAAATTCTGATTTCAGATAATGATTGATTTATATTCTAGTCTAGCTTTAGTCGCAGTTGTCGCAACTGTTTCAATCGTAATTCCTAGTCCACTATTTTCGAGGTAATTTCCGCGACGACACCCGAACAACTGGATATTCAGAATTCCGATATTTATTAATTTTCTATTGATTTCTGGAGTTAGCGTAGCTGTGTGGGTTTACTCATTGCTTATCGATCGAACAATTCTTGGAACCGTTGAGGTGCTAGTCGAAATCGTTGCGGGAACCTCATGGCGAAGGTTTTTGACGAATCCAATGAATCGAAGTCTTCCTCGTTTTTCAGAATCTATTTAATTTTGTTCTGGCTATTTAACGTCGCAATCTCTGTCTTATTCACCGCATATGTGACCAAACAAGGCAGAAGCTCTACAATACATAGGTTTTAAGTTTCTCATTTTTTTAAATGTATATAAATAACCAATTGGGTAGAAAATTCTTCCATCTCACCGTTTCTTTGATCTACACCTCGGGCATTTTCGTGGATCCCCAATTCACGTGGCTTTGCGGCTGGTTGTGGCTATGCATTTTCGTGCTAATCGAGCTTCTCCGCTATTTCAATGTTCCACCGTGGGGCGAGCTGCTCAACGAGCACCTGCTTGTGTTCAAAGATGCTCAGGATTCAGAGCTCCTACTGACACCAATATATTTGCTGATTGGTATTTCCAAGAGGAAAAACAAACGGAATTATTGAACAGAATTATTTTAGGCATCTTCCAGCCGCTATTCATTTCCTGCGCGTTCGCAAGCCCGCTGAAACTTCAAATCCGGCTAACGCTGTTTGCCGGCGTTGCCGCTGTGGGAGTAGGCGATAGTTTCGCAGCGATTATTGGCTCGAAATTCGGAATCACCAAATGGAACAAGTCAGACCGAATTTTCTATTCAATAATTCCTAGAAAATTTTCAGCAGTCATAAATCGATGGAAGGCACCGCGGCAATGTTCATTTCGATGCTTTTCTACCTTCTAGCCATGAATTTATGCGTCGAAACTTCATCAAAATCCCTCTCAATCATCATCGCTTCACTTATTTCGTCATTAATCGAGGCATTCATCAATAACTGTGATAATATTCTTCTACCGTTCATCACTTATATCCTTTTATGACTAGATCCGCTTCTCAACTATTCGGGGTAAAATATTCAGTGCTGGTGCAATATATTCAATAAACTGGTGTTATTGATTAATGTTTTAAAGGCACGATGAGTTTTGAGAAATCGCTTCGCGATATCTCGCCGCTTCTTGCGCCATTTCATCGATTGTTCTCGGTTTTCGCGCCTCGTTTCTATAAAATTAAGCAAATTCTCGTCAGCTATTAAATAAGGTGTACTTGTCGTGATTGGCCAACTCGTAATAAATCTCGTTATCGCCAAAATCGCCTTTCCGTCGTGGGAGAATGTGCACGTGCACGTGCGGCACCGTCTGTCCGGCCTCTTTGCCATCCTGAACGCAAATTGTCGTTGATTCGACACCATGGAACTGAAAAAGCAATTATTCAGCCGATAAAACAAGGATTTTCAACTTTTTCAATCATTTTTTGAATTTTCTTCGCCAATATGAACAAATCCGCCGTTTCCTCGTCATTCAACTCGGTTAGCTTTTCAACAACCCGTTTTGTGCTTACAAGAACATCTAAATCATCAATTGTTCGTGTAAATGCTCATTATTTTCAATTATACGTCCATCCGTAACGGGTTTCAAATTCACGAAAGCGAATGAATGTCGAGATTTGGCGAAAATCTGCTCGCGTTTGATGGCGAATTTCGAGAAATTCATGTCAATTTCACCTGGTCAAATCAATTATTTAAATTTGATTCTCGCTTCATACTTTCGTCGATTTCATTCACGTGTATCGAATATAAATCATTTCTGCGATGCGAATAAACCGGCTGCATCGTTCGAAGTTCGTCGACATATGAAAGATCGATTTCAGCGAAGCACATGTCTGCAAAAAATTTTTCTTTCAAATTCGGTGTCGCGCGACTGCTGTAAATTGGCTTAATCCCAAAAAATCGCGGATAGCGGTCTTGGATTTAACCAATTTTTTAGCCGATTTTCCGCATTCGCGCGATGTCGACAATATTATGAAATAATTGCTTGTTTTAAATTAATTGTTTAACAATAAAAAGTAGAAATGCATTTCAATAATGTTTTTTTTTCGAATTTTTCAGCCTTCCGCCCTCGAATCTTACCAACTCGTTCCGAGCATTGCGCTACTACAGCTCCCCATGGGTCGACGACCATCGCATGACCGTACGAAAGCCGCTTCTCGTTGTGTTTGCCAGTTTGCGCGGCGGCAATCACGTAGCACTGGTTTTCGATGGCTCTAGCGCGAAGAAGCGTCTAGAATTCGCGAATTCGTCAGGAATATCTTGACCACGAAACCTCCCAATGGGCGAGTCCGGTCGTCAACGTGAACGCCGCCGGAAACGTCAAAATTTGGGCGCCCTTTTTGCGATTCCATATCGACAACTCCGCAAATCGCACATCGTAGCAAATCGATAGGCCCATTTTGCCAATTGGGGTCTCGATCGGCTCGACCATTTCGGCACCAGCTTTGCTGAACTCGCTCTCCATTAGACGAACTTTTCCCGGAATTTCCAAATCGAACAAATGCAATTTGTCATAAATCGCTCTCGTGTTTCCTTGCGAATCAATGACGACGTGCGAATTCCACGGATGCGCCGGATCGGCGTCATCCTTGTGGTGCAATCCGCCAAGCGACAACCACAAATTGTGTTTTTTCGCCAATTCGCGATATCGCCGCATGTAATCGCCATCGACGCTCATCGCCAAATCGACTTGCTCATTTTTGTTGCGTCCGATGAAGTCGAAACACTCCGGAAGAAAAACCATCTATACACAAAGTAATAACGGGTTTTCGCGTCGAGACCATCAAAATACCTCGCATTTCTTCTCGCCAGCGCGTTCGATCATCGATCGAGCAGCTTCAAAATTCTGCTCGAGGTCATTATCGCTTGTCATCTGACATACCGCAATCTGAAAATGATTTTCAATTTTTATTTGAAAATAAAACCAAAAAAAAACTGACAAAATGTCTTCCAGTCGCCATTCCTCGTTGAAAAATGGCCGCCGTGCGTTTCAAGGACACCGATAGCATGCGAGAATTGCTGATAACCCCGAAAATTATGTCAGCAGCGCGCAAAAATCAATAAAAATAGCTAAAAGTCGGCTCAAAATCCGTCGAAAACAAAAAAAAAATTTGCAAATTTCGACTAAAAAATTTTATTAAGGAAGAAGAAGAAAACGAAATCTATGAACAAGCTCTAATATTAGAATACATACCAGTTTCGTGCGAACAAAACAAAAACGAACGACTAGATTCGCTAAATTTCTCAATTTTTTTTCATTGTTTCGTGATCCTTCTGGATTCTTTGAAGTTGCGACGAGCTATTGGCATGAGTGCTATTCTTTCGCGCCACACTTCGAACTCCCAAATGGCGATATCTGAAAAAAATACTAATTCAGATAATCATTCAATTTTAGTATTGCTGGGTTTCAATTGTATTGATATTATTTTCCGTCGTAAATAGATCAAATTACTCAGCGATTTATTGCAGAGATTCTCATACAAATCTTCGGACAATTTTCGAGTATTGTTGATGACGGAAAACTTCTGACGGCGCGTAAAAATTTTAAACGAGTCGTCGATGTGGTCTCGCAATAGTTTACGCTTCGGCTCAATTATTCTACAGTATCTATCAAAGGCACATACAAAAATTTGTTAATATTTCGCTCTAAGAAACAAAATCGTATTTAGCCCCAATTCTTTGAATTTGCAACAGGCGACAATATATTTAAAAAAAAATACCGGTATATCCTCCTTCCATACAACCTCTTATTCTTCTCATATTCGGTTCTGACTTTATATTCGACTTCTCTTGCGGTTTTCAATTTTCCAAGCCTTCTCAACGTCCAGAATGAGGCCTGGATAAGGGCGAGAGTGGTAGCATAACGAATCGGCAGTGCAATCTGAACTTCTTAAATTTATTATAAAGGCATTCGAAGGAATCACCTTGTACAGGAGAAGGGCAATTACAATAACTCCTGCCGATTGATCGGTGCTTTTGATTTTCTCGACGATCCAACTTGGTGAATGTAGTGTTTCGAGAAGAGCTACCACGTCAACACCACTAAATCGAATAATTTTATTCAAATTTTGTTTCGTCATTTTTGGGTTGAAAGAAAATTTGTATTAAAGAATTTAAAACGTGTGGTTTTGGTTTTCTTGGGATTCGATTGGACTTTGAGTTACCAGACTAACCGTCATTTTTTTCTATTTATTTTTTGATGGGATTTTATTTTACCTTTTTACGAGCAGATAGAATAATGCAAACCAAGCTGAGCATGAGACCATATGAGCAGGAACAGCGATATACCAGTAACGTTTTAAATAATACTTTACTTTTGCGAATAATGTTTTTGGAGCTTCTTCCTAAAACAAAAATTAAGATGAACTTCAGTGTTTCCATTTTTTCCCAACCTTTTTCATTTCCTCAATTTTCTTTTCTTTCTCCTTTTTCTTTTCTTCTGACATTGTTATATGGTACCATTTATTTTTCTTCTTCTAAAATAGTCATTTTTCGATTTTTTATCGTTTTTCTATCTAGAAACCTCATCATCACTAAGCGCATGTCTCGAAGTGTGCATGAATCGAAAGTCCGGACATCTTGCGGGTTGTGCGAATGGCACAAAACTGTGATGAATCGCAGATGAGATTCTGGCGGAGAGCAAAATCGATTCGGAACCCCTTAGAACTATTGATCTGCATTGTGTACTGAGCCGGAGCATTCTAGATTTCCTTTTCGTCTTTTTCTTTTGCCTACTCAAAAGCTGAAAAATACTTCCACCGGATCCCAAACGGTTAGCAAAAACCATTTAATAAATACATTTATCTAAAATTCTCTCCATACATATACATATATATATATATATATATATCAAACAGACAATAAATAAAAAAAGGAACCAGTATTTCGAAAGGCGCAAAATAACACAGAACCGCACTATTTGAAATTATTTAGTGGACGAGCTCGGTCTTTTGACGAATAGCGTAGTAAAGTCCGATAACAGATAAAATGACGGCGAAAGTTTCAGACGAAATTGGAGATTTCTTTGTGAGTCCCTGAATTTTTGAAAATTGATTTACTTGTTCTTGATATAAAAAAAATACCGGATGGTTGTGGGTGACGGTGAAGAGTGGCTTAGTCGAGGCATCCTTGGCAAACTTGGCAGCTCCTTCCTCATCATAGACATTGATTTGGAAAGTTTGGGAAGAGGCCTGGTCGTGATCAAGGGTCCATGAAACGGTGTACTTGTTGGTCTCGTCATTGAATCCAACTGGGATCAATCTTCCGTTGACCTCAGCGAAATATTGAATGCGAGATGGATTGTTACTGCATTGAATGGTGAACTCGTTAATAAATGTGGTCTTGTAGTGGAAGAAGCCATCAGTCGTTGAGAAAGTAGAAGCGGAATGCTTTGGCGATTCACACTTGGCAGCTAAAAATAAAAAACAAAATTTTCAAAATTGTAATTTAACGAACCAAAAGCCGCAGCAACGAGGCAAGTAGCAACAACAAACTTCAGCATTATTACCTGAAATAGTAAATTTTAAAAAATTAGAAATATTAAATGAAAATAATGCGAGAGAAACGTGATGCAATTTCATTTTTGTAATATTATATGAGAATGAAACTTTTTCAGGGATGTTAAGTTTAATTTAATTGCATACTCTATAAAATAATATAATTGAGCAGGTTGAAAAATGTTCTTCTTATCTGTATTAACGCACTCTTGACGATTTGGTTTATTCCGGGCACTTTGCCAAGTTTGCAGTTCGACGAGCGACGCTGCAAGACCTAGTCTCGTGACCGAGTCATGCGCCTTTAACCGCTCTCTTCCATTTTTTTTAGTTCGCAGAGAATACCGAGAAATGCCCAGAAATTTCAATCAGCTGTTGTTTACTCTTTAATATCTTTTATAGATCCACTTCTTTCGAACGTTTCGATATATTTAAAGCTTTTATAAACGTATAATGTAGCTATAAAAATCCAAACAATCGATTTTTATTTGACCTTCGGATGTTTTCGTTATTGCTTCGAAATTTGTCCCGACAAATGTGAAAATTTAACTTTGAATATTTAGTGTAATGAAAACGCATTTCAGTTCTCTTATGGCTTCGAGCAGTAGCGGACCAGAAGTGAAAATCCACAATGTGTACATGTCAAATGTTGAGGAGGAATTCGCAAGGATGCGGTCCTTCATACCTGTAAGAAAATTGCTGGACATTATACATCAATGGAAACAAAACTAATAATTCCAGGAGTATTCATTTGTGGCAATGGATACTGAATTCCCCGGCGTTGTCGCAACCCCATTAGGCACATTTAAAAGCAAAGAAGATTTCAACTATCAACAAGTATATTGTAATGTCAATATGCTCAAATTAATACAAGTACTAAATATTCACATTTTTAAAATGAATTTTGGTTGAATTTGAAGGTTGGATTCGCGTTAGTAAATGATAAAGGAGAATTGCCGCCGACCGGCGACGTGTGGCAGTTCAACTTCAACTTCTCGCAGACTGAAGACATGTTTTCGTTGGAAAGTGTCGAAATGCTTCGACAAGCGGGAATAGACTTCAATCTGTTGCAAACGAACGGTATACCAACGCACGTGTTCGGCGAGCTGCTCACGACGTCCGGAATGATAGTTGATCCGCGGATCACGTGGCTCACTTTCTCATCAGGCTATGATTTCGGCTACCTGTTGAAAAGCATCACATTAGGTGATCTGCCGAAGGAGGAGAAGCAGTTTTTCGCATTCCACCGGACATTGTTCCCGACAAGCTTTGACATAAAGATTTTGCTACGAACGCCCAACTGCGCCAGCGCCAAGTTAAAAGGGGGACTTCAGGAGGTATATCTGACTTTTGAAAATTTCAATTTTAATATTAACAATTATCATAAGGTTGCCGATCAGCTCGATGTAAAGCGGCAAGGAATCCGCCATCAAGCGGGCTCTGACGCCCTTCTCACCGCTGCCACCTTCTTCAAAATCAAAAAGAAGTTCTTCGGCGACTCATGGGATCAAATCGCGCCATTGATTTGCGGACACATGTACGGTTTGGGATCATCACTATCGCTATTCCACTCGTCAAACTCGACCAATAAACTCGAAGACCACGTGCAGCAGCAGCAGCATCATCAGAAGGAGATCACGGCATAGAAAGCTAGTCACCGAATTTCCACCGAAACAAATTTCTCATGTCAATGCTCTTCCCTCAATTTCATGTGCGACTGGTTTTCCCCCCTCGATCCCAAACAGAATTAGTATGTGTGTTTTCGAAATCCCATTCTATAAGCTAAATAAAGACAGAAAAAATAGTTTCATTCATATGGGTTGATCTCTTGTTGAATTTCACACTTCATACTGCTGTTTCTTCTCTTTTTTTTTTCGTCTTCTCACCTTAAAAGGTTGACACACCGGTGGATTGTGATCCAAATGCGTCAACCTTTTGATCCTCGCCCCCCCCCATTCAAGTCTCGTGTTGTATCTATTTGAAATATATTATTTTCTTTTCCCCTCTTCTTTTTCTTATTTTTCTCTACTCTTATCCTTATTATTCCTTAAAATCAAAAATAAAAACGTATGAAACAAAATAACCCTTTTTTTTTTGAATTCGTGCGTTTAGTTCTACGCGATTCTTACCTCTTAATTCTAATTGGGCTTAAATACATTAATTGCTTAATTAGATGCCAAGTGGAGGACAGAGAAAACACACAATCTCGAACAAGACACGAAAAAGGCCCGGCAAGGATCTGGATCAGATCCATGAGGATTTGAAGCCTGAAAAAGCGGCAAAGCTGATAAATCAGGAGGTAATTAAAAATTTTTTTAGTCAATTTCAGCGTTTTTCCTATAGGTTGACTACGACATTCCCGGCAATGGACAATTCTACTGTATTGAGTGCGAGCGACACTTCATCGATGAGAAAACTCGGCAAATTCACAGGAAAACCAAAGTAAATCGAAATTGTCAAAACTTTTGCACATGTTTTTTGTTTTGAATTTCAGCAACACAAAAATCGCGTCAAATCGCTTAAAGAGGTCCCGTATTCGATAAAAGAGGCCGAAGCCGCCGGCGGATTGGGACATTTTCCGCATGTCACGCTTAAATCGCGAGTTCCAGACAGAGTTGATTATTTAGCCGACGTGAAATCCGCCGAACCAGCGGCTGCATAACTGTACTTGGCGTTTTTTCTATTAATTGTTATTCAAATATTGTTGATTTACCTGTTAAAACTACGTCACAAAAAACTGTTTGAAAGAGGGAAAAACGTGAAAAAAAAACTAATGATAGAAGAAGAATGGAAAAATAACAACCAAGATAGTGGAAAAAAGAAATAAAACAATTAGAACGAAATCATCAAAAACAAAGCCGCGATGAGCAACAATTAGGGCAAGATGATATCATAATAGTAAAGATAGTAATAATAATAGTTTTAAAATTATTTCGTAATTTCCGAGATCTTTTCAAAATACATGTCGGCGTTTTCAGGGGTCCCGAAACGAAGAAGCATCGTTACCATTTCTGATGGTGTTGCGGGGCACGTGAGCTTAAATCAAACAATTACTGCGAAATTGCAAAAATTGCTTTTGTCACCCTGAGTTTGTCCTTTTTGGGATCGTCAACCTTCGTCGCTTTCATCGCCGGATTACACAAACAATTAAGCCAAACCGTTCCTAAACACACGCTTCATTTTTATAAGCATGCACCTTTAATTCTACCTGTAGTTGTCGCGGCGCGAATTAATACGGAATGTTTATCGCCGACTTTTTTTATATAGAGCATTCCAACACCAAGTTTCGAATATTCTTTCCCGGAGAATTTGAATACCGATACTCTGAAATTGACCAAATAAGGACGGCCATTTAATTTCAATTTTTCGTTACTTTGTACTCAAAATAGCATCGGGCTCGGCGATCTCAGTAACTTCAGCTTTTGGCGGTACGTATTCAGCCTCTTCCTCACCATCATCTTCACCCTCCTTCTTGGCGGCGTTCTCTTCAGCTTTCTGGGCAAGATTGCTGAAAAGCGATCCACCCGATCCAAAACTGAGTCCGTTCGAAGCGGCAGGTGCTGATTTTCCGAATAATGAGTTAGATGAGGAGGATCCGAATGAGAACAACGACGGTTTTGTTGATGAGGTCGAAGCGTAATCTTTCTTTTCTTCGATTTTCGGAAACGATAACGTGGTCGATTTTGAGCTGAATTTCAGAATTTTAAAAAATTAAAAAAAATTATTACTTTTCATTATCCTTTTTTTCTTCGTCTGGCTTTTTCAATGAACCAAATGATGGGAATGAAAGTGTCGGTTTAGATCTAAAAAAAATTAGCTGATTATTAATTTCTAATTGGTTAATTACCCATTATTATCGTTTTTCTGAACGTCTTGTCCGGAGAAGGTGAAGAGGGCTTTTTTCGAACTGAAAGTAAACATTAAGTATTTTATTTTTTTCGCCTTTTGTTACCCTCCATCAACCGATTCTGAAGGTTTCGATCCAAAAGTGAATAATGATGATTTCGGCTGTCTGAAAATGAAATTCAATAAAAAATCACCAAGCCAAGTTATACCCCTCATCTTTATTTTCAGACGTCTTTGCTCCAAAGGATAATGGTGAACTTGTTGAGCTCTTTTCATTAGTTGGGGAAGCAACGAATTGCTTTGGTGGTGGGTTCTCCTTCTTCTCTTCATCCTTTTCTTGCTCAGTATTCTTGTTCCCAAATGAAAATCCAGTAAAGGGCGGGGTTTCGCTAGAAAAAATTAATCAGTAATTGATTTTAGGCATTTTCTCACGTTTTTCCCAGAAAACCGAATAGGCTGCCGCCGTTGTTTTCAGGTTTATCCGATTTTTTCGACCAGAAATCTTTGCTCGGCGCCGGCAATTTGATTGTTGGAACTGGAATCGACATCGCTGTATTTTCACTTGATTTTCCATCATTGCCGCCCTTGAAGATCACCGATTCCGAGCCACCAAGTGGTCCACCGCCACGAATTGCGCGTTTTCGAGCAGTAGTTGGAGCTGGAACTTCTGGAGCCTTGTCCTTAATTGGCGGCGGAGTTTCCTTACTGATGGCAGATATATCACTAAACGATCAATAAATTTTTTTAAAAATCGAGTATAGAATGCAAAATTACCCGAATTTAGGGAATGCTGGAGTAGCTTTAATAGCCGGTGATGACGAAAATATCTTCGAGGCAGTTCCAGCTGGTGCCGGTGTTGCCGATAAATTATTACCGCAATTTTCGAGGTGCTTATTCTTTCTAACAGCTTTTGCAATCTTCCTTTGTGACGATCGTGGCTTTTCTTGCACTTCGGATGATTTTTTACTCGACGATCTTTTTTCTTCCGTTCTTTGCGAAACATTGGTGTCTTCCACTTCCAGCTTGTATAGCACTTTCAGCTTCTTCACGTGCTCCATATACGATGTCATTGTGCTAGACTGGAAGAAAAAAATCAACATAGAATATCCATTATTTAAAACCATACAAAATCATAATGACTTTTTTCCTTGAAAAAATGTTGCAAAACTGAAAGAAATTCCGAGTTTAGAAGTGTCATCTTGTCACGGAACCGAAACTGGTTCATATGCTCCTCTGATGTCAGTGGTGTCGGTGAGCGTTCCATTATAATATATCTGAAAAACAAAAAAATAATAAAAGTTGCTGAAACATTGATGCAAAATCTTGCAAATGCGAGTTTGAAAAGTACAAAAATTTCTGTGAGGTTTTGCGTCATTTCCACGGTTGCAATGTTCACCACAACGTAAAATTACACCAAATCTGTTCGGTGCAAAAAATAATTCTTCCTCGCGTTTCTTTTCAGCTTTTCTTTTACTATTAACACCTTTTCAGTTATAATTGTGACTTATCATGGCTGAATATTTTTTACACTAAAAATTCGCAAAACTGAATTAGCTTATTTTAATAAATATGAATTCATAAATAAACCTAATTTGAGTTTATATTTTTAAAATATTATTTAAAGTAAAACAGAAGAAACATTAGATTTTGGTGTTGAAACGGGAAAAATAGGGAAAACTGTATCTTTCAATGTGTCGATTGAATGCAAAATACCTTGAAATCTCTCGTTCTGTCCCAGTTTTTCATCAAGCAAAAACTGATATGATTGTTCTTTGATCAAATAACGTGACACGTCACAAAATAGAAAACAATTGTTTTTCATTCCGAAATCTTTAGAATGTTTCGAGTCGTGTGCTCTCGCGCAACATCTGCTGCTCGTCTCCATCTTGCCCGATCCGTGAGCACCTCAACTCGACAGCAGCGAGTTTTCACGCCAATTCTGGCGGTTGTTCAGAACAAGAACTCGCAAATCAGACAATACTCCGCAAAGGTAAACTTTTCCAATTTAAACAATTTTATTAAATCGATTAATCAAGGCGCCACTCACAAAGAAAACCTTGGAAGAGAGAATCATATTGGTTTTGAGTGTCTACGACAAGATCGACCCAAAGAAGTTGACAATGGATTCGGATTTTGCCAAGGATCTTGGATTGGACTCGCTGGATCACGTCGAGGTTGTTATGGCAATGGAAGAAGAGTTTGGATTCGAGATTCCTGACGGAGACGCGGATCGCTTTAAGACACCACGCGACATCTTCCAGTACATTTGCGACAAAGAGGATGTGTTTGAGTAACTGTTGTAATTATATAAAATGTAAGAGTATTAGGTCAATTTGCTCTTTAGAATCTTGTATTGTAGATTATGATTATTTTTATTCGTTATTGTCGATTTTCATCGTTCATATTTCTCCCTTTCTTGCTTATTTTCCAATTAAATTCGTAATTTCTTTTGTGTTTTGGAATTCAGAAACAGGTAATAAACAAAATACCATCATATTTCGCTTTTTTCTCAATTCACTGCCATTAGTATCACAATCTATATATTTGATGTGATGGAGAATGATTTCGTGGCCTAGAAAAGTTGCGCGGAAATCACGGCCGCACTGTAAAGATGCTTTTTTGTGTTTTTTCCGAGGTCGGATTTTCCAGATTTCTCTTTGATAAAATCGCGTTGAAAATTCGAAATTTCTTTATTTTTATACACACAATTTAATTAATTAATTTTTAATTTTATTCTTTATGATTTTATTCGAAATTATGGAATCTCTAAAATTGAATTCAAATGTAGAAGACAGTTCAAGGTGATTAAAAAAAATTCTCAAAATTTGCAGGTTTTAGACCAATGAAATGGTTTGGAAGAACAATTTATACACAGGTCAATGGAACTGAGCAGGACGATCAAATCGATGTCGATCAAATCTCATTCACAAGTTCATGCTCATCTGGCGAGAATCAGAAGTTCGAGCCAACGCCCACGTGTCTGCCATCGCCGGATAAACAACCGGATTTGATCTCTTTTGATAGCGCCGAACTGCCAAGAGCCACCGAATCGCCTGTCGACTTCTGTCGTGATAGTTTACCAACGGAGAAAATCGTCGGGAGTGCTCCTGGACCATCAAAATTACTCGATGAATCGCCGAAATTTGGTAATCCCGAAGAAGAAGAAGAAGAAGGTGTAGATGAGGAGGAACCCATTAAAGAGTCAATATTTGTAAGGAATTCGGTGTTTTGGTATGTTGTCAAGGAAAATTTCAACGATTTATTGATTTTTGAAGGTTCAATGATGATGAAGTGGATAAGGCGAGGATAAAAGTGCGCTGCTCGAATCGAGGAAGGGTTTGCCGATTTCCGAATGATGTTGATGATGATCATATGGAAACTGTTTGTAGATCTTTGCAAGTAACCATGGGTAAGATCAATTTTATAGTGAATAAGGAATTTCGAGTTTTCAGGTCTCACCGCACGATCAGCATGGCTTAATGAAATATCTAACGATCCTTATTTATCTTCTTTAGCGAAAGAGGTTTAAAAATTTATTGTTGAATAGTTGAAACAGAAATTGTTTTCTTGTTTTCAGCTTGATCAAAGTTTCGCGCTGACGAATATTTTCGGCGAGCCTAGTTCAGAAATCGATCTCACTAAACCTTCCAGCTCGGAAGATTCTCGAAATCACGCACCGTCGGCTTCGTCGTTGTCGTCGGCGGCTTCGGGCGCATTCAATATTAAAGAAGCGCCGCCGGAAAATGGTAGAAACGAGACGAAAATTGTGCGAATTGTGGTGCCGGGACGGCCGGGAATCGAGCCGATCGAGATTCGACGACGCGTGAACACGAGTTGTGAGCAGGTGTGCTCGGCAATCATCAAGCATTCCATTGAGTGTGATGAGCCGAGAGATTCGAGAATGAAAGTGCTCATGAATAGATTTGCAAAAGTCGAAAAATGGATTGACGAGGTAAATGAATTGTGTTTTTTGAGTGTAAATAATTAGGAAATTTCCCGCTTAAGGTCCGCCCTGAGAGTCGCCACCACGATAATTATGCTCCAGAAGTTCCACCGCTGGCCGAGGATTGGATCCTTCACGTCCAGAAGGTGATTCCGATTCGTGTTGGAATTAAAGCGCAACACGAAAAATGCGCGTGTTGCCGCCAATACATCTACATGACGTCGACGGATTCGACGGCTCCGGCGAAATTCTGCGAGTATTATGGTCTCTATTTCTGTCATTTGTGTCATGCTGGCGAGAAAAGCATTGTACCATCGAAAATTCTCACCGCTTGGAATTTCGCCGAGGTTCCGGTTTGCGATAGAGCTTTAAGGTTGCGATTAACTAAGCGAAACGAAATTTCGGAAAAATGAGATTTTGAAGGTTTTTGAACGCTGTTCGAGAGGTTCCCGTGTTCCGAATGCGAATCGTTGCACCGGAAACGGTGAGAAAAACAAAATTGTTGAGGCATGTGATGGATTTGCGGCTCAAATTGCGCCATATGGAGCAATTCATTAAAGTTTGCTCGGCGGCAGCTAATCAAATCACCGAATATGGAAATTTGGGCACAATGTTCGCCGTTTTGGACCGTTATCTACTCGACTGTGATGATTTGTTCTCACTAAACGATCTTCTTAGGGTTTATAATAAGGTGAAATAGTCAAATTTCGATGAAAATTATTGTTCATGCTGGGGGTGTTTAGGATCTTCCATGCCTGTTGGAGCCGATTGCGAAACACGCGAGAGCTCATATAATGAATTGTAAAGGATGTTGCGCGAGAGCTCATGTTTGTGTTCGATGTAATGAATTGTCGGATAGATTATTCCCATTTGAGGATCGGGTTAATAGGTAATTGTTTTTTTTTTTTTTTTTGAATATTTGGAAAATGGCTCCTGCATTGGAAAAAACGTATAATTTTTTAATTGTTATAGAATTCACCGTAGGTTGTTGCAAAAGGAATGCATGATTTTAATGATTAACTTTAATTAGAGATAGAAAAACTTGTAATGAGGTTTATTAATCGAAATGACAATCAATATAGTTTTGCCAACATGTTTAACTATGCGGATTGGATATAAAATTCTGGATTTCTAGAGGATACTAAATTAGTATTTTTTTAAAGAAGAAATTCAATAATTTGTGGTCGAATTATATTATACCTGATTTTATCTATAATACCTGATCACATAATTTTTCTTGCAAAAATGATTTGGGGCGTGGTCGACAACAAATTCGTTATCAAATTAAATAGTTCTCAATGCAGTCATTCGCATTTTTCTATTTTTTTGTTGTTATTCTAGATGCGACGAGTGTGGCGGCCTTTCGCATGCTCCGAAATGCCCAAGACGCGATGTTCCCAAAGATTCGGCGTGTCCGAAATGCGCGAGAATCTCGAAGACTCGAAGTCGCCAACGAATTCTTGCGGTTGGCACCATTGGCGATGTTTAACGACCGTCAGCGATTTGTAGTTTTGGCATATACATTTATAATGCTATTTTTCTGCCAGAATATTATTCACTTTGTGCTATTATTTGCCGGTTTTGACCTACTTTTCAATATTTTTCCTCATATTTTCATCAAATTTCTGTGATATTCCTCATTCAGTGTCTGCACCTCGTATAAAAAAGTATTAAATTCATATAAATTTATAATTTTTTTCCTCTGAATATTTGTTGAAATTGGCCTTTATCCGATATTATGCTGAATTTCCATGTTTGAAATAATTTATTGACAATTTTCAGACGAAATTTTCGAGCCATGGGAAATGTGTTGGTAAGAATTTGAGCTATAAATTGTTGTTCAAAAAAAAATGATAGACATGCAAAAAAATTTTCTTGAATTAATTAAAATTTTATCGATGAATTACGCAGAATTCGCTCGCCGAATGGTCGTTTCCCGTCGTATGGTCGTCGCTCGTGATATTGTTCATCCTAAAGTACATCATTAAGAAGGTTTCATAAATATTGTGAAAATTTTGTCAATTTTATTTGAAAGACGAGTGAGGTCAAATTTAAATTTTTTTCCAGCCGTGGGGTGTTCATGTTCAATATCGAGACGCGGTTCGTCGGAATGATTTGAAAAGACTGAAAGGATTTGAAGATTTTGAAAATGCCACCCTTCCAAACGTTGTCATAAATGATGAAAGGTTGGATATTAAAGAATTATTCAATTACAGAAGGAATTCTTTCTTTTACGTGAAATTTTCGATTTTTTTCTGAATTAGTGTGCAATTTGGCGTGAGTGTGTACGCACACATTTACAACTCACCGCGCTTTTTTGTTTGAATTTCTAGATTTTTAGCCTAAACTTTTTAGAATAAAAGCGAATCGTGAAAATCTGGAGGAACTCAAAGAAGCTTTTAGAAGAATTGTGAGCCTTCCCTTATTGGAGTTAAGAGGTTTTCAAATTTTTTAAATCGAAATTCCCTACGAATTGAAATTTATTCTAGAAAAATTGCAAAATGGAGAGTTGAACGCGTTCACTGTCCTTTGCGCATATGTCCATAAGGCAATGGAGGTTCAGAAGCGCATTAATTGCTGTACTGAAGTAATTAAGGAGGTAATTAAAAATTAAAGAATGATATATTTTTTCTTTGTTGTAGGCCTTTGATTATGCGACGGAAGCTGATCGCAAATGGGAGAATTCTAAGGAGAAGCCGCCACTTTACGGAATTCCCTTCAGTGTGAAATCAAATTTTTATGTAATATCTTTATTTTGGGTTTTTTCTTGAATTCTGAAAATTTGGAGATGAAAGGCTATGATTGCTCAATTGGAGTGGCGAAGCTTCTGGATCAACCCAAAGATCAAGACACCCCATTTGTGGCGCATTTGATAAATCTTGGAGCGGTGCCGTTTGTTCTAACCAATGTGCCCCAGGGACTGTTGTCGTTTGTCTCCTCGAACACGGTTTATGGAACAACGCTGAATCCGCATGATCTGACACGAGTGCCTGGCGGATCGTCGGGTGGAGAAGCTGCTCTTCTTGCTGGCGGCGGTTCGGCGTTTGGCACCGGCTCGGATCTCGCTGGATCTCTTCGAATTCCGGCGTCGTTGTGCGGCCTAACCACGCTGAAGCCGACTCAGGATCGATTTGTGGTGACGCACACGCATGGCGGTGTGCCTGGAAGAGGACGACTTGGATTGAGTTTTGGATTCTTCACGAAAACCGTCGAAGAGCAGATTTTCCTTTTGAAATTGATTGTCGGATCGGAGGAATATCGAAAATTGCTGCCACAATCGCCGCCGGCACCGCTGAGAATGGAGGTTTTTGCTTAATGGGTCGTTGCAAACGAAATGCATTTTCTTGGAAGGTGTAAAAACTTGAATACGATACATTTCTTTTGCAATTAACTAATTTTATTATTTTTCTGCTCATTACTGAAATAGAAAATTTGTAGATTATCAATCCAATGAAAAAATGAAGATTGGCTATTTTGAGGCGGATGGATTCTGCCCGCCAGTTCCGTCGTAAGTTTTTGCGAATATTTACTTTCTGATTTTTAAAATAGCCAGCTTCTGAAAATTGTTTTTCTAGACATCGTCGCGCAGTTCTCGACACAATCGAAAAACTGAAAAAAGACGGTCATCAGGCGGTGAAATTTGACATTCCGCGAGTTATGGAAGCTGCACTTCTTTTCTATAAAGTTTAAATTTAAAAAAAAATAATTCGCAGATTAATGAGTGCTTTCAGAATGTGATGCCTGACAGCGGAAGCTATATGAGATCGATTTATGAGAATGAGGAGATTGATGAGAACATGAAGCAATTTGTGATGCTTCTTAAAGTGCCAAGAACACTTCGATGGGTGGCTGCGAGAATTTTGTCGGGAATCTCTCCGCAAATGTCTCTCATTTGTGATGCCTATATGAGAGACGTTGAAGATGTGCGGTACACTCAGGAGCTCACTGACAAATATCGATTGGATGTAAGTTTCGATGGGAAGAGTTTCAGAAATTTTTGCGCTTTTGCTAGTTTATCAAATATTGGAAGGAGTTGGGCATTGATGTTCTTGTGTGCCCGTCATTCATCGGTGAGAGTTGATCGATCGCGCTATTTTGATGGGATCAATGATTTTCAGTGCCCGCGGTTCCTCACAAATATCCGTCGAAGTTGTCAACGGCTGGATTCGCCACTGGATTGTTCAATCTGCTTGATTTTCCGGCTGGCGTCGTCCCAACCGGTCATGTGACTAATGAGGACGACGCTGACTTGCATGATGATAAGTTCTTCAATGTTGGTAAGTATTGTGCGGGCAAAAAATCGGGATTTTCGAAACAAAAGTTTCAGGCTATAATCCGATACTAAAAGTTCAGCGGGAAGCGGCCTCGTGCTCGGTGGGACTTCCGAACTCTGTGCAAATCGTCACATTGCCTTATGAAGAAGAAATGTGCCTTCACGCGATGAAAATTGTCGAAGAGCTGTGGAAATGCAACTAATTACGCAAACTTTTCCATTTTTTTTTAAATATTAGCCCGAAATTGCCTGTGATATATAGATAAAAACGCTGTAAAATGGTTAAAGTCTTTGAAATTGTTTTTATGTGTAATTTTGCATGGAGAATACTTGAGCTCTTTTTTTTTTAAATCGAAACTGTATATAACTTAATTCAGTATGGATCTACTCAGTTTTGATGCGAAAAAAGGCAAACGGGTCGGTCCGGTGGTCTTGACGCGAGATGATATGATTGAAGCTTTACAAGGGCATTTAGTAGAAGCGTTTCTAGTTGGCGGCGCTGTAAATGTGAGCGAAGAGAGTTTTGCGACGATTCTATATGAGATTGTGAGATTTATTTTTTAAATATTTTTCAAATGTTGAATTTGAGGCGGGTTTCGGCCAATTTCTTGATGATATTCGTGATGAGACGATTCCGGCGAGTCAGAAGTGTTTTGGAAGTGAGGAGGAAGCGAGAAAATGGACAGGTTTTTATATCGGTTATTCAACTCGGTTTCGAATTTGGTATTGTCAGAAAAGAGCCCTGAGGTGCGGATTTTGATGCTGTTGCCCGAGGAGGTCGTGTTTTTAGCTGTTGAATGGGAGGTGCTAGAAGTGAAACAAGGAAAACGATTATTGGGGAAAGGTAATTACAAATATTCAGAAATTTTTTCTCTATTAATCATTTTCAGATGAACTTTGGGAGACTATGTCGAATCTCCATGGATCGAAGTTTTTTCAATCCTACTGCGTCTACAGGCATCTTAAAGAGAATAAATGGTGTGTTCGGAGCGGATTAATGTTTGGATGCGATTACTGTAGGTATCCCTAATGGGCCCGCCACGAAATATTTGATATTTAGTGATCTACTGCTTAGGACCGCAGTATTATCATTCATCGGCTGGGGTGTCGGTATGCAACACTATCAATTCCCTTCAGCTTCTTACTTTAACTAGAATTCTTTCGCATAATAAGAAATCGTTGATATTGGCGAGCTGCCAACCACCAGAGGTCGTTGATCGCTGTCTGAAGTATGAGGACACGAAACAGGCGTTGGTGGAAATTGTCACGCTAAAGACTTATTTTTTGGAGCGCAATGTTTCGAGGATCTCAAATAGCCCAAATGAATTATATGAATTGAATTTATAAATAATGTGAAAATGCACAATTTTGAAAACAAGAAAAAGAATGAATGAAGAAGAAAAGAAGAAGAGAAAACAATAATTGAGCAAATTATCGCTGTGAGTCGTCGTGTGATAGGGTCTCTATGGAATTTTCGCAGGGAAAACTGCTTGTAAGCTCGTATGACATGAAAGCTGGCGGACTAGGAATTGGGCATATAAAAGGGGGGACCTTGGTTTTTTTTTGTATTGAACTATTTTTTTTACATGAATTAGTCATTTTTCGGAGGCCTCAAATGCGGATGCGATTGATCTTCGCTTTCCGAGCGTCCGGCGCCGATGAAGAATGCGCCGCGTTGGCTGACAGGGCGTGGAGCAGACGTTGGACTGAAAAATTCAAACGATCATTGCCATTTTAGTACAAATATGGGATTATTCATCTCTTTGTGTGTTTTGACAATGCGAACCGGTATTTGATTTTTAAAACTATTCTTTTTCGATTGTTTACCAATGCTTCGTTTTTTTTTCATGTTGTTCAATGCACCGACCTCGAAGAACCGTCTGGAGTCTGCTCGTCGTGTCTCTCGACAAGTGTTATCGCCGGCTCTAGAACGCTCTTCTTGCGTGTCGCGATCGCTTCTTCGGTTTCGTCGTCTTCGAGAACATCGTCGAGCACATGATGCTGGAAGCTTTTCGCGTTTGCCGACAATTGCGGTAGAGATGGCGACGCCGAGATGTCTTCGCCTGTAAGCATTGGGATTTTGAAGCGCGCGCTCTCTCTCTCTCTCTCTCTCTCTCTCTCTCTCTCTCTCTCTCTCTCTTTCTCACCTGATTTCACAAATGCGGCGTTGCTGAATGATGATTCACCCTCGACGCCATTCGAGGGTTTCGCCATCGCACCATCACCATCGAACGCCATATTCTCGAGCATCCCGTGCGACAATGTCTTTCGACCGAGATCATCATGCAAATGCGGCTTCGAGAACGACCTCTCGATTTTGTGCTTGAAACTTCGGAACATTTCAATGTTGCCCAACGAGGCCCGTGTTCGATGATGGGTGTGATGCTGCTGATCCGATGGCTTTACCGGCACAACAGTTGATATTCGTCGTCGTCTCAGATTCTGATCATCACCGACTAGCGGTTGAGTGTCGTCACAATGCGGCACCATCTTAATCTCGTGCACATATTCAGGAAGTCTGAATTCGACTAGTATGGAGGAGAAGAAGCAAACTAGTAGCAAACTTCACATCCGACACTGATCCTTTGAGCGGGTTGTTGGGTATCTTTGCGGTCTCCTCAGAATACAGCGGCTCGACTTCTTCATCCCAGAAGTCGTCGCGCTTAAGCTCCGGAGCGCGATCGTATCCCCGATCAACCATCATGAGGACCATCTAGGTTGCATTCGAAAATGAATTTAGAAAAATGAACGGCATACCGTGATGTTTCTGTCGATGAGCGCATTACACTCAAAGTCGTCGTCGTCTTCTCCGAATGGGTTGAGCATCGCCTCGGCGACCTTCATCCAGCCCATATAAAAAATGAATTGAAGGGTGGACATGATCGGAAAATAGAGATCAATTTCGGTTTTGTTGTTGGCGTGCTCGGTGACGACGTATTGTCTCGCCAGTAGGCACATCAAGAAGTACGTGTGAACGGCGAGACACACCAATTGCGGATACATTATCGGAATCGGCACCCAATCGTAATTGCAAATCCACGCGAGACCGGTTCGGAATTTTTTGATCTCTTCTTGCACGACGACTTGATAATAGTCGCTCTCGATGAGGCCCTTTTTGCGCGCGTCGTATGTCAATGAGAGCGCCCATTGGAATGGCACCCAGTACTTCGAGTATTTGTATTGGATCTCGTCGAATCGCTCCTTCTCATGCGGCATCATGAATCCTGAAATTGTTGAGAATCGAGTTCGGAGGCGACGCGGTTCGCCGGAACGCACGCGTGCCGTCCTAGAGAAATTGATGGTCGACACATTCAAAAATCCAAAAAAAAGACATGTGCGGCATACAAATTATGAGAAAAATTGCAAGTGCAGCGCACTACCACACGCAATTTTTTAAATTATGCATATATATATTTATATCTCCATCAAGTGTGGCCGCGGCCGAACCTAACATTTTGAGGTCATTTTTCTAGGCCAGAGGTGCGTTGCAGCGAGAGCTGCTGTCATTTTTCGCATACCCGCCGCCACAACTGTGTCGAGTGTCGGAAATCGTCGACGCGTGCGCATACTGATGTCGCGAAACACTAGAACTTGTGCCAATTCGCAATATCGAACGATGTTGCGGCGAAACATTCGCGCTTGTTCGCTTCTGCCCCGAACGTATTCGGCCGCCATCAAGCCGATGCTGAAATTCAAGAATTTGGTTTGTTTCCGAAAAATTGTGGTTTGGTCTCAAACAAAAGTTATTTTTCTGTTCAATTTTTTGAAAAAGTTGGGTTTTTTCTAATATTCTGAAGACGGGAAGTTTCAAAAAATAATTGATTTCAAGGCGCGAAAAAAAAAGAGTTGTGGCGGCAGATTCTATTTTTTTTAGAACGGACCATTGAAAACGCTTACTTATCAATGAATCCGATGATCTGATACAAATATGTCCATCTGTTGACGACGGCGGTCACGAAAAATCCGAGCATAAAATTGAGAGGTATATAATTGAGGCGGCTATCGCAATATTGTACGATTCTCTCAAATGTTCTGCAATTCTAGCAAGTTTTTTGGGCCTCTCGAACTTCCTTTTATGGTTTGAGATCTTTTATCAGAAACCAGTTTGTCTCGGCGATGAGTCAAAAGTTTAATGATGGTGATAATTTGTACTTCGGAGATTCTGTGTACTCCACACGGACAATATAAAAGGGTTTTTCTTTTCAAAATGATCTAGCCTACTGAAAACCATTTCTATTCGTCTGTTCTCTTACCTCTGCTGCGACGGGTTCAACGCCGTCCGGTAGATCACACTAATTATCGCGTAGAGAATAAGCCAGACGGCGTACTCGAGGATCACCGCCTTCCAAATGCTTCCCCGCCATTTGAGGAGCAGCTTGAAAAGTGTCCACGGTTTCGAGGTGGACACTGCCAAGTTGTAGTTGATCGTCATCACTGGAAAATAAATGAATGTAGATCAAAATGAAAATTTTTAACAAATGGGGTGTGGGTTGAAATCGGCGTCACTTCAAAGGGATTCATACAGAGAAATCATTTAATAGCAAGCACGATTTTTTAGTGTGTTTCAGCATTTTATTTATTTTTGATAGTGTGAAATTTGGTGATATGCATCAGAAGGGAGATGATATAATTGGATGACGAATGCATATGATAAACTGTGGCGCGCACCCGTCAACCGTGTGTCCGCGAAACACGCAGTGTACAAAAATTCGTCAAACGCAAAGAACACAGTCTTGTGGGTGGCAATAGTGGGCGGAGCTTGTTGTGTGGGTTCGTTGCGGTCATAAAAGTTATTGGGCAAACATGTGACGAAAAAAAATGAATGGTAGCGACTTGTACCTACTTTTAAAAAGTGCCCTGGAATTTTAGAGATGAACATATTTTTTTGTTTACGATGGCATCAATTGACAGGAACGCCGAGCAAAATCTGGTTTTAAAAGCGATAAAGTTATTTTCAAAATATTTAGGCTTGAAATAGTTTTCGGCGTGTTTACAGAATGCGCGTAATCCTACGAGATATTACACAACATTTGTTGTTTTTCTTTTAATTTTTTTCTCATTTCATTTTCACTTTTTTAAAATCTCGTTGGAACATGATTGTGGTTACGGTATTCTCTATTATCTAATTAGTGTCGCACGACTAATTATTCTAAAAGAACACCAAAAAAAGATCTTTGAGATAGTAAATGGCAAATTCCGCTTTGAAAATTCGGGTTTTATTCCTAAATGAGACTATAAAATGTGTTTCGTTATTGTTATAGTTGAGAAATTTTGTCTCTGCAAGGTTTTCTATGGATGAATCATAATTATTGTGAAAAAAACTCTGAAAATACTTTTTAAAAACTCGATTGGACAACGCCCTAAATTCACCATTTTGATACTGGATTAATCAAAGAGATAATTGAGAAAAAAAATTCTAATTCTGGTTTTCTGTCATCAAGGTTCAAATTTTTGATCTTTAAATTCTTAATACAGTGTTCCAATTGGCTAAAAAAAAAAACACCGAATTTAATCCAATTTTCCAATTACTTCATTCAGTTTTTGTAACAAAAACGAAATTTCATAGTCCGACCTTAGTTCTATCCTAAAATTGGCATGACGAAAAGATCAATTAATGTTGACGGAACATTTTAATTTCTTGTGCGATTTTTATTAAATATTGTTTACTTTTTGCGCGGTGCACGATTGGCTCAGAGGCGTGTCTAATTGGACGCCAAATATGGCACACCGAAATTTGTTTGCTTTTTGTGTTTTGCGCGTTTGATCGGATGATCACGTGGAGTTTAAGAAATTATTGAGAATTCTCGAAGGGTCGACCAGAGACAAAAAAAAATTGAAATTTGAATTTTCTATGGAAAAATTCAATGTATTTTTGAAGAGATTTGTTGACAAGTGATGTTTGGTATAAGGAACACCAATGTTATGCCAAAAAGGAAGAAGTTTGAAGTTATTTTATGCAAATATGAATTTTCAGGTTATTGTCTTGCTGGACACAATGGAATCATGTTTGACATTCACATGCCCGCAATTTTTTTGAGTAATTCATTTATGTGATAAGCAAATATTTAAAACGAAAATAATGAAAGACAACGTTCAGGTTTGGTGTAAAGAATTTGATGACACATTCTAGAACATATCGAGAGTCGAATCGAAAAATCGAAAATCGAAGAGTCGGCCGATTTGCATAAGTCGAACAACTGGAAATGAATCGATAACCGATTTCAATTCGACTTTTTCTCGGCGGGCAACGTTTTCGGGTCCTCTTCGGTGCGCGAGCCGTTCAAGTTCATCGACGTTTCTTCGGTGGTCGTGTCTAAATCGAGTACTTGTCGGATTACGATAGCCGTCGAATAATGCTCACCGTTCGACGCGGTTTTTCTTTGCGATTTTCGGAAAATAATTGGCGCCCAGTTGTATAGAGCAAAAGCAACGCTGAAATTGACGAATATAAGTACGCAACATGCGAAAATGGTGTTGTGTTGAGGCCACGAGATCCTGAAAAATGAATTTGGGCAGCGCAAGTACTAATCACATCGATACTTGTAACATTTGCAGAATTTCTTATTAGCTGTGATTATTTGGTTGTAGAATGGCGCATTTTCAGATAAGAAGTATTCATCCATTATTTTTTAAATAAATCAATTTTCGTTTTTTATTTTCACGTAAATACACGCCTAAATATAAGAGAACCAACAAAACAATCAAAGGTCAACAATTATTCAACGTTGAATTTCGTGCTAGTGATTCCGGTGAGGCCGAACTCAATGACGTCGCCGGCTTGAATTCGGGTAACACCGGCCGGCGTTCCGGTTAGGAGAAGGTCGCCGGCTTCGAGCGTAACGAACTTTGTCGCATACTCAATGAGCGTTGGAATGTCGAAAATCATCACGTCGGTCTTGCAACGCTGTTGATCTTTTCCATTGATTCTACAGAAGAGCTCGACATTGTGAGGATTAGCTATCTGAAATTCCACACAAATTCTCAAATTTGTCATTTTTTATTACTAAATCTTTTGAAATGAATTCAGACACTGGGCAAGATCCATCGAATGACTTGGCCAAAAACCAAGGAGCTCCAGCTTTCTTCGCCTCATCTTGAAAATCGCGGGCGGTCATGTCCAAAGCTACAGTGTAGCCGCCCACATAGTTCATCGCTTCGGATTTTGGCACATTCTGTAGAAGCTTCGTGGATTTTTAAAATTGGTAATGTAACCTTGGCTTGTCTCCCGATAATTACACCCAGCTCAACTTCTTGGTGCAAGTTTTGACAACCAGGTGGCGCTCTAATAGGTTCACCTTCAGCGAGGAATGCGTTTCTCGACTGTAATTAATTAAGTTGATCATGAAAAATGGCAAATTTTGTAGGCAACCTTCAAGAAAAGCATTGGTTTTGTGGGAATCGCATTTCCGAGCTCTTTCGCGTGATCCTTGTAATTTCGGCCAACGCACACGATTTTTGTGGCTCGGGAGCGAAATGAAGCCAGCGACATATATATAATAAAAGTGACACGAAAAAAAAATGGAAAAATGCGAAAATTGTGGGCGTAGAGAGCACACAGAAATGAGAGAGCGCCAGCGGCGAGGCGCTCGCGCCAGAGCGCAATTGCCCAACTTCGAGTGCATTCGAAACCACTTTTATTTTGAATTCGACACCCTCTTAATTTGTCTATGTGTGTGTGAGAGTGCGTGCGAGCGGTGTCCCCTCGTGCACCTTATCAATCGCATTGAACAAAATGAAAAATGTATTTTAGAACTCTCCATAGGCTTATTTCCAATTTACCCAAATTAATGTGTCATCGATACAATTTTTTTGGAGTGGCCATGCACCGCCATCTTTCGCCGCCTTCGTCCAGCCGGCCGTGGCAGCGCAGTCGTTTTTTTTATTCTCGTTCGTTCTTTTTCTGCGTGCCTCGCGTTGCAATTTTTCGCGCTTGTTGCCGTGCCCACCCAAATATGCTCTGAGTTTCTCCCAATCAACCATCGAATAAACCTATTTCAGGAAATGGAGACCGATGAGCAGGGCAGCTCGTCTCAAACGCCGTCGGCGACGGATGACGATGGGCTGGCCACAATTCGCGTCAAGACCCTCACCGATCATCAGTGTTTCATTCGCGTTGATCCGAATGCAACAATATCGCGATTTCGGGAGCTCATCGAGCAAGAAATGGGCATTCCGACAACAGAGCAGCGCATTATTTTCCAGGTTTCCAAATTTGGAGAAGAAAAATCAATTTTGAACATTTTTTTCTAGGGAAAAGTGCTCGATGTGGAGAAATCTCTTGCCTTTTATGGTATAACCGACGGCTTGACGGTCCACATGGTTGACCGGAGCCCGCCGACGTGAGTTTTTCATTGTTTACAGTCATACGAGCGGCGCCAACAAATTTCGTTTTTTTTTTGCGCGGCTACAAGCGAAACGAGATGAGAGTTTTGGTGTCAACAATTTATTAGTGTCGAGAATTAGAGTCTGTTTCTGAAAAAAAAAATATGGCTACCAAAAATAGACCCAACTCATTTTCTGCGTTATGAGCCTTTCATCAACTCTTTCATTTTTTTTAAATTTGAATTTCGTGATTGAATCACAATGTTCATAAAAATTTTCTAATAAAAATTCCAAGAATAGATGAAGAGATTGACACGAGGTTATTTTTATTTATTATTTTGTAAATTAAAGGCGCAGGCCGACTATTTGCGAAATTCAATTTTGAGTTTTGCAGCAATCTTCAATCTTCTTCTTCTTCATCGACATCTTCCAATTCGAATTCTAATCGTGTGAGGGCCCAACCGCGAGATGAAGATCCATATCGGCGAATTATGCCGCACTTTCATAATCTCTCGATTGAGCAAACTTCAACATCGCGCCATCCATCGGCGCGTCGCCGCGCCGTTCACATCAACTGGAAGCTTTTCGTTGCGCCGACGAATATAAGTCGCGATCAGCTGGAAAGAAGAGTGCGCGATATGCTTAGAGATCTTCCATTTTTGACGGAAACCGATCGGAATGGCTTTGAAGTTTTTTGGCGATCACAATCTGAAATGCGAATCGAATTGCCATATATGTTTGTTGAATTCACGAGTTTTAATCGATTCATTTTTTTTTCTTCAGGCGCTCACATTGTGCATCGCCAGCTTTGGAGCGTCTAATCCTCCTCGAATCCAATCTTGATCAATTTGCTGCGTTTTTAGATGTTTTTATGGTATTCTTTTTTCTGAGATAATTATTCAATTTTATTGTTTTGTTTTTTCTTCTAGGAAACTGGTGGTCTTATCACAATTGTCAACAATATTCTAGAGCTTGTTCAATCCGGTAGTCTTGAGGATGATCTGACTCAGGAGCAGCGCAATGCGCTCTATGATCAACTCACAAATATCGCCACTCGATTTGAGTCGATTCATACGGTGGTGCCAAATAATCGTCTCAGATGTTCGTTTTTTGACAAAATTTGAGTAAAATCCAAAAAAATACCGAATTTGTTTAGTGTATGAGAGATCGCGTAATTCGACAGAAGCTGAGCTAGAGCAAAGATTCGAGGCCGTCGTCGAGACCGAACGAAATCCTTCGTTTGTGCTTCGGCATGCGCTTGACACCGAGATGATGCCGGTTCGACGACGCCTTCGTCGAGAATATCAGCGTTTCGTGCAACTCGAGGAGCTATTCGAGCGGGTTGTTGAAATGCAAGCGGTTCCGATGGTCCGCGCGACGGATGCTTCATTTGCAACGGTGATTCGAGAGCGATTTCAAAAATCGTATTGTTATGCATTTTTTTATATTTCAGAGAGACTACCGGTATGCGGCATTAGCGATATTCATAAATTATATGCATCGAATGCAGCATTCATATGCGCATATGACACATTTATTAGCGGACCTTGAAGTATGCTAAAAATTTGGTTTCGTTGTATTTCAAAAATTTTCAGATTCCATTCGGAAACACTCGGTCACCTACTCGTCTTCTTCCCCAATATGATCTTAATCGTTTTCGTTTGTCGTTTGCTCATTCGGTAAATTGATTAATTCAATTTTTTCTATTTTTGATTTCCATATTTTGTAGGGTACTTTTATCATATCATTCACCGATCCGCACGATGCTCAACGCGAATCGGTGCCAGTTTCTGCGATCTTTCAACCACCTAGACTACGTTAGTTGATGAATATTGAAATACTAGAAAATTTGAAAAAAAATTGTTCAGGGAGTGACGTGGCTCGATGCCCGCGCGGAGAATGGCCGTTTTTGACATTTTTCCCGACGGGAGTGTTCCAGGAGAATCAGTTGAATGAGCCCGAACCGACGGTGATTGAAGCGCGATTCGAGCCGATGCCTGATGGAACAATGCGAATGATCGGTTCGCCGACGACGACGACGACAATTACGGCGCGCGGGATTGCCGAATTCACCACGCATGTCACTGCAACGGTGGGCAATCCGATTCCGGCGCCTCAACTGCGAACGATGATAGCGAATCCGAGTAGGCCGGTTGAGACGACGGCGCCACCGACAGATCCCGAAGAGCGCGTCATAACGCCGGGTGCGCCGATCTCGGGACGAAATCAGACCGAACCGAATCCGAACGATCCATTTTTGATGGTGGGACCGGAAACTGAATTGATGGAATCGCTGCCGATAGCGCTTCATCCGAACGAGTTGCAAAATTTCGTTCGCAATTTGGCTTCGCGGGTACGATCGAGTGTCTATTTGCGTATGGCGCGTACGATAACGCAACGATTGCGGAGTGGTAAGCCGAACTCGATGGCGTTTCTCATCACTCACTCGTTTTCTTTCAGCAATTCCGGCGTGGGATTTGCGTCTCGATCGAGCGCCGGTTGTTGTGCTCCGCGACATGTTCCAAATCGTTCTCCAGTTCGTTGCCATGGCAGCGCCGAATGCGCGCGAGGCTCAAAATTATGTGATAGCGTTGCTATCGAACGAGGACATAACGGTGCGAGTCATAATTGAGGTATGAGAGATAGCCGAAAGTTATCAAATGAATGGAATGTTTTAGTCTTTGCGAGCATTTTTTGTGCACAACGAGTTTCCGACGCATGTTGGACGCTTGATTTATCCCGAACAAGTTGCGGCAACAATTCGCGTCAATATTGATGCGGAGCCGGACCGAGATGAGGATGATGATCAGCCGCCGCACCTTGTGCCGCATTTCTTTGAAGATACGGTAGATAGATTCAAAATTGACGGTGATCGATGACATCAAATTGTTTTAGAATGTGGCCGATCCGTCGCGAATTCGCGCCAACTTGATTGCGTTTGAAATGGATGACGAGGATACGCATGAGGAGAGGAATATTTTCAATGACTATGATGTTTGTTGTTATTCGTGGGTTTCGCTTTTCAATTAAATTTTTGATTTAGGGAATAAACCATGAGATGATGCGTCTAGCGACAGATATCTCGCAGCCGGCTCGCGGTAGTATTCGCGAGATTGCGCTACGTCGGAGAGAAGCGCGTGAGCGCAATGAGCGTCGAGCATCGGCTTCGGAGGGGCCATCGTCTTCAACAGCGGCACCAGCGGCATCGTCATCGTCGGGAGCGTCGTCATCAACAACATCGTCTTCAACAACAACGAGGCCGGGAAGATTTGTTCGACATCATTCTGATCGTCGCAACACGACCGTCGGATCATTGTCAGAAACGCTAGGAAGTTTCATAGACATGATTCCGCTATTAAGAACTCAGTCAATGCGTCAGGTACTTTGAGAGCGTCCGATTTTTTTCGTTTGACTATGGTCGAATTTTCAGGGAGGCAGAGATGCCAATTTAAGGGAACGACCGGCGGGAATGCCAATGAATCATGGTGAAAACGCAAACGGCGAAAGGGTCCACCGACGGGTAGGGATCATTATGAGGAATTTCCATGAATTTGCGATTTCTAGACACTTTCATTGGATCCGTTCCTTACTTGCACCAATCGCCACAATGAGATCATGCAAATCGAGCGAGCGCAACCAAGCGAGATTAATCGAATAACGAGAGAATCGATGAATCCGATTCCCGACTGGAATGATTTCTATAGAGTGAGTTTTGCGGTGTTTTTCGGTCGACGGTTTCGTGATGTTTGAGATTTTTAGACATTGAACATTCCTTCGAGAGATTACGAGACGGCTGCCGACGATGAAGAGTATAGCTATCAGGTATTATAAATATTGTATTATATTAATGCGCAATTTGGAACATAGGTACAACGATTTGCGAGCGGTGAGGTTGTCATCGAGAATTCGGAAGAGGGCTTGGATTTCATAATTCGTCTGATTCGGACCGGAATGCGAAGCTTGTTCAGTCATTTGGTGGAGAGCGATGTGATCATTGCGTTAAGTATTTGAAATCCAAATGCATAAAATATTTTCAATTTCAATTTGTGCAGACAATTTGGATGTGAATGCGTTGTCATCGACATCGCCAAGAGCGAATGCGTATCAGTCGATTCTCGAGAGCTCTGTGGTATGAAAAACCGCCTATTCTAATAAACTCTAGATTGAATTTCATCGAATTTTGTAGTTTCCGCTGCCGTTGCCGCGCGAAGCCACATTCGGATTTGGACTTCGTTCGCGAACTGAACACGACATCGAACGTGAAGACTATGTTCGCGATCGAGCTTTTCGTGATCGAGTCAGGTTTGAATCCTGGTGATTTATCGCGGAAAACGTGCGATTATGAATTCAGAAGGAATCAAACATCGATTGGCTCCGATTCGAACGCGTCCGACATCGATCGACTTCGCGATGAATTAGAGAGAACGTTCGAGCGGGGAAGTCTAGATGATTTGGCGGCTATCGCATCGTTCGTTGTACAGTATCACGAGCTTGGATCGCGTTGGGAAATTCCGTCATGTAAAGAATTGCGCGATAGTTTGTATATATATTTTTTTTGTTCTTGATTAGGCTTCATTGGGCATATGCTTCGAAGTTTCCGTGTTGATGAGCATCACTTCAGTTGGTTTGAGCCGGGCTCGTCGGCATCACTTGCCAATTATCTGAGCACTCAAATCGCCAATGTTCAACAGTATGTGCAGACGCGCTTGCTGAATGGCAACACATCGCCAACGAGTTCTGGTAATTAATAGAGAGAAAGAGAGAGGGGGTTTTCAATTTGAGGATGCGCTTTTTTAAAAAAAACACTTGCGTCTAATTTTTCCTAAAAAATGATATGTTACTGAAACAAAACCCAACGTGATCAATACCGCATAATTTTTTTAAAAGCAATTTTTGTTTGGAAACAATTTTTCTGCATACTCTTTTTTTTTGGGCGGAGGGAAATTTCTATGTTCCGCCGGCGTTTACTAGACGTGTTAAGAAATTCGCGAAGCCGCCGAACGCGCTGCTGGATCGATTGATTTGTTCACGGATGTGATGTCGCATTGGATCGATGCGAACGTGAACAACACGGCGACAATAAATGATCGAACGTATAGCATTCCGTACCTGCTGAATCGATTGGATGTGTCGACGATTCACGATCTAATTCGATTGGTTACCAATACGACACCGGAGAGATTAGATGCGGGTAATCGATTGAATGTCAAGATTCGTTTGAATTGTGATGACCATTTTTTTTCCAGAACGTCATACGCTCGGAATGCGTTTTATGAATATTATTAGCCGATATTTGGGTGTTGGTGTCCGCATATTAGAGCGTCGAAATGTTGCCAGTGGCTTGGAAATGCTCCGATTTGCCCTTCCGCGATACGTGGTAAGACTAAAGGTTTCGGTAATGATTCATAAATTTTAGGCGCGTAATATAACTAGTTCGGATAGCAGAAATCAATACTATTCGACAGCGTGGAGGCATATTTTGTCTCGAATTGGTCGCATTTATCCTCGTAGGCTAATCAGCAATAAATTATTTTCAAATGGCAACGTTTCTAGCCGGCGATCCTCAATCGACGTCTCAATTTCGGGTGTTCCTCGCGACACTCGATAGTAGTCCGCAATCGCCGAGACGATCGCCGACGGTCTCGCCGTCGATGACGCGCACCGATTCGAACTCGCGAATGCTTGAGAGAGATGGAAGCGCTGAAGGCGAATCGTCGGCGAAACGGCGAAAGCAAGAGCGAAACGAGGATGAGGATGAGAGAATGGATGAGGAAGATGGTCCGAGTGGATCGAATTCATAATTGTGTCGAGCAGGAGATGAAGCTGCCATTAAACTCTATATTGTCAATGCGAGTTGACGTTTATTTTGCATGCTCATTTATTTGTGGTTTATTGTATATTATTATTATTATTTACTTTTAATCTATTTTATACAAATATACAACATAGTCTTTTCTTTTTTTTTTATTAGAAACAATATGAAGAATTTTGGATTTTTTACGTTATATTTTATTGGTTTAGTTCCAGTAATTTCCTTTTTTTAATATTCCTTTTTTTTCGAAAAAAAAAACTATAGATGTCTGCTTTGGATCAAATGCTCAGCATCTTTGATGAGGTTTTCCGGAAATTGATTTTTTTTTTGAGAGAATCTGGTTTTTTAGGCGACTCGAATTGTTATTAGGAGTGATATTCAGAAAATGGAGAGACGAAATGCGATGCCGAAAAATGGAAGCGATGTAATTCAGTGGAGTATTCCGGCAGAGATGAGAATGGTTTTAAAAAATGGGTCAAATCAAATTGGCAATATTTTTTAGATTACAAATGCCATCAATGTTGAGCAGATGGTTTTTGATGCGCTTCAAGCCAATGGGGAACAGATTTCGGTATTTTTTGAAAAGCAATTTTCCGGATCCAATAGTTTTGATTTTTTATTTTAGAGCGATTTTTCGGTGCCGGAAGGCGCAGAATCGGCGGCGTACGAAATGTTCGCGGAATATGCGCGAAAGCGACTTGAGACTGATGTCGACTTTCAGGAGAAGGACAAGAAGAATGATGAAAACTACAAGGATCTTCGGAATTTCGCCAATCAGTCAAACATGTGATTTTTGTTGGTTTTTTTTCACCATATTATTAGATATTTTTGAAATCGTCGTCAAAATTTGACAATTTCGTTTTTTTTCCAGAAATCTCGCCACAGTTAACCATTTACGGACGACGAAACTCTACGTGATTATCCCATTAATTTTCACTTTTTTTGTGGTCCCTTGGCTTTCGGCAATATTCAAAGCGGTGTTTTTATATTGAATAAATGTGTACATTTGATCACAATAGTCGAAGAGTTTTCAACGTTTTGTCGCGAAATTATCGATTTTCGGTTTTGGGCATAGAATGAATTAATTGAATTATCGTAGATGACGGACTTACAATCGAGAAATCGAATTCAGGAGGTGATGGTACGCGCTGCGGCGCATGCCAAAAGAGAGGTGACGGTTGTCGGTGGAGCGCAGGGGATGGTAAATTTGAGAAAATTCAGGAATCCTATCGGCAGGGCGGTTTTGAGTTTATTTGCCGCGCTGGGCATATTCTCGAATCGGCGTGTCGGCACGATGTGAACGCGGCGTTCGAGGAGACCGCTTGCATGGTATATTGATCTCGAACATCGATTTTGATTGAATCGCAGTGTTCAGAGGTGCCTCTATCAATCCGAATTGCGGCTTCCCGAGTTGCCGGAGATGGTTTTTCCGCGAAACGCGTTGACAATCAAATTTCGCGGTGGGACCATCGAGCTGAACGCACTCGACGCGCTCAAAATGGTGTGTCCCGATAAGTTGCCCGATGTGAAAGTGGGTCCGTCGACGGTTTGGCAGAGCGCCAGACAAGAGCGCCTCAAGATGATCACCGAGCAGCATCAGCCGTTTGATTGGACGTATACGACGCACTATAAGGGCACAGTAGCCGGGTGTACTGTAGAAGCGACTGAGGAGAAGATCGACATGGAGCGATTGAAGCGAAGAGATCAGATCATGTTCCATTCGAGTGTCACGTTGTTTGAAGACGAGCTCGCCGATCATGGAATCGCGCAATTATCGGCGAGAATTCGCGTCATGGATGCCGGATATTTCTTTGTGCTTCTCCGATTCTACATGAGGGTTGATAATGTGCTGTTAAGGTGAATTTTTGGGGAGAATAGTGATTGAGAAAAAAAAATGATTGAATTTGAAGGGTGTGCGATACGCGAATTGTCGGCGATGACAATTCGAATTTTGTGATTCGCGAGTGGCAGTTAAGAGAGGCCAAATATGAGCAGTTGAAGCATGTGGTAAATTTCATTTTTTTTAAAAGAAAACTGATTAAAGCCAACGTTTGGGGTATTTTTAGCTGAAAATTTGTATAACGGAATTTTTTAAAAATCGAAAAAATGCATTTTTTGTAGTTTCCTGATGATTTGTTGGATATTGACCGCGCTTGGATGCACTTGCCAGTGATTCAATCGACATGTGAAAAGATTACAGCAAATTCTTGAATTATGCATTCATATCTTCCGATTTTTCTTTTTACAGGTGTTTAATTTGATTTTAATCAACAATTGCCTTAATCTGATCTTGAATTCTATAAATCAATAAATGTATTTTTCCCCCCGAAAAAGTGGTGTATCGAATTTCGATGATGATTTTCAAATCAATAAAATGTTTACAATTTGATTGTTTATATACGATTATCGTAATATGAGTCGGGACGATGATAAACAAAATTGGCGTATTATTGCAACGAAAATGCACAAAAGAGCAGCGCTTTTGGTGATTTTCGTATTTTTCCTGCCGCCAATTCCCAAGGCGAAAGCGGCGATTGATGGAATCGATTCGGAAGTCGGTGAAGCTGAAGGTATTCGTTATTTATTTATTTAAATATAAATTTAAACTTAAAAAAAAGAGTAAATTTTAAAGCAAAAAAATTAAAAAAAAATTGACACTTTTCTTTTTTTTGCTGCAAGAAATTTTTCAATTTTTCCCCTTCCTCTTTATTGTTTTTTTTGCATTGAAAAAGTGAATTTTTACAAATTTGGCATTTTTCTGGAAGAAGCAATTTCAGAATTCTACAATCGCACTTATAGCGAGCATCACAGCAAATTGGAGAGGGATTTATTCCGCAAATATTCGACAAGAGTGCGACCGGTGAAGTGAGCTTCTTGAGCCGAATACGGTTTTGAAGATTTGTTTTTGAGGAATTCGTCCCTTCCGACCATTGTCGATATTCATTGGCATGTTGTTCATGTTTCGATTAATCAAAATGATCAGACAATGACAATGCATGGCCATATTTATATGGTATAGTTATCAAGCTATTTCTTTGTGTTAAAAAGAAAATTGTGGCGGGAAATTCAATTTCGCACAATCTGTGGAGATATACGAAATTGAAAATATATTGTTGAAAAATGACAAATGTATCCAGGTGTCGTAGGATCTTGCGTTTTGTACGCAATGCTAAGAGACAGTTACCGTAATCCTCGCAGCGATTTACGGGGAATTTTTTTTTTTAATTTCGCATATTCATTTTTTAATTTTTCGCTCAATTTTCGTATTTTCCTTCGAAATTTTGTTATTTAAATTTTGAAGAAACCGAATTTAATAATTGTTTTTGTATTCTTCATTTTCAAAATAATTTTTAGAGCGACAAAATCTTCGCAATAATTCCCAACTCAACTGGACAAGTGGAAAAGTGCATATTCTGATAAATAAAATAATTAAACTCGGTTTCTACAGGTTTTAAATAAAAGATTTCTAAAGAAAATAAGAAAATACAGCAAAAAAATTGAAAGAAAATTTAAAAATAAAACTCCGTAAATCGCTGCGAGGATTACGGTAACTGGCTCATCGTATTGCGTACAAAACGCAGGATCCCACGACACCTGGATACATTTGTCATTTCTCAACAATACGCGCGGGCTAAATTTTTACTGCTCGTACGCTAAAATGCAGAGTACGCAAACACGCGCATGTTTTTCTACTTCCAGACAACTGTTAAATAAGTATATAATACCTATCGAATAATTCCTTTAAAACTTTTTTTTGAATTTCCGCGCAAATCCTACTTTTAATTTTTTTTTAAACGAGAGATCGCTGTTTTAATTTTTTATTGACTTCCCTTGATGCTTATAATTTTAGAAATGGACCGACGAGTTCCTTGTATGGAATCCGGCCGATTACAACGGTATTCGAACGGCACGATGCAAGAAATGGCAAGTGTGGCAGCCGAAAATCAAAGTGGCGAACAGCGCGGCGGGCATTTATTCGAATTTCGACTTCTCGACGAACGCCCACGTGCTCATTCATATGCAGGAGAAGGAGAAAGCGAAAGTCGAAATGTATCCGACGTTCTCGATAACCGTCGGCTGCTCGTTCGACTTCAAAAACTATCCGGACGATGAGAACGCGTGTTCGGTGAACATTTTCGCGACGTCGCCAATGACCGAAATTCAACTTCAGAATTATTATTCGATTCCGCCGTCGTTGAGCTTTTGTGAGTGCGCAACAAGAAAAAATAAATGGGATTTGCGTCAAACGGAAGACATCCGAAATTAATCCGGAATTGTTCTTTGGTTTTTTAATGCTAAAATAATCATATAATTCAATTTTCGATGCGAAATTATAACGGAAAGAAAGACAGTGTGATTTTAAGAGAGCGCAGAGAGCAAGAGGGAAATGAGAGAGAAAAAAAGAGAATAGAGCGCAGTCAAAAAAAAAACATTTTTGAAAATGTTGCAGCTTGGAATGACAAGGTCACAAAACGAAAGAAAACGATCATTTCGGATTTTGACATCTTGAATGTAACCAACGATTTGCTCTACTATTCCGGCGGAAACATCTCCAGCAATTCGCCGTCCACTATTAAAGAGCTCGTCTCGACATGGTCCCTATTGAGCACGACGGTGAGGTTCCGAAGACATTCACCGCTTTTTCTTGCCGCCGTCGGACTTCCTTCAGTGGTTTGGCGACAACGCACCCCGAACAATGTCCGCAGATTGATTCTTTCAGATCACCTCCATTATTAATGTTATGGCCTTCCTTGTGCCGTCTTTAATTTCGGCTTCGTACATTCTGATGGCTAATATGTTTATTCAGGTAGTAAGCAAAAGAAATGCACAATTTCTACATTTAAATTTGAACAGAAGCAGTGCATTTCTTTTGCTATTTCAAAAATCAAATTCTTAGGTCATTTTTCTTCAAGACATGATCAAGAAAATCCCACTTTCTGTGTCGGAACTACCAAATTCAGGTTGATTTTTTCGAAGATGGTAGATCACAAAAATAAAAATTACAGTCAGATTGTATTCATTTATAATGTTGTGCAACGTCTCCTCACTTCTCATCAACTTCATGTTTATTTATTTGACGACGAACGCGAAATTTGATCTACCCGATTATTTGAAGCCGGTGTTCAGTTTGCGAAATGTGCTGCCGGCGTCGTGGCGCCAGCCGGACGAGGCGCGCAAATTTTCCGGTTTTCGATTATTACTATAGACACGCGCAAATTGATCGTTGCAGGAAACAATTGGACGGAATGGTTTCGAGTTGTTCGGCCGACGATTTGCATCCTTCTGGGAGTCGTCTATCTCATCCAAATAATGGTCTTCATAATTTTCTAACAAAAAAAAGAAGAACGAATGAGAATTAATTTATTCTACAGTAATGATTTTTTGGCAAATAAACACATAATTTTTTCTCTCTTATTGAATTTTGAAAAAAAAAATGAAATACACAATGAATTCTGGGGGCCCGTAGTCTGTTTTTGGTTCGTTTCCGCTTTTCATCGCTATGTCGTCACACCATTCTCGGCTCGGGCGGATTCGGGCGAAACAGGAAGGCGCACACGGAGTCCTTGTGCACCTTGAAATTGATTGATTAATCTACCGTCGATCACCTCGACATTTTTGGGATCACCTTTTGCTTTTTGCGCAACATCATTTTCGGATCGTCGTTCCATGATTCGGTTTGGCGAATCGTTTTCAAATCGCCGGTCTCCGGCTTTTTGATTTTCACGTCTTCGACGTCGTCGATATAGCAGGATTGCGGCTCCTGCGTCGGTTCCTCGCTGAAATTCCACAAAATCACACTTTATTTTTTGACTATCGTGACGCCCCGCCCCCTCCCTTTGAAAAAATGTCTTACTCAAGATCGCCGGGATCCAATGGATCGGGCGCGCCGTTGAAGCACCCTTCTTCGGCTTGTATCTCGTAGACGCGCTTCGAATGCATTACCACATTATTATAGGGATTTGCGACGGCTAAACGAAATGGGTCTCGAGGGGAAAATGGAAGAAGCGCGCGTTTCAATGCGACTCACCAAGCATGTCTTTCGAATCGTCGCGTGATAATGCGCGATGCATGAAGCGCATCATAAGATAGCAGCCGAAGAAGACGACGACGACGATTGTGAGAATAATGCAGAGGATGATGAGGCCGGTGAGGCTGCAAAAACGAAAAAAAAATGTGAAAAATATATTTGCGCAATAGAGCGCGCTTGCAACATTTCACCTCCAGAAGTTGACCAACTCGATTTTCTCGAAAAACCGGCGTTGCGCGTTTAAATGATGGACGAGGCGATGCGAGCGTTGCATCAGATTTTTTTTGGAAAATATTTTTCGAGAAAGCAAATAAAACCCGTCTCCTCGCATATTTTTGGCATACGTTTATCGTCTCAAAAGGACATCTCAAAATGTGTGATCTACCTACCTAACCGGCAGATAATCTTCGAATATCCAATGCTCGGTGCTCATTTTTCGCGGTCGACCTTCTTGAAAAATATTGTCCAAAGAGAAAACGACGCGCATGACGAGAATGAATGAGGGAATATTAAGCGGATCATCGGCGAGGAAGAAAAAACAAAAAAAAAGGCGATGGATTAAATGAGTAAGAGACGAAGAGCGCAATTATTCTCGAATCCCGAATATATTGGGTTTCAGCGCGACTGGAAATAGGCGGTGAGATTTGAGAGATTTGCGTCAATTTTATTTTTTGTAGACAAAAATTTTGGAATAAATATTATGGATGAATCATATCCTCTAGAGAATTCTCACGATTTTTATATATAGAACTTTATTTTTATTCTGTTGTTTTTTTTTAAAGAAGAGTGAAATCATTTCGGAAATTAAGGAATTGTTCCAAGTTTTGGGAGGGAAATTGCGTAGTTTGTGCGGCAGCACACTAATCTGCAACACAATTGCATTTTTTATTTTTATTTCCATGAAATTGCCCACATTTTGTTTGATATTTGGCGATTTATAAAGAAAAAAAATTTTAAAAAAATATTAAAATCAGACTCAGCATTTTTTATAATGGCCGTGGCCGAAGAATTTTTATACCATTTTTTCTACAACGCTACGGCGAGCAGTGAGCTTCAGAGAATTTTAAGCACTATGCATTTTATGTAAGACTTAATAAATTAATTCATCCAATGCAAATTTGTTTGTTTTTTTTCTAAACAACCCAATTTTTAAAACTATGTGCAATGCTTGTTAGTTTTTTTTTTATTTTCATGAAGTTGTGTTTTTTATTTATTTTTATTTTGTTTTTTATGATATCGTAAACACACACACAATATCTTTTATTTAGTTCTATCGAATTAAATTAGCTCCATGGCTGAACCTAATTTTTTGAGATAATTTTTCTATGCCACACGTGAGTTGCATAAAGTCGTGGCAAATTCCCGCAATTTTTATTCGTTTTTGATTAATGAATAAATTCGATTTGATGCATATAATGTTTTCAGACAAAAAAAAAACGGAAACAGATTGGTTAGACTGAAAATAACGTACACACAAATACACAAAATTTCGGCTAATTAGAATGGCGCTGAAATGATTTTTCATGCAAAAAAAATATAGAAAAATAATTAAAGGAGCGGCGAAATTTCGAGAAGTTGCCCGAAAAGAAACATTTTTTTTTTCGCTCGCTGTTGAAAAACCTCGAAAATTGAGTTTTCAATTTTTTTTTCGCCGAATTTCGCCAAAAAAAAATTTGTCCGCAGCTCGATTTCATTGAATCAATAAGCCAAAAACATTCGAAACCGAGCTCTTTTTTTTCGTGTTCTGCGTCGAAATCATTTAATCTCGAGTTAATCGCATCATATTTGAGAATGAGATTAACGCGTTTTCAGAGTTTCTAGAAGAATTCACGAGGTTGGACAAAAAAATGAGGGATGCGATTGGCATTTTTAATTCATTTTTAGTCTCATTTTTCTATTTAAATTGTCCGCAACAAGATTTGAAATTAAGAGTGAATCTAAAAAATTCTTATAACGTTTTCTGAAATTCCTACCAGAGGGGCTTTACCAAAAATTAAAATATAAGTGTTAATTTAAAGGCGTGTCGCTCTAAGACCCCTCACAGAAAAAAGAGAATGCTTGAACGAAGAAAAAGGCGAATTAAAAAATTCGAATAGTGCGCAAAAATTGTCCGCAGGTGAGAATTGCAATAAGAAATACGGCTTCCCATCGGGTCTTCGTTTCTGACTCACCTTGTCGAACTCGACGGCTTTTGCGGCGAGAACAAATCGCCGAAGATCGTGCCGCTGGCATCGTTCGTCTCATCGGCCGAAAAAACGATTTCGCCCGGGCTCAGATCGTCAGAATCAAGAATTGTCATCTGAAAATTGAAAAATCGCCGATTTTTTGCGTCTAAAATCATTTAAAAATAGTCCAAGATTTGAATATTTTTTAAAAAAATATGCAAAATTCGATAGTGGACAATGATTTCAATTATTCGACTTTTTATGCGAAAACGAGACTCCGAAGAATTTTGACCATAAATGAGATATGCGCCTTTAATTTTAGACCACCTTAAACCCTCATTTAAGAAAATTGAGAATGCGCCTTTAAAACAGTGACTTACATCAAACGGATGATGATAATATTGATAGTCGGACATCATTTTTTTGCGCATCAGAAGCCGACGAATGATATCACCGTGTCGACAATTTTTTGGATGAAAATTTGGAGCAAAAAAACTAGGCGGAAATTTTCGTTTGACAGAATGAATGAATGACATTTTTAATTAAGCGAGATTAAATTTTTTAGCAATTCTTTTTTTTGATCTAAAACAACGCAAAAAAAACCAAAAATACGTTTTTTCGAGTTTCAACCGACCGATTTGCATTTATTCAACAATTCGCCGATTATGCGTTTTGGGAAAAATCAGCTGCGGACGCAATTCGGAGAATTGATTCGTTGTAGTGTAGCGCGAAAAAAAAAACGATCAGATTTCAGTAATTTATGCTGCGGACGTTTTTCGAGCAATGAGAAGAGTGCAAATAATTTAGAGCCGACATAATTCGTTTCTTTTTTTTTAAAGATTTTTTGGCAAACCAAGTGTAAAGGAAATTTTTCAGCTGCGGACAGCTTTCCGGGTTCAAAATAGTCGCGCTGCGGACAATGCGATTTTTTCGGGAGTTCCACTAAAAAAACCATAAAATAATATAATTGTGTCTCGAAGAAAAAAAAACAACAACAAGGGGCAAAAAGGGGGTTGTTGAAGCGCCTTCTCGAGAATATTTTTTATGGTTCGTCGAATTCCAAATATGAGGAAATTAATGAAGAAGAGGCACACGATGAAGATGAAGAGGGGAAGGAAGAAAAAACATTTTGAAAACGCAAAACACTTTCTTCTTCTTCTTTTCTGTTGTTGTTGTTCGAACCAATTAAATTCCACCCCGTTTTTTGTTGTAATTTTTTTTTCAACATTTCCAATCTGCCGACAAATTTCGGGTTTTAGATGACCGGTGCACATATCAAATTTCGTCTGCGGACAATTTCCGGGTATGGTTTTTGTGCCCCTACCCAATTTATGACGGAAATTAATTATGCTCATAGATCGTATTGAGACCATTGAGCGATTACGGTAGCATTGGTTAAACGTCGGGTTGAGAAGAAAACCGGAAGGAATTGGTGAGGAAAAATGCAAAATACCCTTCTCCCATCCAAAAAAAAGACAGGGACAAAAACAAGTGATAAATAATTCACATTTTGGCGCGCCTCGTGTCGTACACTATAATTTTGTTGTAGTCCACACGGACAACACCAGCAGAAAAATGTTGGCTTAAATAATGGACTACGGTATGATGGCACAGTGGAATTGACGCAAAAATGCAGATTTGTGTGGCGTCAATTAAAATAAAAAGTCCGCAATGATAAAAAGTTGTCGCTAAGCAAAAAAAAAAGAGAGTGTCTCTGGTAACTCAAAACCAAACGGATTCGACAAAATTCGGCTCTGGAATTAACCTTATCCGATTGGAAATTCTACGAATAAGATTGGGAAATTGTCGAATCCGATTCGTTTTTTGGGTATTTTCGAATACGATTGGTAATTATTCGAATCCGTTTTGTTTTAATATTTCAATTCGAGTCGGATTCGACAATTTTCCAATCTTATTCGTAGAAATACCAATCGGATAAGGTTAATTCTAGAGCCGAATTTTGTCGAATCCGATTGGTTTTGAGTTACCAGAGGTTGTGCAATCAACTCTGCGGACTTGCATCATAATCGACGCCAAACGCTTACTGTAATAGTGCGATGATTTGACGCGAAATTGCGGACCTGTCTGAAAACCTCTCACCTGCTGCTTGAGTCGATCACGCAATTTGCGCGTGTAACAGCAATAATCGAGCATCGCCTGCGACTTACCGAGATTTTCAGAAGCCGAATGAAAGAGAAGCTGCCAGGCGCAGTTAGAAATGCCCGCCCCAATGAATAATAAATTGTGCGAAATTACGGCGAGAAGGACACGAATTTTGTGGGTACAATTTCAATTATTCATATGCATCAGTATTATAAATATTTGAAGAAAAAAACCCAAATTCAGCAATTGTGGACCATCGCACTTTTTTTCGGTTGAGCGCCGACAATATTTAGGTGAGAATGAGTGGAAGGTAATTGTTTTTCGTGTTTGCGAGCCACAATTGATTTTTCATCGAATAAAACGAAAAATGAATAAAATATTTTTTTTTCTTGTTTGATTTTTGAAAAACCACATAATAGCGGGTCATATCGCATTATTCTGTAGGGGTTTTTTGGTGAAAATCGAAAATTTGACACATATTGGCGTTTAGTTTTAAAAATGTCAATTCTCGGGCTACAGTATCCATTTAAAGGCGCATGCTATCCGCGTGTTGACAGGTGTAGTTTTAGAGGAAAATACACCTGCCTGCTTTGAATAATTGACCTTAAATATATTAGAGTTAAGCGCAATGCGAAAATAGAAATTCATCTGCGGACAATTTTCGGGCAAAAAAAATTAAAATTGATGGCAAAAAAATGATTTTAAAGGCGCATAGCTCGAATAATTTTAAAGACGCATTGCGTGTGGGGCGGGAAACGCTTACCTGCCAAAAATCATACATTTGAAATCATTCAGACGGGACACTTGAAAAAACGAAACAAAATTGAATTTCCAAAAAAAAACAAAACCAAATAAGGATTTACGTCAATAGAACCGGAAATTGGGTTTGTAAAACTTATTAGAACGCGACAACAAAACTCACATTTCGCGTCGGGACCGCGGTGAAATAGTAGAAGAATCGTCGCATCGTATCGATTCGAATTGCACTCGCGACAAAATGTTTTTTTTTTTAGTTTTGCCCAGTTCTCATTCGCTGGCCTCCCCCTTATCAAATTATAAATCTTCGGCGTTCGATAGTTGTGACAAAACTGCTACCACTCATCGATTGTTGATAAGCGAATCGTGCTGCGGACAATTTGCGGGACGCTAGTTTCGAAGAAAACCCGCTTTATCATCAACAATTCGCAAAACAATGGGAGAAATTTAGAAAAATTTCGGCTTCTCGCCTTTTCCCTTCCACTTCCATTTGTCATTGCCGCCGTGCACTGTCGTCGATCGTTTCGTTCGTCCTCGACCCGGTGGAGATTGATCTTCAGAATGGCCCAACATATTCTCCTGGAGGCTCGACAACTCGAATTCGGTGAGTCCGTGCCTCGATCCGTGCGCCTTCCGGTGCCAAAACCCGCGAAGTTGCGGCGAGCTCGTTGCCTACAGTAATCGAATTGAAGCGCGAGTTTGGTGCGCTCGCCCTACGTGCTGAAATCCGTTGACGGAGCCCGGCGACGATAGGCTCGACGAGCTCGTCGACGTTCGTCGCAACTTCAGTGTCGTCACCTTCTCGGTGAGAATCTCGCACGTCTCCAAAGCGGTGAGCTGCACGACGATCTCCGAATTGCGCGGCTCGGTCACCGCGTCGGCGAAGCATATATTGACGAGACACTTGATCCGCACATCGTCCGGATCATCGACAATGATCCAGTCTTGTGTGCAAGCCATTCCTGTCGGAACCGCGCACGTCGGCTCGACGATCGGCCTCTGAATCATTCGACGGCTCTCGATTAGAATGGATCGCCGCTATATTCCTACCATTGAATGCTCGTCGATGATTGAGAAGCACACCGACTTCATGAATGAGGCGGTCGTGGATTGATTGCCTCGACATCCCTCGAAGTACTCATCGACATCGTCGGCCCAATCCGAATCCACGTAGATTTTGAATTTTCGCCGATCGCCCGACACTCGCCGAATGTACATTCCGACGATGATCGCGATGGTGACGTCGTGCGGCCCAAAAACGGCGGCCGTCTCTTTTTCGGTCTTCTGCAATTTCACTATTTTTTATTCAATCTGGAATATGTTCGACGACCACCCACCAGCTTCATCTCGATTTTTCTCGCCTGCTGAAGTGTCGGAAAATTCGAGATCACATTTTGCGTCTCGCGCAATCTTCAATATCAGAATCAGTGACGGCGCACACGAAATATCAAATGGACCTATTCATGCAATTAAAAAGATTTAAAAAAATCATTTTTTTTTTCATTTGAATTCCCTATGCACGTCGAAAATTACACAAAATTGACGCGATATATCGTAATTCTCCGCTATTTATTTTTAAAGGCGCATGCGAAATGTTGCGCGGGTCACGTCGCGAAATCGCTACTGTAATTTTTTATTGCTGTTTTTTTTATTCTTTGAGCGTTTAAAACGTTTTTTTGGAAATCTGTAAAAGTATTTTGCTTAATTAACATTAAAAATTCATCAGAAGCGTCATCGAGCGAAGTCTGTATCAAATCAACACAAAAATCACTATTTCACATAATAATTGGTATCTAAATGACGGAAAATTGGCGTATATTGTCGAATTAGGAGTAATTAAAACAATAATTGGTTTTTTACCTCGTTCTTTCATCCGTTACTCATTTTCTCTTCGAAGTTTTCGAAAAACTAGCACACAGTATGAAAAATAAAAAATTACAGTACCGAGTTCGCGACGTGACCCGCGCAACTTTTCGCGTGCGCCTTTGAAAATAAAATTTACGATATATCGCGTCAATTTTTTTGTAATTTTCGACGTGCGTGCATAGGGAATTCAAATGAAAAAAATTGATTTAAAAAAAAATGTTTTCCATTGCATGAATAGTTCCAAAACGCACTTCTCAATTTCCCTCATCAAACCCATTCGCGAGCCCAATTTGTGGATGCCGATGAACTCGAGATCGTTCTTCGTCATCTCCAATAATCGAGCGCCGGTGATGCGATGCTTGAACACGGCCGCTTTGATTCGCTCGACGAACTTCGCGTCGCTCTCTGCAAAACTGTGAACAATGGGCGGCCGAGGAATTGCGCGGCCTAAGCCGGCCATACCGACTCTCGACAACACCGTCTCGATCCAATACGACGTGTGATGCTCGCTCCATTGTTGGACGTCTTCTGGCTGACGGCGACTCGACGCTGAAAACCAATATCATCAACAAAAATGATGGAATGTTGAGAGAAAAAAAAATGGAATCGAAAATAAGTGTTTCGCGTCGAGACCAATCGAAAAAAAATGAAAATTCTTCGTCAAAAATAAAAAATGAAAAGAAATGTTAGTTGAAGGCGCATGCCATTTATTTAAGCGATGGGTCTCGATGCGATTTTCCACTAAACACGAATTCACCTATAATCGCGTGCTCAAGATTGAATCGTCGCGTCAACGCGCGCTCGCGCAACTCGAGCATCTCTCTCCGCTTCTCCAACTCGCGTTTCATCTGCTCCATTCGTTTGTACTGCTTCTCGATCTCCGATTTCCAGTCGTTGTGGTCCATGAATTGGCCGCATTCGCTCATCGACGCGGCGTTCTTCTCAATGCGCTCGAGATCCGCGAGAATCCGACGCATTCCCGTACGCTCTTTCGAATTCATTTTCCAGCAATCCGTCATGATTCTGACAGCGATCGATTCGTTCAAAAACAATTTTTTTTTCAAACACATTGGAACCTACTGTTTCAACGGCTGCGGACAACTCTCCGGTATCGCCAACGTGATGCCGTTCTGTGTGATCATCGAGAATATTCGAAACTCCTTGTAATCCTTGTACGGCACTTCTCGCGACAGAATCTCCCACAACACAACACCATAGCTCCACACGTCGGTCGCCGTCGTCAGATTCTCGTTTTGGAGGATCATCTCCGGACTGAACTGCGTTAAAAACTGGCGAAATTATTCAAAGAAATACTTTGACACTCATTCGAGAACCTCATCCATGCGGCGGTGCCGCCCCAAGACGGCGCTGTACACGAGTGCGTAAGATCTTTGGAAGTGCCGAAGTCACATATTTTACATATCAATTTCGCGTCGAGAACCACGTTTTTCGATTTCAGATCTCTATGAATTATGGTATCTACGGCGTCATAATGAAGGTATTGAATACCGTTGGCAATCTGCAATTTACGCCAGTCATTTTTATCCCGCTCTTTCGAGGGGATTCCAAAAATTAGATGTATACTCATTATGTGTCCCTTTGCACGGAAATCTTTAGTAAAAGGCGAAAGATTTTCACGGTCAAATGCAAAGGAACCAGAGTTGGCCAAATGTGAACAAGCAGCGACCTAGTGTTTGCGCGTGTGCGGACACTTTGCGGGTTTCGCCACACACTATGCTATACATGGAAAATGGGCGTGTCGCTCACCTCTTTTGCCCATTTGATGACAAATTCAAACGAGTATCCATTTTCCGACGAATCGTTGTGAATATAGTCATAAAGTGAGCCGTTTTCTGCGCATTCGGTAACAATGAAATAGTCGCTTCCGGTGGATTTGCAAACACCGTAAAATTGAATGATATTCTTGTGGCGAATTTTCGATAAAATTTCCGCCTCCTTCTCGAGTACAAACACTTTTTTAAGTGCAACTATTACAATTTGGCCGTTCGGTCTCGACCATGTGCCTTTAAACACGGCACCAAAAGTGCCAGTGCCCAATTGGTCTCCTAAATCAATATCTTCTCGGCGGATTTCCGGAAATAGTACACGATCGGCTAGTGATGTACTGGATGATCCGCTTGTCGTCATATTTCTGCAAAAAAATCAATTTTTAGATGAAAAATATCGAGAATAGATTGGGTTGAGTGTAAATATTGAAACGCAAATAAAACGTAGTTACACATCGAGGCACGGAAATTATGCAAAACCCCAGTCAAAGCACTTAATTGTTCCATTGCAAGGACACATTTTCGTTACTTTCCATTTCGGGGGACCCGCGATACGCAGAGAACTAAAGAGATTGATGATAAGGTGATAGACAGTTCGATAGGAGTGCAAGGACGAAAATCTTTCTATAAAGTGAATTAATGGCCCAATTAACAAATCTTGTATTGAATATTCTGGAAGTTTGCGGAGAAATGGTAAAATAATTGGGCAAATATTTTCCTCTATTAGCGAGGGAGTATAAAGGATGAAGAGACGCAGAAAATTTGCAGCGGAGCGTCGTTGTTGCCTGTTGTTTATCGTAAATTATTTGGTGTTTTAAAATTTTTATTCTGCATGGTTTTTGTTTAATTTTTCAAAGCTTCTAGAATATTTCTATTTATAGTTTTTTGCTGAATTAAGTAATTAATATTATTCTTCATACGTTTTACTGTTAAATTTATCAAAAATATCGTACATTTTATAATAACTATGCGAATTTAGGTAATGAGTGCGCCAGAGAAACGCCGACGTCTTAACGAAGCTCTTGCTCAGGCAATCGGAGCTAGTAGTGCGCAAAAGGCTGAAAATATAGCGAAACCGATTGGATTAGCATTAAAAAGTAAGAATTTTAAATAATTGGAATAAAAAATTTAAAATTGAGGTGATGAACAGTCAGCGTTGCAACTTTTGCGAAACGTTAATGCTTCACAACGCCCGAAAGATGTTCTTGACGCAACCCTCGAGAATTGTCAGCGAATGGACGACGAGGCGACCGTCAGCGAGCCGTTTTTGGCGTTATTCCGCACATATTTCCCAATTTTGGGCATTGATTCTGCCATCAGCACGTTCAATCAAATCAAGGATTCGCTTCGATCATCATTAGATCGTACCGACAGCACAAATGAGGTGGCGATTTGTTGCGAATTTCTAAAAAGGGCCAATCTACTTGGTCATGGATTCACGAAGCTTGTCGATCAAATTCGGGCAAGCCTTCCCGAACTTATCAAAAAGTTGTGGGAGGACGAAAGAGAGGATGAAGCTGCGCAACTTTGCTACAATTTGATCTGCCTCCTTCTCGCCGAACATTGCTATCGAGACGATGGAATTGGAGAGGAGCCTTCTGGAGTGTTTGACTCTCAGATTTACTGCGAAGACATGAAAGAGAGCATAATTATGGCGTTGATTGGGGTGTTGGCGCATAGCCAAACCGAGGACAAGTCGAATATTGAATGGGCTCATGAAACATTGACAAACATCGATATGCCGGAGCTCATTGAGCCTATTTTTGACATGGTGATTTCTCATTTTATAGATATATATTTTTTTCATTTTTTCTGTTCAGATCTTTGAAGTTTTTACGAATCATTTGGAGCATTATGCGTATGCATTGAGCCCGAACGCGTTTTTTAACGTTTTCCAGCAATTATTATATTATTCCCTGGAAAATAAAAAGGTCGAGGTGATAATTCGACGATTGAGCTCCGCCGAAATGGCGCTTTTCACAGCGAGACCCGAATTTTTTAAAGGAATTGGAGATATTCTACTAGATGTGATTCTGAATAGCGTAAGTTTTTTTTTTCAATTTCAATTTCAATTTCAATTTGTGTTCTAGGGTCTTCCGACGGGAATGGATGAATTGGTGCCGGCAATCAGTGAAATCGTTTCCGGAGAAGCGTAAGATGATTCCGAGACTCGTTTCAAAATAATACTTGAATTTAGAACGAAAAAGGAGATTTTGAAGCTTCTTAAAGAAAATATTATTGCCGGTGACCGAATTTCTCATGAAAATGGCGACGAAATGGTTTTGGATGAATTTTCATTCGAATTTTGAATTATTTTTGAAATTTTAGGAGACTGAAGATGCTTCGAGAATTGTCGATGTTTTGCGATTTGTTCATTCCCTATTTGACTGCTTCGCTGATCCGCTGGCAATCGGCGCCGTCGCGATTCTCCTCAATTTTCTCTACACGAAACTTTCGCATTTTGCCGAGATTTTTGAAAACCTTCTTGAAAAATGTCTGAAATGTGCGAATAATGACTCGTTTGGTGTCGTTTATGAAGTGCTCCAGAAGATTGCCAAAAAGGAATTGACTGATGACGAGTCGAATCCTCCGAAATCGCGATTGCCGTCAAAACGAATCTACAAAATCATGAAATCGATCAAGAGGCGAGGCGAATCGCTTCAAGACCCCACTGTGAATCGTAGCGCTCAAGAAGTCAACGATGTATTGTCGGGGTTTGAAGATTCTGAGTCAGACGGCGAGAAATGTGAAAAAGTGATTGAATTGATAAGAAATGTGCATCGAATTGAGACCAAAAAAGATATTTTCGGTAGTTTTTTGTTGAGATTTTCCATATAAATTTTTGGTGTTTTTCAGAAAGCCTTGCGAAATTCCTTGAGAACTTGTCTGGTGGTTCGACTCTCAAAGAGCTCGACGTTTTCAAAATTCTGATTGAGACTTATGGCAACACACATTTGGAGCCGCTTTGCGCACAATTGGTGATTTCAAGAGTCGCCGCTGACCGCTGGTCTGAGCTTGATCGATTGAGCACAAACGAGGAGGTTGAGGAGCCGTCGGAGGAGATTTGGTATCAAATCATTGTCAAAATGATTGAATTGTTGGATGCGATGATCAAATCGGCGAAGAATTCGATTATTCGACAATTCACTGCGGTGTTTTGGTAAGATTTAAAGAAAAGCAATCGATTTTTAAATTAGATTTTTTAAAGTCAATTTTATACGAATGTTCTCAAGAATACACAAAAATTTCTGCGGAATAGCATGAACGCGTCGCAATCGAAAACATTCACGGACCATGAGGAATATATTCGGGTCTTGAAGCGACACAAGTTGCAACAGGATGTTGCTAGAATTGTCGACTCGATGAAACGCCATGAGTCCTATTTTGCAATGGTGGGAATTTGAGAGAATAAGCAGCTAGTTGGGCGATTTTCAGCTGACGGCGTCAATTATAGCAGATGGTGTTTTCAACGGCCAACTGACACTTTTGGCGATGGCGAAATTGCATTCGTTGGCTGAGAAAAATGCGTAAGATTTTTTTTTTCGAATTTTCCCAAAAAAATCAATTTTTGTTTAGATCTGCACTTCTTGCCACGAATCTTCCAGTTGTTGAAAGAACGCGATATAAAAAATTCCTGCCGATTATCACAAGAGCCGGAAAAAGGATTTATTAAATTTTTGTTGTTATTATTTTTGTTATTGTTGTTGTTGTTGTTTTTATCAATAGAGAGATCATTCAGTTGAGATAGAATCGAGGCTTGCATGTTTCGAAAGGTTATTGCGGTTTTTCGAGGACACTGTGCAATATTGGGTTGCCCAGAGTTCCGATACTGCGGTAACCCGGAACAATTGCTTATACATATTTTGTTTATGAGAATCGCAAAAATATTCGTTTAGTGACTGATGGCGCTAAAAATCAATAGAAAAAATATTAAACAAAATATTCGCGTGTGGCAAGACCTTGGAAAAAATGCTCTATTCGTTAAGCTTTTGCTTCTATCAAAAATCACCTGCGCTATCTGCTTTTGATGACGTAATATTTAAAAAATGTTATTTCGGTCTTTTCAAATATGCCAAATATATAATTCGGGCATCTTAAATTCGATGGACGTTTCAATATTCGGAAATTCTGTCAAAGTCGCTGAACTGGAATACATCTATAGAATTATCAAGAATACTCCTCTGCTTTACGCGTATCTTACTAGTATTTTAATAGTTACTGCAACATATCTCGTAATGCTATTTATATTGTTCCCAACATACGTGTGGCTGTTTAACAAAAATACGGAAAATGAGAGCAAGGTATTTGAAAATGGCGCTTTTCGTATTTCCATTTGATTAATTAAGAGTTTGGTGTATCCTTTGGTGCATTATCTATACAAAATCGTGATATTTAATCAATTATGTTTGATAATATTGTGGCCACTTTTAATTTCTTGTGTTGCATTCGACGCCCTAGAATATTCGATAGCAAAGGTCATAATAGCCGCTTACGGGATTTGTCTTTTTTTGTCAGCGCCAGTGATATGCATTGCACAGAACACATGCGTATTTCTACTATCCCTTCGGCCAATGTTCATTGACTCATACTTTTTGACTTGACTCATGATTTTTGACGCATAAAAATTGTATCATGATTTTTTATTCTTTGACTCATGATTTTTGACTAGTGATTTTTGACTAATTTTTTTTTGACTAACAATTTTTGACTAATGATTTTCTGAATTTTTTTTAGTTGAGATTCCTGCAGTTTTTTCAGTATTCAATTCTGTTTTTTTTGGCAAATATTGATGGATAAGAAGCTGAAGGGTGGGAGAAATTGGGAGAAATGTTATTACTGAATGGGGGAAAGATTATTACTGAAAGGAAAAAAGTTCTTTTAACTTCTGTAAGCATAAAAAATTGTTTTTTTGGCATTTCATCGCTTATCGATTTCAAGGGCTTATCGCGTTATTCCATCCATTTCCCTCCTTTATTTTAAAACGGCATAATTTTCGATTTCTCATCAAAATTCAGGAAAAACGGTATATTGAAAAAAATAAGACATTGTTATACTTTGAGAAGTTTTTTTGAAGGCTGTTTTGTTAGAAGTACCATTTTGATAAAGGTTTAACGGTATAATGATCTATCGAAAATTTCAATGATTGATTAATTTTAAAAGTTTTTAATAAATATGTTATCGAATAAAAACTGTGTTTAGTTGTTTTCATTAAACTAACGGAGACTACTAAAAAAAATATCAGATCATACATATCATTTGGCCTACTACGGATATTCGTTTAATGTTACAGTCGATTCCTTCGGTGGATCCGCTTAGCTGGGATTAAGCTTCTCATTGAAATCGATAAGCGATGAAATGCCAAAAAACCAATTTTTTATGCTTACAGAAGTTAAAAGAACTTTTTTCCTTTCAGTAATAATCTTTCCCCCATTCAGTAATAACATTTCTCCCAATTCCTCCCACCCTTCAGCTTCTTATCCATCAATATTTGCCAAAAAAAACAGAATTGAATACTGAAAAAACTGCAGGAATCTCAACTAAAAAAAATTCAGAAAATCATTAGTCAAAAATTGTTAGTCAAAAAAAAATTAGTCAAAAATCACTAGTCAAAAATCATGAGTCAAAGAATAAAAAATCATGATACAATTTTTATGAGTCAAAAATCATGAGTCAAGTCAAAAAGTATGAGTCAATGAACATTGGCCTATCCCTTCAACGACTTGTTCTTTACTTTTTTCCAAAAACACAAGATGTTTTGAATTTCTCAAAGTAGGCAACCTTTTTTGGAATATCACTGGACATTCAAATATCGCCGATTTTTAACTGCAGGGATGCTGTCAAGAGGGCACTTTTATGGTATTTTATGCTACTTTTTGCATATAATATTTTTACAAAAAGTAGTCGCGCAGCCTAATTTTTATATTTGAAACGTTGTCTTTTTTAGTACAAATAATTATTGATTATGACACTATTCAAACTTTTGGCAAATTCGATGTGATCTACTATTCATTATACTATGCCACCTATTTTTCTGTTTATTTAACACCAATTATTTATTATGCGATAGTAATTAGTATCAAATTAACTGCAAAACATATGACAACGCGGAGAGATAAACCGGAGAATTATATCATATATCAAACGATTATTATAATTATTTCAAAGCTTGTAAGAGAATTTTGAAAAAGTTTATGAAAGTTTTTAAATTTTAGATAACATTTCCAGCCATTTTCTTCTCATTTGTAACATTTTCGGAAAAGACTTCATTAAAAACAGTTCTCGTGGCAATTGTTTTTTATTCTCATTATTTTCCGGAGCAATACATCAACATTTTCAGGCAACATTTGGTCTGGTTATCGTGGACATAATAATCACATCATTTATCATTCAATTCTCGTATATTTTCGGATCGAAATCTAATTTGAAGCGTCTTTTTTCGACGAAACTAACTCGTGCAAAAATTGCCGCGTCGAGGATATACGCAGAAACCGTTCTAAATAATCAGTGATTAAACAATATTTTTGGCTTGATTTGTAGGGCAAAAAATATTTAAAAAAAAAGGAGAAGGGAAAAATAGAGGAAATTTCGGTCTATTAGAAACCACCCCCACTTTTTAACACCGAAAATTGTATCATGATTTCTTATTCTTTAACTCATGATTTTTGACTAACAATTTTTGACTAATGATTTTCTGAATTTTTTTTACTTGAGATTCCTTCAGCTTTCTTTTAGTGTTCAATTCTGTTTTTTTACCAATATAGATGCTCGGCAAAACCTCGCAACTTCTGCGCAAAAGTTGCACAACTTTTGCGCAGATTTTAAACAACTTTTAGATAAACCGAGTTTAAAAGTTGCGCAAAGTCGGTTTAAAAATTGCGCAAAAATCTTTCAAAAGTTGCCAGTTGTTACTCATTGATCTATAGAAATATACATTTCTCACTACTGAAAAACTATTTTTGATTAAACAAATTGTTTTATTCAAACAAAAAAGAAAACAATGAATTAAATACAAGAAAAAACAAACGAAACAAGATATAACAAACAAAAAAAGACACATATTCTCAGGCAAATCAAATAAAATATTTTGAGAAATTCTAAAGTTTCTTGATATTTTCGACTTAAGTGCGCTCTATGGTGAAAATTAGAAAAATATTTGAAAAACCATAATTGCCGTCTGCACCAGAGATGCACGGGACTTGAATTTTTTGAAAACTGAAATTGTACTAGAAGATTTTAGCGTTTTTATTTTTTTCACAAAAAAAATATTTTTGACGGAACGTGTAACAAAAAAGGGACGGAAAACGGAGTTCAGTTCGAGCCTACTTGAGAATTTCTTCCACATTTTGTCAGTTATCAAGAAGTAGTCTCCACATAATCTTCTCTTCACCATTAAATAAAATTTAAATTCAAAAACGTAAATAAGAAGCGAATTTAAAAAATAAAAGAATGATTTCATTTGTGTTTCGTAATATCGACAATCTTAACACACAAAATAAATTAAAAATAAAACAAACACAATTAGAAATGATTTTTGGTGGGCCACAGAATAAGAACAGAAGAAACTTTTTTGACGGAAGAGGGTATACGGTAGTCGCAATAAAAACTGTGTTTGACGGAAAACATGACAGTAAAAAATGCCGGAAGACGGAATTCCGAGCAGGACAATAACGATGGCATTGGGATTCATTTCGAGTAATTGCAATTCTGAAGCACACACGGAAAGTAACATTCGGCAAAAGAAATTCTCGAAGCACGTACCGCGAATTCAACGAATTTCGAATTTCTCGTTTAAAATCTGATTTCCATAAATTGAATTTCTAGATTTATTTATTATTATTCGCGTTGAGATTGCTACATTGTAGCCGCGAATTCGCAATCTAAACTCCGCCTCCAGCGTTTGTTTCATGAGGCAAATGCGCTCTAGGGCAATACAGCGTCGATCGGGAAAGCGCGTCGGGGAGCAGAGAGTGTGCTAACATGAGAGAATGTGCCAACACTTAGCGTCAATTTGAAGTTCTTGTCGTCAAATGCGCTCTGTCGCAGGTCTCGCACCGACGCCCAGTGGCACTATAAAAGGCTGGCGGAATGAGGAATTTGGTCATTCTCGCAGCTCTCCGAGTTGCGAGCAACCCGCCAGCGGGCTCCTCGTGTCCCGCATAACCTGCGGGCTCCACGTGCCCCGCGCAACCTGCGGGCAGCCCGCATCTCCTGCGGGCTCGCTGTGGCCAAGGATCCACTAGGTAAGTCGCATTCATCGCCGTCGCTTTTCCTGATTTCCTCTTTTTGCAGATCCGATATGAGCCACAGTCGATTCTCCATCGACACCATCGGATCGGAAGTGTTCAAGGTGTGAGGGATTCTCGCCTCGACCGGCTCCGTTAGTCAGGGCTCACCCTTCAATGGGCGTACTGCAGTGTTGGTTCGAGGTGACGTTAAACCTACACTGAGGCATGGAGGTGATGAAGGAAGAGATGGAGAGGCGACGAAAGGTCGACGCTGCCCGGGGCGTCGAGCAGAGTGAGGAAGCGGATTCAAATGGTAACGAAGAAGCAACAATCGATCAGAATAATTCGATTCATTGCAGGGTTTTCGATGAACGGATCGAGAGAAGACGACCGGAGGAAGCGACGAAGAATGACACCAGTGAGAAGTAATTGATCCGCGGATCACGGT